GCTCCTCCATCTCTCCTGAGACCCTCCAGTTAAGCCCCTGTTCACCCCGCTCCTCTCTTGCCTCCTGCCACCCCAGGGCTGCTGCTGCCCATGGGTCAGGAGGGACTGGGCATCCAGGGTGCTAGGCCTCAGCGGGTGTGACCAGGGCCCCGGCTGCCCTGGCCCTTCCCGGAGAGCTAAACTCTGCCCTTCCTTGCCCCTCTGAGCACTCCCCGCCCTCGCGGACCCTCGCAGCATAGTGAGGGTGGACCCCAGGCGCCCCAGGTCTCCTAATCCTGCAAGGACCCCTTCCCCACCAGCAGGTGGTGATTCTAGTCCCACCAGGGTCTAGTGTGTCCGAAGGGCTGCATTTGCCCACCGTTCTGGATTCTGGAGGCCATGAGGGTTTCTGTAGAGAAGCCCACTGTTGTTGTTTAGTCGCTAAGTTGCATCCAACTCTTTGCAACCCCATGGACTGTAGCCAGGCTCCTCTGTCCTTCATTATCTTCCCAACTTTGCTCAACTCGTGTCCACTAAGTAGGTGATGCCATTTAACCATCTCATCCTCTGGGACCCCTTCTCCTTTTGCCTCAGTCTTTCCCAGCATTTGAAGAAGGAAATGGCAACCCACTCCATTATCCTTCCTGGAAAATTTCAAGCACTGAGGAGCCTGGCAGGCTACCGTCCATGGGGTCGCAAAGAGTCGGACACAACTGAGCAACTTAACTTTAACTAACTTCCCAGCATCAGGGTCTTTTCCAATGAATTAGCTCTTCACATCAGGTGGCCAAAATATTGGAGCTTCAGCATCAGTTTTTCCAGTGACTATTCAGGGTTGATTTCCTTTAGGATTGACTCCTTTGATCTCCTTGCTGTCTCTCAAGAGTCTTCATCAGCACCGCAATTCAAAAGCATCAATTCAAAACAAAAAAACAAAAGCACCAATTCTTTGGAGCTCAGCTTTTTTTACGGTCCTAATCTCATATCCAGATATGACTACTGGAAAAACCATGGCTTTGACTAAACAGACCTTTGTCAACAAAGTGATGTCTCTGCTTTTTAATACACATCTAGGTTTGTCATAACTTTTCTTCCAAGGAGCAAGCATCTTTTAATTTCGTGACTGTACCCACCATCCACAGTGATTTGGGGGCTCAAGAAAGTAAAATCAGTCACTGTTTCCACTTTTCCCGCATCTATTTGCCATGAAGTGATGGGACCGGATGCCATGATCTTAGTTTTTTGAATGTTGAGTTTTAAGCCAACTTTTCCACTCTCCTCTTTCACCGTCATCAAGAGGCTCTTTGGGTTCCTCTTCACTTTGTGCCAGTAGAGTGGTGTCATCTGCATATCTGAGGTTATTGATATTTCTCCCAGCAACCCTGATTCCAGCTTGTGATTCCTTCAGCCCGGCATTTTTCACGATGTACTCTGCATGTAAGTTAAATAAGCAGGGAGACAATATCCAGCCTTGTCATACTCCTTTCCCAATTTTGAAACAGTCAGTTGTTTCATGTCTGGTTCTAACTGTTGTCTCTTGACCTGCATACAGGTTTTTCAGGAGGCAGGTAAGATGGTCTGGTATTCCAGTTTCTTTAAACATTTTCCACAGTTTGTTGGGATCACCACAGTCAAAGGCTTTAGTGTAGTCAATGAAGTATACGTGGAATTCCCTTGCTTTCTCCATGACCCAAAGAATGTTAGCAATCTGACGTCTGATTCTCTGCCTCTTTGAAACTCAGATCTGGAAGCTCCCAGTTCACATACTACTGAAGTCTAGCTTGAAGGATTTTGAGTATTACCTTATTCGTATGTGAAATGAGTGCAGTTGTATGGTAGTTGAAACATTCTTTGGCACTGCCTTTCTTTGGGATTGGAATGGAAACTGACCTTTTCCAGTGCTGTGGCCACTGCTCAGTTCTCCAAATTTGCTGACATATTGAGTGCCTCACTTTAACAGCATCATCTTTTAGGGTTTGGAATAGCACAGCTGGAATTCCATTATCTCCACTAGCTTTGTTCATAGTAATGCTTCCTAAGGCTCATTTAACTTCACACTCCAGGATGTCTGGCTCTAGGCAAGTGGTCACACCGTCGTGGTCATCTGGATCATGAAGATCTTTTTTGTATAGATCTTTTGTGTATTCTTGCCACCTTTTCTTAATCTATTCTGCTTCTGTTAGGTCCTTACCATTTCTATTCATTATTGTGCCCACCCTTGCATGAAACGTTCCCTAGATATCTCCAATTTTCTTCAAGAGATCGCTAGTCTTTCCCACTCTATTGTTTCCCTCTACCTCTTTGTACTGTCTACTGAAGAAGGCCTTCTTGCCTCTCCTTGCTGTTCTCTGGAACGCTGCGTTTGGTTGGTGTTTGTCTTTCCATTTCTCCCTGGCCTTTGACTCCGCTTCTTTCCTCAGCTATCTGTAAGGCCTCCTCAGACGCCACTTTGCTTTCTTGCTTTTTTTTTCATTGGTATGGTTTTGGTCACCACCTCCTGTACAATGTTCTGAACCTCCGTCCATAGTTCTCCAGGTAGTCTGTCTACCAGATCTAATCCCTTGAATCTATTTGTCACTTCCACTGTATAATCATAAGGGATTTGATTTAGGTCATACCTGAATGACCTAGTGATTTCCCGACTTTCTTCAATTTAAGCCTGAATTTTTCAATAAGGAGCTCATGATCTAAGCCACAGTTAGCTCCAGGTCTTGTTTCTACAGCATTTCTGACTGTCTGGAGCTTCTTTATTTTCAGTTGCAAAGAATATAATCAATCTGATTTTGGTATTGACTATCTAATGATGTCCATGTGTAGAAACATCTCTTGTGTTATTGGAAAAGGGTGTTTGCTATGACCAGCATGTTCTCTTGACAAAGCTCTATTAGCCTTTGCCCTGCTTCATTTTGTACTCCAAGACCAAACTTGCCTGTTACTCCAGGTATCTCTTGACTTCTAACTTTTGTGTTCCAGTTCCCTATGATGAAAGGGACACCTTTTTTTAGTGTTAGTTCTAGAAGGTAGGTCATCATAGAACCATTCATTTGGCATCAGTGGTCGGGGCGTAGACTTGGATTACTGTGATACTGAATGGTTTGCCTTGGAAACGAACAGAGATCATTCTGTCGTTTTTGAGACTGCATCCAAGGAGTGCATTTCGGACTCTTTTGTTGCCTATGAGGGTCACTCCATTTCTTCTGAGAGACTCCTGCCCGCAGTAGATGTAATGGTCATCTGAATTAAATTCACCCACTCCAGTCCATGTGAGTTCACTGATTCCTAAGATGATGATGTTCACTCTTGCCATGCCCACAGTAGATGTAATGGTCATCTGAATTAAATTCACCCACTCCAGTCCATGTGAGTTCACTGATTCCTAAGATGATGATGTTCACTCTTGCCATGCCCGCAGTAGATGTAATGGTCATCTGAATTAAATTCACCCACTCCAGTCCATGTGAGTTCACTGATTCCTAAGATGATGATGTTCACTCTTGCCATGCCCGCAGTAGATGTAATGGTCATCTGAATTAAATTCACCCACTCCAGTCCATGTGACTTCACTGATTCCTAAGATGATGATGTTCACTCTTGCCATGCCCGCAGTAGATGTAATGGTCATCTGAATTAAATTCACCCACTCCAGTCCATGTGAGTTCACTGACTCCTAAGATGATGATGTTCACTCTTGCCATGCCCGCAGTAGATGTAATGGTCATCTGAATTAAATTCACCCACTCCAGTCCATGTGAGTTCACTGACTCCTAAGATGATGATGCTCACTCTTGCCATGCCCGCAGTAGATGTAATGGTCATCTGAATTAAATTCACCCACTCCAGTCCATGTGAGTTCACTGACTCCTAAGATGATGATGTTCACTCTTGCCATGCCCGCAGTAGATGTAATGGTCATCTGAATTAAATTCACCCACTCCAGTCCATGTGAGTTCACTGACTCCTAAGATGATGATGCTCACTCTTGCCATGCCCGCAGTAGATGTAATGGTCATCTGAATTAAATTCACCCACTCCAGTCCATGTGAGTTCACTGACTCCTAAGATGATGATGTTCACTCTTGCCATGCCCGCAGTAGATGTAATGGTCATCTGAATTAAATTCACCCACTCCAGTCCATGTGAGTTCACTGACTCCTAAGATGATGATGTTCAATCTTGCCATGCCCGCAGTAGATGTAATGGTCATCTGAATTAAATTCACCCACTCCAGTCCATGTGAGTTCACTGACTCCTAAGATGATGATGCTCACTCTTGCCATGCCCGCAGTAGATGTAATGGTCATCTGAATTAAATTCACCCACTCCAGTCCATGTGAGTTCACTGACTCCTAAGATGATGATGTTCACTCTTGCCATGCCCGAAGTAGATGTAATGGTCATCTGAATTAAATTCACCCACTCCAGTCCATGTGAGTTCACTGACTCCTAAGATGATGATGTTCACTCTTGCCATGCCCGCAGTAGATGTAATGGTCATCTGAATTAAATTCACCCACTCCAGTCCATGTGAGTTCACTGACTCCTAAGATGATGATGCTCACTCTTGCCATGCCCGCAGTAGATGTAATGGTCATCTGAATTAAATTCACCCACTCCAGTCCATGTGAGTTCACTGACTCCTAAGATGATGATGTTCACTCTTGCCATCTCCTGCTTGGCCACTTCCAATCCACCTTGATTCACGGCCCTAACACTCCAGGTTTCATGCAATGTTGTTCTTTACAGCAAAGGACTTTACTTCCATCACCAGTCACATGCACAGCTGGCGGACCTCCGTTCTCCCCAGCCTCCGCATTCTTTCTGAAGCTATTAGCATTTGCCCCTGCTCTTCCCAGTAGCATCCTGGACACCTTCCCACCTGGGGGCTCCTCCTCCACTGTCCTTGGGGTTCTCCAGGCAAGGACTCTGGAGTGGGTTGCCGTTTCCTCTTCCAGTGGACCACGTTTTGTAAGAACGCTTCACTACAACCCGTGCATCTTGCTTTTTTTCCCGGACGCCGTGGCTCACAGCTTCCGTGAGTGCGCAAGCCCCTTGCCCAGGGCGGGGCTGTGACTGTGAAGCGGGGGAAGCCGGTTAGCCGCGGGGAAGGCGGGGAGGCCGCACGCGGCGCCGTTACGGCTGGATGCCGCCAGGGGGCGCGCTGGTTGCGGGCTGGGCTGCGCCGCGAAGCGCGCGCGGGGCTGGGAGCGCGCGGCTGCGGGAAGAAAGGGCGCTCTCCACGCGGACACCCGGCTCCAGGCCGGCGCTCCCGGGCGAGGAGCGAGAGGAGTAGCTGGGACGCGCCGCCCAACCGCCCCAGTGCCCGCAGCCTCCCAGATCAGGAGCCCTCCTGTGGAGACACCAAGGCGCTCAGTTGACTCCGCAAAGCTAGGGTGAGCGAGCTGCGGCCCAGCCTGGGGGCGGTGCGCGCCCCGGCCCGAGCGCCCTAAGCGCCGCCCGCGGCCTCTGCAGCCCCGGTGCCCAGCCCTCCGCTGGGCAGCCCCTGCTCTGCTCCGCACCGCTGCAGTGCCCTCTGGGCTGACCCCCGCTCCCCCTGCCCTGCGCTGTGTGCTGTCCACGCAGCGGCCAGGGGCGGGCCCGAACCCAGGGCGCATCCTGTCACTCGGGGCCTGGAATCCACTCAAGCTCGAAATCGCTGCCATGGCCGCCAGGCCTGTGTGCCCCCCACCCCGCCCCGCCCCTCCACCTCTCCCCCCTCACCTCCAGACACTCTGGCCGCCTTGCTGCTGCGCCCCCAGCACACCAGCGATGTCTCCCTGGATCTCTCTCTGCTCACACATCCCGGTCAGCCAGCAGCCCTGCCCCGCCCACTGAAATGCCGATCTGGCATCCACAGTATTTACCTCATTATTTGCTGACAGGGGCACGGAATTCTGCCACCTGCGCTCATGAGCCCCCTCCAGAAGGGCCCTGGGGCCTTCCATAAACATCTGGAGGGCCCAGGTGAGCTTCCCGGGCAGAGCCCAGACCAAACCTCAGTGCCTACCTGCACCTCTTTCTGATCTGTGCCTCCCCTTGACCCCAACCTGGCTGGGAGAAAGCTGCCCCACCCCTGCCTTCTCAACCCACACAACAGGTCACTGAGTCAGGGTTTCACTAACAGAGGCAGAGGGTAGAGGGGAGCAGATGGAGCAGCAAAGTAGTCCACTGGAGGATTCGGTCCAGGTTTCTGAGCCTCCCAGAGCTCTCAGGAGGCACCCCTGCTGATCCTCCATCCATCCAACCATCTTGCTGTCCAGTCATCCATGCCACACAGTCATTCACCCTTCCATCCATCCATCCATCCTTCATCCATCCTTCCATCCTTCTACCCATCCATCCATCCTTCTATCCATCCATCCATCCTTCTATCCATCCATCCAACCATCCATCCATCCTTCATCCATCCTTCCATCCTTCTATCCATCCATCCATCCTTCTATCCATCCATCCAACCATCCATCCATCCTTCCTTCATCCATCCTTCCATCCTTCTATCCATCCATCCATCCTTCTATCCATCCATCCTTCCTTCTACCCATCCATCCATCCATCCATCCTTCTATCCATCCATCCATCTTTCTACCCATCCATCCATCTATCCATCCATCCATCCATCCATCCTTCTATCCATCCGTCTATCCATCCATCCATCCATCCATCCCTCCCTCCATCCATCCATCCATCCATCCTTCTATCCATCCATCCATCCTTCTATCCATCCATCCATCCATCCTTCTATCCATCCATCCATCCATCCTTCTATCCACCCATCCATCCATCCTTCTATCCATCCATCCATCCTTCTATCCATCCATCCAACCATCCATCCATCCATCCATCCTTCTATCCATCCATCCAACCATCCATTCTTCCTTCCACCCATCCATCCAGTCATCTTCCTGTCCATTTGTCCACCTGCACATTCATTCATCCTTCTATCCACTCATCTTCCTGTCCATCCATCTATCCTCCATCCATCCAATCATCTTCCCATCCATACATCAATCCCAAACATCCATCCACCCACCCACCCACCCACTCATCCAGTTCTGATCCATTCAACCATCCAAACATCTGTCCATCCCACTTATCCATCTATCCTCCATCCATCCGATCTCCACCTGGACTAGGTTTTATTTGAGGCATCTCAGCTCATTAGGGTGTAATGAACTGTCTCAGTTCCTGTGCTCTGTCCAATCCCCCTTTCTCTCCCATAATTTTACCTCAGGCTCGGGCAGGGTCCACAACGTTCAGGCATCAAACATCCCCGAGAGTTTAAAATGTCCATCTCATGGCCAGTTCCAGCCTTCTGCTTTCCCTCGGGAATCTCACTGCTGGCTGCACCTGGGACCCACAGGCTCTGAACTGGGGCGAGGTCGGGTCTGCTCACTCGCTCCAGCACTGGCACGAGGAGAAGAGCAGTGACCTGCCTCTCGGACAGGCCTTCACCTCCCTCTCCTGGGCCTCGGCCTTCTTGTTTGGGGGCAAGAAGGTGAGGTGGGAAAGCAAGGAACACTGTAGTGGGGGCCTGTTCCTGCTCCCCGGCTCTGGCCAGGTCTCATCATCCCGGCAGTCTGATGCCCCTCAGCAGTGGAGGCCGTTGGTGACTGTCCTGGGGCAGCGGTCAGCCTCAGCTGGCCCCCTCCTCTGCTGAGCCCCCAGCAGCAGTCCCTGGCTGCAGGCCCTTCTCCAAGGTGGCAGCCCCCACTCACAACCTGACCCCCCGAGGCTCTCATCTCCAGCCTCCCTATACCCTCACAGGCCTCCACCCTGCTCTGTGCTCGGGGAGGCTGGTTCCCACGCCAGCCAGTATCCGGCTGGATCAGCCCGAGGGAGACACGAACGAGTGACCAGAGCGGGGAACTCCTTGGTAGTTTAGGTCATCTTTCTGAGCTCCCGCCCAGCTTTAGTGCCAAGCCTCTGGCAGCCACCACGCCGCCGAGACCACGGCCATGGGGGAGCCCTGCTCCATGGGCCCAGCTCCTCGTGGGTTCCAGAAACACTAGCTGCTACCCTCATCCTTCCAGCTCATAAGACGGTGACAGTTTCCTGTTAGCGAGCCTCCAGTGCCCCTCCACCTCCCCTTGGCTTCCCAAGGCAGCTCCACTCCTCCATAAAGAGTGCCTTTGGTAAAGAGTCTGCATCCGAAATGTCTGGGATAAATACGGCTTCCCAACTGATCCTGTAACCGGTGCTGGCTACAAGAGTATCCCCAGGAAACAGACCTGCCGATGGGTCTCAGGACTGATGAGAGCCCGAGCCCCGTGAAGAGGCTGAGACTCCACGGCACACAGCGACCTCTGCCACTCAGACAGTCAGCAGAGACGGGTCAGCCGGAGCCACCCTTCTGCAGGGGCATCCCTCTGATGGCATCCCCGGGGAAACCGCCCCCCGCTTCCCTGCTTCACCACTGTGGCCGCCGCCCCACACATCAGAGGGACCCCTGCAGGCGTGGTCCAGGAGGCGCTAACGGGACGCCAGACGAGCCGCCAGAGCTCACCACCAGCTCATGTGGGCAGGAACCAGTCTGTCCGTGGAAGGATGAGACCACGGGGGGGGCCGCGGAGGGCCGGACGCGAGGCTGCTGGAGCCGTGAGCCCCCAGTGGGTGCACGCAGGCAGGGCTGGGATCTGCCCTTGTGGCTGAGTGGCCGGGGGAAGCTCTGACAGTTTGTTGGCCGAAGCAGAGCCAGGCTGGGGATTTGAGACCCTCACCCAGCTCCCCGCTCTGAATCAGGCTGTAGACACCCAAGCTCCGTGATGGGGATGCTCCGGGCCCCCCCGACGAAGGCTGCTGCTATGGGTCGCAGGTGTCCACCACAGAGCTTTCCCCAGGCCTGTCCAGAGGACCGGGGCCACTGACCACGTGAGCTGGGGAAGAACAGGCACATGCCCTGGGGGTGGCCACACGCTGGCCCCTTGGGCCTCCACATGCCGCCGTGTCAGACGGGAGGCTTTGGGAGCTCAAGTGATGGAAGAATCTGGCCCGAGTACATTTCAGGGTGAGGCCAATGGGCCGCGGTCACCCCTCCGGCTGCTGGGCATACTGGGCTCAGGCAGACTCGGCACAGGAGTGATGGGCCCTGCTCCCAGGAAGGAGAGCGGAGGAGCCACTTTAGGGAAACTCAGGTCTTCTCTCAGCACTCCAGACCCCAGGTGTTCTCTCTGGGATTCAGCGGACTCCCTCTGGGTGTCACCATTCATCTTGATCCTGATACTGTCTGCCCAAAATGGCACAGATCCCACAGCTTGAGGGCTCAGTTCGCCAGATGGCCTCATCCCCTGTGTACCAAGCCCAAGTCCAGCTTGTCACCGGTGCTTCTGAATCCGAGGCTTCTCTGTCAGGGGCCCCATGGTGCTCTCTTCAGGTTCAGTAATTTGTAGATTGGCTCACACAGCTGGGGGGATGTTTCCTTACCTTTACTAATTTCCAGTAGTCATCTGTGGATGTGAGAGCTGGACCACAAAGAAGGCTAAGCTCCAAAGAACTGATGCTTTGGTATTGTGGTCCTAGAGAAGACTCTTGAGAGTCCCTTGGACTGCAAAAAGATCAAACCAGTCAATCCGAAAGGAAATCAACCCTGAATATTCATTGGAAGGACTGATGCTGAAGCTGAAGCTCCAATACTTTGGCCACTTGATGCCAAGAACCAACACGTTGGAAAAGGACCTGATCCTGGGAAAGACTGAAGGCTGGAGAAGGGGGTGACGAGATGGTTGGATGGCATCACTCACTGGAGATGAGTTTGAGCAAGCTCCAGGAGTTGGAGATGGACAGGGAAGCCTGGTGTGCTGCAGTCCATGGGGTCACAAAGAGTCAGACACGACTGAGCGACTAAACTGAACTGAACCCTCCCAGCACCTGCATGTGTCCCCAAACCAGAAACTGATCACATCGTGTTGTTAGAGAGTGTTCATAGAGCTTAATCTGCAGCACCCCTCTTGGCTTCCCAGAGCTCAGTGGGCAGGGCTGAGCACCCAGTCCTCTACCATCGGGCATTTCTGGTGACCAGCTCCATCCTGAGGCCGTCCAGGGCCCCCCCACCCCCCAAACCACTCATTAGCATAAACCCAGGTGTTATCAAAAAAGGCCTCCTTATGAAGAAGAAAAGACACTCCCTATCACTCAGAAAATTCCAAGGATTTTAGGAGCTCTGTGTCAGGGATGGGGACAAAAACCAAATTCATTCTTTATGACATCATGGGAAGGAGGGGACAGGCAGGACACTCAAGGGCAAGGCCTCCAACCTTGCCAAAGCTATCCCCAAGGGGATTGAAATTAACGTCACCATGAAAGACTGGAAAACACAGAGATGATGATTCTCTGGACTCAGCCCTGCCGACACCTTGATATTAGACTTCTGCCCTCCAGAACCATGGGAAAATAAATGCGGTTGTTTGAAATCCCCGAGTCTGTGGTGATGGGCTGCAGCAGCGACAGGAAAGTAGCACACTCCCTTGTCCTGTGTTTATCTTGCCGGTGTGTCCACAGGCTACGTGTGAAAACCATCGGGAGACTGGGGTGAATTTAATCAGAATGTGATAAGTTTAAGACATCTACAGCTATTCCGGATGTTGTGTGTTTGTGGAGCAAACCACCATGTCCTCTGAACACTGACTAGTGTTCAGCTAGTCACCCGGCTGGTGTTTTGTTTCCTCCTCAATCCTGACTAATCTGAAAAACTCAGAAGCCTTCTGCTTTCATGTGGCAGGGGTATCAGTATACCCTGCCTCCATCACAACCTGGCTCCCGGGGAGCTTGGTCACTTGAAAGCTGGCAGCTGAGACACTGCTCTGCGCCCCTGCATTGACTATATCGTGCTAATCGGACCCAGTTATTAGGAAGTGGTAAGGGCACCAGATGCCGCAGTGAGGCATGCGTCAGAGGGTGGGAGGTGAGCCTCACGCAAATTCAGGTGGTGGTATTGCCAGGGTCCCGTGATCTGGAACGTGGCAGTCAGCCCTCGCCCCAGAGTGAAAAATGAGTTGCCGTTAACTTGTGCTGCCCACTTGAAATATGGGGCGCTGTGCTTGGTGAGTCATTTTGGAACTTTGTTTTTGTTTTTCTGCCATGCCTGGAGGCATGCAGGACCGCAGTTTCCCAAGCTGTGTCCCCTGCCGTGGAAGTGTGGAGCCCTCCTAACTGCCAGGTAATTCCTGTCGTGAGCCATCTTGGATTTTGGAGGCAACACATCCCAACACGTTTACTGAGTGACACGTGGGCTTCCAGGCTTGAGTGGGGCCAGATCAAGAGGAGTGAGAGCTCTTGTGTGGGGCCAGGCAGGGGCCAGGACACGCTGCCATTTGGGACCTGTGACCCATTGGGGCTGGTGCCGCTGAGATGCCAGAGAAGAGGGGGCTCTGGGGGGGGGACTCCGGCAGCCCTAACAGGGGAACTGTTGGACCCCGAGGTGGCTGGCACGAGATCGTGGCCTCGGGGGCCACAGGCAGCTCCTGGCTAAGCTGCTGGCCCTGGGAGACGAGACCAGGGGTTGGGAGGTGACCCTGAGCCGCCCTGGCGCCCCACTGATCCTCCGTCCACACAAATGGAGAGTTAAACCCGCCCCACGCACCCCCGTCTCTGACTGAGGACAGCAGGGGTGAGACCGGGCCCCACCGGGTGCAGGGGCCTCGAGTGTCTGCCGGACGCGGAGGCCGCTGCTGCAGTTCCTCCCTCCAGGTGTGGGTAAGCCTCACGCGGTGACCCTTGGATGGGTGAACAGAGGAGAATGGGACGAGCTGGCATGGGGTGTCAGTGTGCAGCTGGCCCTACGGCGCACAGCCCAGCTCGGGGAGGCCCGGGAGGACCACGGCAAAGCCACCTTCAGAGTGGTCACAAGGACCGCCTGGAGCGTGACTGCCTGGTTTGCAAGGTGCGGCCCCCAGTGGGAGCGGGGGTGGTCCACAGGGCGGCGGCTGGGGCCTGGAGAGCTGGGCAGGGGCGTTCGAAGGAGGCTCTTGAAATGGGCAGAGCGTTTCACCTGTGTCCTGCAGAGATGTTCCCAGAAGCCTCTGCTGCCCAGGGGATGCCTGAAAATCAGGTGGACAGGAAGGCCCCGTCTGCGGGGTCTGACACTCCTCACCAGGACCCGCGGCCCTCGCCCAGTGTGCTCCCGGCAGCAGGCACGTGGCCGCAGGCTCCGCACCAGGCTGGCCCCCCAGGCCTCTCCAGCGGCCTCGCTGCGGGCGCCCATCTCACCAGCAGGGCACCCCTCAACCTGCCCTGCCCCCGCCCCTGCCCACACCTCTGTGAACAGGCCCCTCATGCCGCCTCTGTGTCTGACTCTGCAGGGTAAGCTGTTTTCTGCAGCCCCCGTCTCCCCAGCTCTCCTGGACCAAGGCTGCCTCTCATCTGTGGGCACCTGCTACTCTAAGAGGCCTCTTGCCCTTGGAAACACCAGGGGGGTGGGCACTGTGTCTGGCGTAAGGCCACCTTCAGGGAGGGTAAACCCAACCCCGAGGATGGTACTGGTGGAGTCTACAGGGGAGCGCAATGCCCTGGCCTTGCTCCAGGATGACGAGGTGGGAAGGAGGGGGTGGCCCAGGAGGGGGCACTCCCTGGGCCTGAGCACTGGCGGCCCTCCCCACCCATCCTCTCTGGGCTGGGGCAGGACAGGCCGGGTGGCGGGATGTTGCAGGAGGCTGGTGGCCGTGGCTGGCAGAACTCCCAACAGAACCTGCTTTGGAAGCACACAGCGGGGCATCTGGGTCCTGCTGCAGCTCTCTCTGGGGGCGGGGGCCTCGCCACTGAGCAGACCCCACCACGTGTGTCTGCTTACGCGTCCGTCTGCCCGCTCTCCCCTCACTCTGACACTCACGGCTGTTTGGGGGATGGGCTGGGGTCCTTCCCTGTTGTACGCGTGTTCTGAGGATGCCGCAGCAAAGATCCACAGACCCGGGGTTTTAAAACCACAGGAGCTTATTCTCTCAGGCTCCAGAGGCCAGAAGTTCAGCATCCAGGTGTGGACACGCCGTGCTCCCTCTGAAGGTCTGGGGGAGGGGCCTCCAGCTCCCAGCTGCCGTCTGTCTGGCCTTCCAGGGCTTGAAGCCGTAGCCCCTCGATGTCTGTCCCTGGAGTCACGCCGCCTTCTCCCTGGGGGTCTGTGTCCTCGCTTCCCTCTTAGGAGAACGCCAGCATCCTGGACGGAGGCCCACCCCAAGGACTTCTTGGTGACTTGATGACATCTGTAAAGAGCCCGTTTCCAAGCAGGGTCCGAGTCGCAGGTATGGGATGAGGACACAGCATCTGTGGAGACACATCCGGCCCCTAACGGCTATGGATGAAGGGATCCACTCTAGCTTGTTTACGCACGTGTGGATTTATAAGGAGCTGTGAGAGAGCTCACGGATCTGGCTCAGATTCCAGGAACAGTGCCCGGAATCCCTGCCAGGACTGGTCTGACTACGGGCTCTGCTACCCCCACCACGCCCGAGCTGCTGCAGCAGCAGGAGGTGGACACCACCCCCGGCCCCAGAAACAAGCTGCCTTTGCCAGGACCAGTCCAGCAAAACCGTTGCTCCGGCAGCCCAGTGGGGTACTGGTGCCGCTGCCCGCTCCCAGGTCAAGTTGGACATTGGCCCCAGTAGTGAGGGGAGGCTGGGCAATGCAATCCTTCTGGATTCCAAGCCGGAGGGACAGGGTTCACAATGTGGGAACCACCCAACTGCAGAGATGATATTCAGAAGATGCTGGGAGGCCGCAATGCCCGGCATCAGCTGCAGTCACACCTGCACCCTCCTCTCTTCTGCTAGAGACACTGGAAACGCTCCGTGCCCACTCCCCCAGCTCTGCTATAGTAGTGCCGGTCATGTGGGGACACGATTCTGACCAGTGAGACTGAAGAAGACTTCTGGGGAGTTCCTTTCTCTGATAAAAGAGTTAGACATCCCTTTCACTATCCTTTCCCCTCTTTGTCCAGCCTGGAACGTGGATGTGGTGTCTAGAGCTGTGGCAACCCTCTGTGAGCATGAGGGAAGCCAAACATGATTGCAGAGATGCTGGTCTGACATGACTAGGCTGCTGAGCAGAATTGCCTGCTACCAGGACACTTGTTATGGGAGAAAAATAAACCCGTTGGTCCAAACCATGGCACTTTTCATAATTACTGCTACTTGAAACCAAGAGTGCTTCTAACTGATATACTAGCCATGCATTCACCTAACTGTCCGTCCATTCCTGTATCTGTGAAAGTTGGTAAACCAGAGCTCACGCAAATGGAATCAAGAGGCCAGAAGGAGGAGCTCTCACACACGTGCCACTCGCGACGTGTGCCACATCAATGCGATTCAGACAGGAAGACGGGCACCTTCATCCCCCGCAGGAAGTGACATTCTTCTATTATCAGGAGGAAGAAAGATTTTTTCCCTGCGTGGCAACAGCTCACCCAATAAGAGACAGTCACAATTTGGCCAATGAAAACCCTCTATACTCTGATCTCCCAGTTTCCGTCAACAGACTTTGTGTTCATAACAGCCCCTCCCAACTTCCCTTCTCCTCTATAAAAGAATTTACTCTCTTTGGCTTTGCCACAACTTCATATGGTTTGCCATAGTTGCAAGTCTAGAATTTCAATCCTTTACTGCTCCTGAATAAACCTGCTTTGCTGGTAAAAATAACGATTTCATTATTTTTGGTTAATAGGTCCAACTGTCCATCCATCTCCCTAGTGTCAGCTACAAATGGGCACTTGCCAAGAGCATTTGCCAGTGACTTAACAACAAGGGCACCTGCCATCTGGAAATGGCAACCCACCCCAGTACTCTCGCCTGGAAAATCCCATGGATGGAGGAGCCTGGAAGGATACAGTGCATGGAGTTGCAAGGAGTCGGACACGACTGAGTGACGTCACTTTCTGTGGAGACTGAACCCTGTGCTGCGCACCACCACCCCCCTCCAGGGGAATTCAGGGTGGAGAGAGGCACTCTGTGCTCCAGGGAAACTGGTGGAACAGGTCCTTAGATAGTTAGATATTTTCAGGAACTGATTCCAAGATCCCAAACCTTGCACTTCTTCTTATCTAGAAAATCACTAAATCCCTTCAACGTGACATCAGCTCCTTGTGACTAGCAGAAAACCTTTGTAAAGTAAGCACTTGATTGCCGTGAACTCCCCGATTGCTGAAGTCTTATATGCTGACCTTCCTCCCTCTGCCTCTTTGGCGCAGTCTCTCAGAGCTGTCTCCCGGGGAGGTGCTGTCTCCTGGGCTCCAGTCTGCATTCTGCCCCCCAAAAAACTTAACTCGCAACTCTCACCCTGTGCGTCTTTCTAGTCAACACTGAATTTTACAGTGAAAGTGTGCAAGAATTTACAGTGGTTTTAAGGAAATGAGGGACATTTTAAGTTTACTTGGAGGCTTGGAATAAAGCAGAAAGGAGGCATGGAAACCAACTGGAAGACAGAAGTGGGGATGGAAGTGGAGTTATTCCAGCAAAGTCCTCTGTAGCAAGTTGTTTACTGTTAGAAGTAGACTTAGGGAAATGCAAAGTTTTGAAGGATTCCTAGATTTGTACAAAACCAAGCTGCCCAGTGGGGATACCACTTACACTATAGTTCTTTAAAGTAGTGGAGCTTTTTCTCCTAGCGTTCACTTATCTCATGCTTTGGAGATGGGTCAGAATTCCTCTCCATCCCCCTGCTGCCTCCAACGTTCCTCTGCGCCCTGGAGAGACAGCCACCCACCATGGAGCTCCCTGCTGTCTGGCTGCATCACCGTTTTCTACCCAACCTCCCTGGTGAGCTCAGGGGTGAGCCTAGCTTTGGACAAAACCAAGATGTCTCCTCAAAGCCCAGTCCAGTCAGGCAGTGGAAGTTTCTGATTAGAGAGACTTGAACCTGGAAGACATGCAGACTGCCTTGCTGAGGGTCAGTACGGAGCTGCCCTGGCCCTGTGTCCCAGGGCTGAGCAAGGACCATCAGGACTGAAACTGTTTACCTTAGGGGGACCTGAACCCACGTGGCTGGGACTCTAACCCACCGACTCAATGGACATGAGGTTGAGCAGGCTCTGGGAGATGGTGGAGGACAGGGAAGCCTGGCGTGCTGCAGTCTGTGGGGTGGTAAAGACTCGGACATGACTGACTGAACAACAGCAACCCACATGGCTGGGACTCAAAGCCAGCCGAAACCCACAGTATCTGGTTTTGGGACCTAATGAAGCTCCGGTGTTTGATGTTTCATCACAGAAAGAATTCAGTGCGAGACAAAGTGATAAGAAGTGGGTTTCTTCAGTGAGAAACACACTCCACAGAACGTGGGCCATCGCAGAAGGCGAGTCTAGCGACCACTACGTGTGGCCTGGTTAGCTTTTATGGGCTGGGTAATGTCACAGGTTAGTAACTGGGAGGATTATTTCAACTATTTTGCGGAGGGGTAGAGATTTCCAGGAGTTGGGCCACAACTGCTTTTTGGGTCTTTTGATGGTGTCTTGGAAATAGATCTTCCCTGTAGCTCAGATAAGTAAAGATTCTGCTCTCAAGGCAGGAGACCTAGGTTTGATCCCTGAGTCACGAAGCTCCTCTGGCAAAGGGCATGGCAACCCACTCCAGCATTCTGGCCTGGAGAACCCCACGGACAGAGGAGCCTGGCTGACCACAGTTCGTGGGGCCTCAGAGTCAGACACGGCCGAGCGACTGACACCACAGTGGAACGGTCACAGCGCCTCTGCGTGTGGCACTTCTGTGCTCCATCGCTCAGTCGTGTCCGGCTCTTTGCAACCCTATGGGCTGTAGCCCGCCAGGCTCCTCTGTCCATGGGATTCTCCAGGCCAGAATGCTGGAGTGGGTTGCCACGCCCTCCTCCAGAGGATCTTCCTGACTCAGGGATCAAACCCAGGTCTCCGGCGTGGCAGGCAGATTCTTCACCCTCTGAGCCACCAGGGAAGCCTGGTGCGCCCTTCAGCTTGCTGACTGAGGACAAAGGTCCAGAGTTGACTCGACTGCCATCGTGGGCCCGTTGGATTCTAACAGGTTTATGCTGTACCCTTGGGCTGGTCAGTCTTTCAAGGGTTGTGTCCTCCCCTTCCCTCCTGTTTCGGGACCCTACGGCCGCTCCTTATAGCTGCCCAGGGAAGCAGCAGGGCCCCACAGGGAGTGCGGAACCTGAAGAAAGCAGGTTGGGCCCCCTCCGTGGGCAGGCCTCCCCTGCCCTTCATTCGCCCAGGACCCGGGCGCTGCCCTGACCCTCTCGGCCTCGCGTCTCTGCCCGCTCTCCCGCAGAGTGGCTGCGGCGCGCCGGCCGGCAACTCATCTCCCACGTCTCTTCAGTCTCGCTTCCAACGTGAAGCGACCCCGCAGGCACCGATGGGCACGGCGGGCAAGGCCGGCCGCCGCCCAGCCCGCGGGCGCCACGTTCCAGCGAACCGCCGAGCCTCCGCTCCCGCAGCCGCGCACACGGAGCGTGCAGGACGTGCTGGGCGCTGCGGCGGCCCCGCGCGCAGGCCACACACCGCGGCACGCTGCGCGGTGCACCGTTCGCCAGCAACGCGTCACCCGGACCCCAGCGCTAGGGGCCGGAACCCGAAGCCGCGCGGCTCGCGTTTCCGGGGGCGGCGACTTCCCGGAGCGACCGGCGCGTCGTCCCACGTGACGTGCGAGCGCGGGCGGGGCGGGGCGGGGCGGCAGCGCGCCTGCGCGGCCCGCGCCGGGAGTTTGCGGCTGGGCTGCGGGCGGGAGCTGAGGGCTGTAAACTCACGGTGCCTGCCAGGCCCTCAGCCCGCGCCGCGCTGTCCTCTTTTGGGCGAGCGGCCGCCCTGCTTCTGTCGCTGCCCGTCTGGCTGCAGAGCCTCCTGGGGAGGGGGGCGTGAGAAGCTGTTTCCTGTCAGCCTCCGCGGGCGGCACAGGAGGACGGTCAGGGCATTGGGAACAGAGGCCCGGACCCGGGCCTAGCGCCCGCCCCGTGAGCCGCTGCAGGGACCACCTTCCCCGCCAGGGACAGCCCCTGCCGGCGCGCCTGGGCCCTGGGCTGGGCCGTGGCGCCGGGCCTCAGAGAGGAAGGGCTCGGACGATGCTGGGAGATGAGGCCCGGGGAGGGCGGAGATGGCGAGGGCGCCCCGGCGGGGCTTCTGAGCCGCGGGGGCCACAGTGCGGAGCAGGCTGACGCTCAGACCAGGGCGCTGGCTCTGGAAGTGGACAGAGCCGCCGTGTGCTCTGCACACAGCTCCAGAACCCGCTGTGGGCCGCGGGGGAGGTGGGGAGGCAGAGGAAGGACCGGCGTGACATCCAGGCGGCTGGCTTGAACAGCAGGCTCCCCGAAGCTCTCCTGTAGTGGGGGCGGATGGTGTGTGTGGGGGAAGTCCGGGTTTCACTTTGTGTTCCTGGAAGGCACTCAGGATATGTGTGGGTGTCACCTGTGTGACGGGCTCGGAAGGGAGCTGGCGACAGGCAACATCGCGTTAGGAGGCCCCAGCAAGACCCTTCACCACGGGGGCAAGGAGCGAAGGCCCTAGGGAGCTGGCACTGGGGCGTGGGGGCCGAGGAGAGGGGCGGGGAAAAGCCAGTGAGGTAGAAAGAAAACTGATGCTGAGTAGCAGGCTTTGAGAGGACAGTCAGCTGAGATCTCAGAGCAGGTAACAGGGCCTCTGACTTGGCGACCTGCAGTGGTGGTGGCCTGTTGGGAGAGAAGCTGATTGGAGAGGATTGCTGAGTAAAGAGAACTCTTCCCCTTGCACTAGAGGAGCTGATGCTCCAGTTGGCATGAAAGATGGACAAGTGACAGTACCAGCTGCCAAAGGAACCCAGAAAAAAAGAAATGAGAGCAGCTTGTCCAGCCACAGATCAATATACATCTCAAGGCCTACTGAGTCCACCGCAGAACTGGGCGGCAGGCAGGGACTTGGGGGGAGCAGTGGGACGGGACAGGCCTGGACGCATGTGGGAGTTTGGGGGCCACTCTCCAGTCAGCGAAGGTGCAGGTGGACACTTTAATAGTATTGCTCATCCGAATAATGAAGATGTCAGATCCTCAGTGTGACCACGTACCAGTTAAAACAAAAGCATCGAACAAAGATATAAATGTGAAAGACGTGAAAATGTAAATGTGCTAGAAAGAACTGTGTGACTCTTCAGCACTGGAGTGGAAATACCCATGGGAAAGTGGGAGGGGGTGGGAGTGAGCACCTGGAAGGAGGGGACCTCACACCTGTAACAAGATAAATGTAACAGACAAGAATGGGAAACTTCCTGTAAATCCCAGTTTGCTACCATGCTGGGCTGGCAACGTGGCGGGGAAGCAGGTGCAGGGGTGAGGGTAGGGGCCACCCCCAAGGAGGCATTTTGACCCCTGACAGGATCACGGGTGCTTTTCCCCCATTGGGGATGTACACCAAATACCCCCTGTGCAGAAGGACGCACGATCAAGGTTACTGACCAAGGCACTGCTTATAACAGCAAAAGTGGTAACCAGGCAGGTGTCCCTCTAGGAGACCAAATCACGTCAGAACAGCCGCACCAGGGAACACTGCAGCCCTCAACAACGGGGTCACGAAACTTTCTATGTGCTGACGGGAGAGGGTCTCCATGGTCTTTTTTTTAAGTGAAAAAAAGGCAACATGCAGAACATGGTGATGGTAAGCCACATTTTGGGATGATGGGGGAAAATATTTGCCTGTATTTATAAAGGGAAACATTGGAGAATACACTAGAAGCGAATCATGGTGGAGGTAAAGATGGGGTATGGATGTGAGAGTTGTACCATAAAGAAAGCTGAGCATCAAGTAATTGATGCTTTCAAACTGTAGTGCTGGAGAAGACTTTTGAGAGTCCCTTGGACTGCAAGGAGATCAAACCAGTCAATCCTAAAGGAAATCAGTCCTGAATATTCATTGGAAGGACTGATGCTGAAGCTGAAGCTCCAATACTTTGGCCACCTGATGTGAAAGTGAAACTTGCTCAGTCGTGTCCTGCTTTGTGACCCCATGGACTATACAGCCGTGGAATTCTCCAGGCCAGAATACTGGAGTGGGTTGCCATTTCCTTCTCCAGGGGATCTTCCCAACCCAAGCATCAGAACCCAGGTCTCCTGCATTGCAGACGGATTCTTTACCAGCTGAACTGAGCTGACTTACTGGAAAAGATCATGATGCTAGGAAGGATTGAGGGCAGGAGGAGAAGGGGGTGACAGAGGATGAGATGGTTGGATGGCATCACTTACTCAATGGACATGAGTTTGAGCAAACTCTGGGAGATGGTGAAGGACAGGGAAGCCTGATGTGCTGCCGTCCGTGGGGTCACGAAGAGTCAGGCTGAGCAACTGAACAGCAACAAAGATGGGGCAGAGAGCAGGCAGGGAGTTTACGTCCGGGGAGCATTCCAATGTGTGTCTTTTAATGATAAAGAATAAAACGCAGTAGTTCGGGGGAAAAGGAAATAGAAGGTACACAGAACTAACCAGTTATGAAAAGTGGAAGGAGTTGTGGGATAAAGAAGTTTATGTTTAATTAACTTTTGAACTGGGAACAAATGATTGGTAAGGTGATTGAAAATTTAAAAAGGTCTTCCCCTTCCCACATACATGTGCAAAGTCACTTCAGTCGTGTCCAACTCTTTCCACCCCATGGACTGTAGCCCACCCGGCTCCTCTGTCCATGGGATTCTCCAGGCAAGAATACTGGAGTGGGTTGCTGTTTTCTTCCCCAGGGGATCTTCCTGACCCAGGGATGGAACCTACGTCTCTCACGTCTCTTGCGTTGGCAGGCAGCTTCTTTACCACTAGGGCCCCCTGGAAGGACCCCCCCCCCACAACTTCCCACACCAGACACCAACTTTCCGCCCCACGAGTGATCAAAATAGCTATCAAGTTAGCTATTTTTTTAGTATCCTGCCAGAGACCTTACACACGTCCGAATGATGTTGCCGTGCACAGGTGCCCTGGAGTTACGTGGGGAGGGTGGCCAGCGCCCCTCTGCACTTCCGAGGCTCACCCCACAGCGCGGAGATCACCCTGCCCCACACGGGGCCCTTCCACTCCGTGGCTGTGACGTATTCTGCCCAACCTGTGGGCCGTTGTGTCACTAACCCGGCCCCTGCCCCTGGACATCAGAGCCTTTTCCAGCGGCGTGGTTCTGATGGACTCTCACAGCCACTCAGCGCTCCTGTGCACTTATCTTTAGGGCAGATTCCTAGAGCGCCTGGGTCCAGCACACGTGCTCGTGACGTGGACAGCAGTTGTCAAGTGGCCTTCCACAACAGACACATGCCAGCCGGCACCCTGCCCATCCCGTGTGCCAGTACTGCTGCCCACAGCTGCCCCGAGCAAGGGTGGTGCCAGGCTGTTAGCTTCACCAGGCTGACGCAGAATGTACCTGTGCATTGTTTTTTTTTCCCCCCACTCTAAACATCTATTTCATGAAATCTCAGATACAGCGGTGCACTGAACTCCCTACACCCATTGCGAGTCTCAGCGACCCGTCCCTCCACTGTTCGCTTCATGTCCAGACCCCCAACTGCCCTTGTCTTCCCATGGCTGTCTCGCAGTCTTAACAGCACACATGCAGAAAGATACAAAGATTAACTGTAAATCTTGACAAACGGCTGCGCCTGCACGGCACACCCCCAGATAAAGCTGGAAATGTCCGTCACCCGCACATGCCCCGTGTCCGGCCCGGCCTGCCCTCCTCTGCCCAGCTGCCATCCTGCTGGTCCCCCTGCCCCGGACAGCTCCGCCTGCCCCGGAGCTCCTGGAGGGCATCCTGGGGACGATGATGTCCAACCACGGCACGCCTCACTCGCTGGTTCCCTTTGGGTCTGTTTCACCCTGTGGTGTGAGTGTTGTGGCGGTCACATTCACACACGTTCAGGCCACGTCTAGTTTCTGGGTAATATGGGAAAGCTGCTGTGAACATTTTTTAAGGCTTTTAAAATTTTTAACACTCTGGCTGTACCTCGAGGAATGTGGAATCTTGGTTGTCCAACTAGGGGTTGAAGCCACGCACCCTGCAGTGGGAGCGCTGAATCCAATCCTCTGGCTGCCAGGGAAGCCCCATTGTGAGAGTCAGGTCCCTTTGCACACACGTGTGTGAGCTTTCCTGGGCCATGCTCTGGAGCGGACTCGCTTCCTCCAGTGATGGGCGCATGTTGACCTTCATCAGAAGCTCAGTCCGTCTTCCATGCAGTGTGGGAACGCTCTGGTTGCTCCACGTCTCCATCCACATTCGGTGGTGTCCATCACCGACTTTCAGGACGGGGTGTGGTGACGGCTCACTGTGGCTTTGTGAGTTTCACGCTTTTCCGTGCGCCTCTCAGCCGTTTATGTGTGTCTTCCCTTGGGACGTGTCTGGTGACCCTGCAGCCACAAACTCACACGTCTGGCTGGTCACAGTGTTTGTCATTCAAAGATGGACTCCTGTCCAGGTTCTGCTTCACCCACTCTCCAGTGCCTTCTGACTGTTACTCTAAACATACCTTTTTATTTTTTTGCCCAGCATGTCTCACTACTTTCCGTGGGGGTAGGGGACGGCATATTACAAAGCAGAGACATCACTTTGCCAACAAAGGTCTGTCTAGTCCAAGTTATGGTTTTCCCAGTGGTCACGTATGGATGTGGGAGTTGGACTATAAAGAAAGCTGAGTGCCGAAGAATTGATGCTTTTGAACTGTGGTGTTGGAGAAGACTCTTGGGAGTCCCTTGGACTGCAAGGAGATCCAACCAGTCCATTCTAAAGGAAATCAGTCCGGAATATTCATCGGAAGGACTGATGCTGAAGCTGAAACTCTAATACTTTGGCCACCTGATGCAAAGAACTGACTCATTGGAAAAGACCCTGATGCTGGGAAAGATTGAGGACAGGAGGAGAAGGGGACAACAGAGGATGAGATGGTTGGATGGCATCACTGACTCAATGGACATGAGTTTGAGCAAGCTCTGGGAGTTGGTGTTGGGCAGGGAGGCCTGGCATGCTGCGGTCCACGGGGCCGCAGAGTGGACACAACTGAGCGACTGAGCCGCAGGGCAGTCTAGCCATGCTCCCCTAGTGGTGCAGACTCTGTGAGGTTCGGTTGCATCTCTCTCTCTGTTACGATACGGCTGTAAAGGAGGTCACGTAGATGTTCACGAGTCCTAGAGCCATCAGCTCTGCCTTTTTGGAGGACTTCACAGTGAAGGGAATATTTACAGCTGCCCAGGTTTCAGTTTTGCCCCAGAGTTTGATCAAAAAAGAGGGCCAGTGGCTCAAGGCCTGGGCAGGGGCAGTGAATAAAGAGGGGTGCAGGGAAGGCGTGGTGAGATGAGAAGTTTGGTGGGTTCATAGCTGCAAGGCTGAATTATTAGTGAAGCTTGATCAGGTCAGCAGGGAGGGAAGGAGTCCTAGAGCAGATGCCCTTACATGTGGTGATAAGAGGCAGGGGTGGGTCTGAGGGGGAAGGGAAGAGGCCTGGGAGCCCAGGGCAGGGCACTGGCTGCATTTCCTGCACAGGGTTGAGTCTTGGGGGCCTTGGCACCTGGAGGTGGAGATGGAGGAGGGACAGTGGGCTGAGAGCCCAGAGGTGTGAGGAAAGGAGGGGCTTTACTTGGACGCCTGAAACCTGGGAGGGCTGGGGTCTTGTGAGGAGTGATAGAGAAATGTGCCTCCATTCCTGGCCGGCTGGTGGGGACTGATGGGAGAACAGGTCCGTCTGTGCCCCCTGCGAGGAAGAATCCATGTGGGCTGCCTGCGGTGGGGGAGGCTGCCGTGTGATGGACCGAGGGAAGGGGAGTTCGAGGGCTGTGGCCCCTGGGGAGGGTGTGGGCAGAACAGGGTTCAGCTGGTGGGCTCCTGGGGAGGGTGACATTTGCAGAGCTGTGGCTCTGAATGCCTTGCAGCCGGCGGCCTGTGGGCTGGAGGACAAAAGGGAAACACCAATAGACTTCACCTCCAAGAAGACTGTGGTGGCTCATCTGGATCCAGGCAGGGCCAGGATGGGATCTGAGCCTCCCCGCTCCTGGGCTGGGGTCTGCCAGCCTCCATGCCTTTCTGAAACACCAAAGGTATGGGGATAGACTGTGCCCCCAAATTCAGATCGTGCAGACCCTGACCCCAGAGCTCCAACGTCACTGCATTATGAGGCAGGGTCTCCAAAGAGGGGATGGGGGTGAACTGGGGTCCCAGGGTGGGCCCTCATCCAGTCTGACTGGAGACCCCATAAGAGGAGGTGAGGGCAGAGACAGGCACAGAGGGGTGCCCACTTGAGGACACGGCGTCTGCATCCCACGGAGACAGGCTGCAGGAGGAGCCGGCCCTGTGCTCCTGGATCTGGGGTCCCAAGCTCCAGGGTGTGAGCAGTGACGCTGGGGGTCCAAGCCCCCTGCGGTGCTGTGTGAGGGCAGCATTAGCCAACCCGCAGTACCCTCGAAGACACAGGGCAGGATGTGGTTTATGATTCACGACGAGAACTACAGGGAATCCCTGGCAGTTCAGGGATTAGGACACTGTGCACTCACTGCCCAGAGCCCGCGTTCGGTCTCTGGTCAGGGAACCAAAATCCTACAAGCCACGCGGCACAACCAAAAAAACCAGAAACACACATATTTGGTCTTCGTTCCTGTCTTTGGCACAGAGCCCCTGAAACCCTCGGCAGTTCCTGTGTGAAGAAACTCATCAAGCTGTCATCTGTCCTGTGAAGGAGGTGACTGGAGACCCCTGAGGGTGGGGACAGCTGCCAGGAGGACCAACCTTGGATGACAGCCCCACCCCCTGACCTCTCGGGAGGTGGGGCAGCGGAGATGGAATCGATCATCCATGGTTAATGATCTAATCAATTGCGCCCAGGCACGAAGCCTCCATGAAGCCCCCACAGGATGAGGTTCAGGGGTGTCCCGGCTGGTCAGCCCAAGGAGGCTCAGGGCGAGTGGCTCAACCAGAGGGAGCTTGGAAGCTCACACCTGCCCCTACACCTTGCCCCAGGAACCGCCTGGCTGACCCTGAATTATATCCTTTTTTAAAAAAAATAAATGACGGATCTAATAATCTGTTTTCCTGGGGTCAGGGGAGCCTCTGCTCCATAACCCAAGGGTTAGAGGTACAGGTGACAAGCTGGGCTTGGGACTAGCATCAGAATTGGGGGGTGGGCAGGACTGTCTTGTGGGACTGAACCCTTAAGCATGGATCCGACCTGTGTCTGGGTAGACAGTGTCTGAATGGGGTTGAGTTGTAGGACACCCAGCTGGTACTGGAGCACTGCTTGTCAGAGGGGTGGGAACACCCCCCCAAGACACACATGCACACACACACACGTGCACACACTGATGCACAGGTGTGTGCGTGCATACGCACACACCCACAGCGCACATTCACACATGCATGCACACATACATGTACACATGTAGAGATGCATGTGTGTGCGCCTGTGCACAAACAGCACATGTTTACACATCCATGCACACATGTGTGTGCACACACACATATGTACACACACACACACACACACACACATTGGAATTGGCTCCAGAACCTAATTTTCGAGGCCCCAGTTGTCTGCTGAATAAGGAAAGGAAACGGGCTTTCTCCGTACACCGATTTCTGTTCCAACTGGTGACTACAAACCCATTTGAATCCCAACCCACGGGGCGAGCTCCGGCTGCCCCAGAGCCCGACTTCCCCAAGAGGCTACCTGCTGACCCAGCTGGAGCTGGGCTGGGGCGCCTGGACGAGTCAGCGCAGCCAGCTTCCTTTCTGAGCCGCCCCCGCCGGGCCCTGGCCCTGCAACCAGCTGTCCTTGGACCCCTCCGCGGCTGCTGGGGCTTGCCCACCACCTCCCACCCTCTGGAGCCCCCCGGGGCTGGGCAGGAGCAGCTGCAGGACGGAGAAGGCAGGCTGGGGGGCATGGTGGCCCAGGAGGCCTGGGACCCGACGGTGATGCCTCTCCAACTGCCGGCGGGTCCCACTCCCCTCACCACGGCCAGCACAGTGAGGACGGGCTCCCCTGCCCCAGGGAGCACTGGGGCTAAGCCCTGCGCCGTCCTCCCGGTCGGCATCGTCAGCAGCAGTGCTGCCGGCATGCCTGCTGGCCGTGCCTAGGCTCCCCTTAGCAGCTGTCTGCCACAGTGCCTTGTTCCCCTGTGAGGGCTCAGAGGCAGGAGAGGACGGGACCTGGGGGCAGGTGCTGGGAGGCCAGGTGGCCGGCCGGGTGGGGAGGGCACAAACGTCTGCCCTTCCGAGCAGGTGGGGGGAGGCGACGGGCGGAGAAGTCCCTGGATGGACCTCCCGTGCCGCGCCGCCGGGAGGGCTGCACTGTCTCTGCCTCTCCTTGGCTTGCGGCTGCTCAGCTCCAGGCCCTCAGCTTGGAAACTGGCCTCGATGGGGGGTCCTGGGGGGCCCCGCCTTAAGGGTGGGTGGAGGTGACTGGGTGTGGAGGAGGGGGTGTGGAAGGGAGGCGCCGTGACCATGGCAGTGACCGTGGCCGGGCGGGGCTGGGGCTGTGGAGGGTGAGCAGTGGCGGGCCAGGGGACCGGGCAGAGGCTGGACCACTGGGCGCCCCCCGCCTCCTCCAGGCTGGGAGGTGGGGATGGAGCTGGTGGGTCAGAAGCCTGTGTCTGTCCCGAGGATCTGAAGGTGAACCTCACCGACCGGTGGACACGAGTGCTGGGAGCAGCGAGGCCAGGGGCGGGGTTGGGGGGGCTGGTGTGGACAGCTCGCTGAGCCCGGGGCGGGGGGCAGAGGAAGCTGGGGAGGGGGGCCCGAGGCTGGCCAGATCTGCCCTGGGCGCTCCCTGCCTCAAAGCCGGCAGCTTCCCCGGGGCGCCCCGGGCGCTGCACGTCTGCACCCGTTGGCACATGGCCCCTCACTCTGCCACCTCCGCAGGGCGGCCGCGGCCTGGGGCACCCAGGCCGTGTGCCCCAACCCTGAGTGTTCCCCTGCTGTGGCTGTGGAGCCCTCTCTCCCCTGAGTCCTCCCCTCGGCACTGCCTCCAGAGGCACTGCGCCAGGGGGAGGGGCTGTGCCCAGCACCAGCGGGGCGGCAGCAGGCGAGCTTTGTAGGAGGGCCTGGGTCTGCCACCCACTGGCTCTGCGACTGCAGGCCAGCTAGGCCCCTCCACGTGCCTTAGGCTCGTGGTGTGGGGGTCAGAGTGTGAGCACAGCTGGGCAGAGCCAGGCTGGCGGGAGGGGTCCCGGAAGCCCATCCTGGTCAGCTGCCCCGCAGGTACCTTCTGACTGCCCCCCCTGCCCTGCCCGGGTTGGCACGGCAACAGCCTCCTTTGGGTTCTGAGAAGGCCCGGGCTGAGTCACGGGCCCAGCCGGGAACAGGGAAGGGCCTCCCTGCAGGACAGTGGCCCTGGTCCAGGAGGAAGGCTCCTTAAGAGGCAGGCTGGGCCAGGCAGGGAAGGTGCAGGTGCCACCTCCCAGAAGCAAGGACGCTGTGCGCCTAGGGTCCAGACTCGAAGGCCCAGGAACCAGCAGCCCTTCCGGTACCAGTTCACCCCGGGGCACCCTCCGGGGTCCTCTCAGCAAGCGCGGGCTCCCAGCCCCACCCCCTCCAGGGTCTGTCTCAGCTCTTCCTGGTGGGTGCTAGGCCAGAGACACACTTCCGGCCATCTGCCCCAGCCCAGCGAGGAGGCTCAGGCCCCTGTCCGGGGAGGGGGCTGGAATGCCCATGCAGACTGCCATCATGGGTCCTAGAGCCCCCAGCAGCCAAGCCTGTCCAGCCACCCGCCCGATCAGGTCCCACTCAGCCGTCCCGAGATCAAGCTGGGCGCCACGGGGTGGGGGTGGGGGTGGCGGGCACGAGACCCCTGCCCAGCCTTGCTCACCTCTTGTGAGTGTCCATCCCGCCCAGGGGGAGGCAGGGGTGTACAAATGGGGTGTGGAGGGAGGGGAGAGGCACAGGGTGAGGGGGGGCAGGGGATGGGACTTCCTCTGGAGCAGGGGGACAAGACCCAGAACCAGAGAGCTGGGGGCCTCAGAAAGCGCCCCTACACCAGGCAAGAGGCCACGAGCTGTCTCAGCAGGCCCCAACCCGCATCCTACTCCCCAGGATTTGGGGTGGGGGCGAGGTAACAAATCTGGGGAATGAGGATCCATCACCTGTACACAGCCTGCTGCAGCCCACTGCACCCAGGAGACATGGCAGGTGGCCTCTGGGACAGGGCTCCCAGCGTGCCCACCGCCCACCCGGGTGGGTCCCCCCGAAGACCAGCGGCACTTCCAGTTCCCACATGCACTGGTGTCCCCAGGAATAAGCATGGCCCGCTCCACCTGGGGTGGGCTTTATTACCGGTCACTGAGATGATGACGTGCAAAGGGGAAGACAGCACTGATTTCCAGACCGTCACAGCAGGTGGGCGCATGCCAGCAAGTCCTCCCGCAAAACGCTGAGCGCCAACAACTGTCCTCCGGGCACGGAGGACCCCCACCCAGGGGCAGCGGCGCTCAAGGGGCGGGAGGCTGGGCCATCCAGGAGGGTCCCACAGAGCAGGCGCCCCCAGTAAGGGGTCTATCTACACACGCCCCTGCGACACGATCCCAAACGGTTAGTGTCTTAAATATGTGTGTGTGTGTGTGTATATATATATATATTTTTTATCTGAACTGTGTCAGTTGTTAAACATAAAACTGACCACTTCTCTCTACATTAACTTCACAGTAACTGTTTGCAGAAAACAATGAATCCAGTGTTGATAACTCAGGACAGGCTTCCTGCCCCGGGAAAATAAATTTCTTCCCCAGTGGAAACCCCGGGGGGAAATCCAAGGCTGAGGCTTCATCTCCCCGCTGCCTGCTGGGGCAGGGGCTCGGGTGCTGGTCCGACTCGGGCCCCGCCTTTGCTGGACACAGATGCCCACACAGGCAGACTCTCACTCACACACACACACACACACACACACACGCACGCACACACACACTCACGCATGGAAATCCGATCATGGAGCATATCACCCACGTGTGCAGTCCAACCAGCTCTTCGAGAGGTGCAGGCCTGGGAGCCAGGACAATCAGAAGCGGGGTCCCCTTCCCCTGGTTCTCTCTGGTCCGCAGGCCAGCTGCCCACACACCGGGCTGAGGGCCTGCAGGGGGACGGCCCCCCCCCGTCTACCTGCTGCAAAGGCCAATGGTCTCCTCATTCCAGAACAGGCAGACAAATAAATAACGACATCAAGTGTTGTCAGGAGCCGAGCAATAATTTAAACTTGAACTCGGACCTCAGCACCACTTCCGGTCACAGCAGAAAGAGCCCGTGCTCTGGGGAAACCAGGAGTCCGGGCGGCTCTGCCGCCTTCAGGACCTCCAGAACCTGGGGCGGCCCCACCTCTACCCACCGCCTTGGGATCCAGCAGCGAGACCTGGCCAGGGAGCAGGCAGACGAGGCGGAGGGCCCCCACCAAGCACAAATGCAGCAGCCTTTTGCCTTTTAGGAGCATCAGCCTCTGCAAGCGGTGTGGGGGGGTCCTGTGACCACTGCCTGGAGACCACCTGCCCTCCCCCCACCCCGCCCCAGCAATGCCTGCTTTCATCCAGACCCCCGTAGGAAAAGGAAGCCCTGCCCACCTGGCTCTGATCCAAACTGCAGCCTTCGGGCCACCGCCACCCCCCCACCCCCAGCACTCTGGCAATTACCAGCAGCTCCAGGGAGACCGTGATCAGGTGGACAAATGACCTTCAGGGTCAGGCCTACCACTGACCAGGAATACGCCAGGCGGGTGGCTGTGTTCCCGGCGCCCCTCGGCGCCCCCCGGGGAGGCCAGGAGGCGCACTGCTCCCTGTCCTTGGGCAGGGGAGCAGCACGGCCCAGCAACCATGCGCCAGCATCTGGCAACCTCCAGAGGCTCCTTCTGTATCTAGAGAAACGTTTCCAAGCCCCACTCTCTGCCCTGCACTGCGGTGTGGGCAAGACTGGAGCTTCGGAGGGCCTGCCTCCCTCCCCAGCGCCCGCAACTCCGCAGCCCCTGCTCCCAGCTGGTTCTGCTGCTGCCACCAGGGCTCCTGCTGGGGCCGTGCCCCTGGGATGCCAGCTGTGCCCTGAGGGCCCTGCTGGTGCTCACTGTGCCCGGGGTGCCCCGCAGGGGTTCCCGCTGCCACCTGCCAGGAGTGGCCTGTTCCGTCCGCGCTCCCGTTGGGACTCACACTGACAGCATCTGTGAGCGGGCGTCCTTCACTGAGCGCAGTGCCAAGCTCACAGGGTGCTCCTGAGCCTGCCCGTGGGGCGGTCAGGAAAGCTTGGGAGGAGGGTCAGCTGGCCTCCTCTCGCTGGGGAGCCCGGGCCCTTCAGACCCTTCGGACACTCCTTGGGACAGGCTGGAGGGGGCGGAGGAGTTCGGTGTCTGGTCAGGGCAGGTCCAGGGACAAGAGTGAGCTGGTGCAGAGGGCCAAGGCTGGAGGAGGGCTGCCCGGGAGGCTCCCAGTCCCGCCATCTGGGGCCATTTTCCCGGGGCAGCAGGGTTCCTTCCGCTGGGCTGGCCCAGCCCTGGGGGCTTCTCCCGCTGAGCTGCCGGCCTCACACTCCCTCGGCCCCTCCGGCGGGCCTCACACCAGCAGGGACTTGACCAGGCCGCAGTGGAACTTGCGCACGTGGCGATAGAGGTCCCCCGACTGCGTGAAGCGGCGCGCGCACCAGCGGCAGGCGTGCGGCTTCTCGCGCGTGTGCACCACGGCGTGGCGGCTCAGGTTGTGGGAATACTGGAAGCTCTTGCCGCACTGCACGCACGTGTAGGGCTTCTCGCCCGAGTGCGTGCGCTCGTGCCTCTTCAGCGTGTACGTGCAGGAGAAGGTCTTCCTGCAGAGCGGGCATGTGGGCGCCGCCCCGTCGGGCGAGAGGCGCGCGCGGCCGCCGTCCCGCTCGCGGAAGTGGGCGCTGAGGTGCGGCTGCAGCACGTGGGTGCCGGGGAACAGCTTGCCGCACAGCGGGCAGAGGCAGAGGCGCCCGCTCGGCTGCAGCGCGGCCTCCAGCGCCCCGTGCTCCGCCTCGGACCCCAGCGCCCCCCTGCCCACCCCGCCGACCGGCAGCAGCCCCAAGCCCCCGGCCAGGGGCTCCGCCGCGGGAACACCGGGGGGCCGCAGGGGGCTGTGGGCGCTCCGAGGGCTGCTGCGGCCGTCCTCCGGCTCGGACTCCGAGTCTGGCTCCTCCTTCACCACCGGCTGGGCCCCGGGCTGCTTCTGGCGGCAGGGGGCGGTCTGGAGGACGCAGGGTGGGCAGACGGGAGGCCTCTTCGGGCCGGGCTTCAGCGACAGGTCCAGGGCCCGGTCTGACTCTCCAGGCGCCTGCCAGGGGGGAGGTCCCGGTGCGGTCGGAGGGCGGGTGGCCTTTGGCCCAGCGGGAGGGAGCCTGGCCTTCAGAGAGGCTGGAGAGGGCGCGGGGGCCCAGGCAGACGGAGGGCCCGGGGGCTGGCCCGGCAGCTCTGCCCCAGAGGAGGGCGTCTCCGGGGTCAGCGCGCGCTCCTTCTCGCGGAGCCTGTTCTTGCAGACCTTGACGATGTCGTACATATGCAGGTAGCTGGCGGCGGCCAGGACGTCCTCGACGGGCAGGCTGCGCAGGTCCAGGCGGCCCTCGTACATGAAGTCCAGCAGACGGCCGAAGGCAGGCGCCGTAACGATGTCGCCGTTGAGCCGCACCGTGTCGCGGCTGCCCGCGGGCCGGTCCCTGTAGAAGAGATGGAAGTAGACGCTGCACGCGGCCAGCACGGCGCGGTGGGCCGGGAAGCGCGCGTCGCCCACCAGCACCGTACAGTCGCACAGGAAGCCCAGCTCGCGCTGCTGCCTCAGGCGGCCCAGAAGACGCCCGCCGTGCTCCGGGAACTCCATGCCGCCGCGGTCATCACCTGGGCACAAACGGGACGCCCGTGAGCGCGCCTGGAGACGCCGCGGCCGCCACTCGCCCCCCAGCCGCCCGGCCAGCCCTTCCCGGGTGCGGGCAGCGCGGGGAGAGGGGCGCGGGGCGCCGCGCGCGACTGCCCGCCCGGAGCCGCCCTGGGCACCTGCCCCGAGCAGGAAAAACTCGATCGAAAGTAAACAGGAGCTGCTCCGCCGCGGGGGCGGGTCCCGGGGCGCCAGCGGAGGGGGCCGGAGCCGCGCGAACCTGCGCGCGTCTCCGCCCGGGGCACCCCTCCCCGCGCGGGCGCCCCTGAACTTCACTCTGGGGCGGCCGCCGGCCGCGTCCCCCGACGCCCGAATCGCCGCGCCGCCGCCGCCGCCCCTGGTCCGCGCCTCCGCGCCGCCTCCAGCTGCCGCTCGGCCCGCCAGATGCCGCCGCCGCCGCCGCCGCGGGGCCCCATTTAAGGCAGCGCGGCCGCGGGGAGCGGGCCGGCGGGCGGGGCGGGCAATGCCGGGCGCCCGCCCCCCGCGCTCACCTCCGCCGCCCCGAGCTCCTCTCCGGCCGCTGCCCGCGCCGCGCGCCCTCCCCGGTGCCGCCCCGGCGCGTGCGGAGCTGCGGGCAGCGCGCCCCGGCGGGGAGGGCGCAGGGACGGGGAGGGCGCCGGGCGGGGCGCGCTCTAACTTGGCTGGCCCGGCAGCACTCACCGCTTGCCCCGCCCCGGAGAGAGCGAAACTCGGGGCGGGGGCTGGAGGGGGCGGGCCGAGGCGACTTCCCGGAGCGGCGGAACCGCTGAGGTCACCCACGCCGCCCCTTCCCTGTCCGCCCCGCCCGGCCGGGCCCCGCGCGCCGCCATCTGGGGCGCTGGGGTGGGAGGGGACGCGGGACGCGGCGGGGGAGGGGGCTCTCTCGCGATACTTGCCTCTTCATCCTCGGGGTCCCCCCCGTGGGGTCCCAACTGCGTCCGTCTGTTAAGAGACCCCTTCCGAGGACCAGCTCCTCTCCCAACCAGCGCCGGCGCCAGTCTCCCGAAGGCGCAGCCGGGAAGCGCGGCCACCTCGCGGGGCGCCCGCCCTGGGATGGAGGAGGGGGCGGGGGGAGTCGTACATATTGAGAAGATGACACCCCGTTTCGTTGAAAGCCTCGTTTTGAATTTAATTTAGCTGGGCCCCTTTTCCAGACGCTTGGGCGGGTTCTCGACCTTGGTGTTCCAAAACTGGGCACTCTCCATCCTCTCAGCGGACCCAGCGCAGCCTCTGCTGGGAGCCAGGTGCACGGATCTCTGAGCTGTGAGCCTTGGGGACCGTGCCGGTCCCAGAAGGCGTGATGGGGTGAGGGGACCATCACGGTGATAGAGAGGGAACTGCACCCAAAGCCCAGAGCTGGGCCAGGGGCTGGGAGGGGTGAGGGGGGAGTGTTCTGGGAGAGATGACACCTTGAAGGAGCTGGGTAGGCCTTTCAGGTGCAAGGCCACCACGTGAAGGTGTGGGGGGACACCTAGGTCCTGGGTTAAGGAAGGAGCCTGAGAAAAACAAAGAGCAATGAACTTGGAGAGGCTGGGACCCCCAGGTGGGGTGACTGTTGGCTGGCAGTCTTCCCAGCGACCTTTGCAGAGCAGGATGCAGGCGCTGTGGACCACTGCTCAGTGTCCCAGCAGCCCCGCCGGCTCAGCGAGGCACTCTCCCTATCACACTGGTTTTGGTTCGGAAGGCGCCAGGGCCACACAGCAGGCAGTCAGTGGTTGAACCAGGATCCAAGTCTGTCAGCCCAGAGCCCCGGGAGATAGAGGGTGGGCAGGGGTGGGGCTCGGCGCAGGAGGAGAAAGGAGGCCTTGACTAGAAGTGGGGGTGGTGATGGGGACTGCTGGACCACAAAGGCGGGACCCCAGCCGGCCAGGTGTACAAGGGCAAAGGGGCAGAAAGGCGAGGTGGGGAGCCCCCTAGCATGCTCTTGGGTGGCCAGGACCCCTGGGAGGGGGGTTCCTGACTGTGAGATGGGGTGGTGGAGCTCCAGAGACCCTATTTAAACTCTGGTGGGCTGGGGGCCTCAAGAGTGACCAGAGGCCCTGGGGCTCAGCGCAGTTAGGACCTAAAGTCTGGAGGAAGGAAAGACACATTCTTATACTGAAATCGATTCCTTGTTTATCTGAAACTCAGATTTCACCAGGCAGCTTGCATTTTTATTTCCTAAATCTGGCAGTCTTTGGCTTGGCACCCTGGACTTGCACTGCGCTCAGAGTCAGCGAGAGCACCCTGGCTCCCAGGGCCCAGGCACTCTGGGGACCCCTTCCTGAGGAAGTCAGCCCCTTCCTTCACTTCCACGCCCCTCTGTCACCCCAGTGTGGGTAGCTGATTTCAAGTTAGGTCAGAGTGAACCCAGAGGGGACCACTTCTTGGGGTCTTGCTCAGAGTCCTGCCTCTATCCCCTTCCAACCTTGGGCATGACCCTTAACCTCTTCAGACCTTAATATTCTCACATGCAAAAGAGGGAGATTAACTGGAGGGCCCGGCATATGGCCAGGCCCTGGGGCCCTTCGTGAGTCCTCAGGTTCCACACACGTCTCCCCAAGAACCCTTCCCGGCTCCTCCCCAGTCCTGTCTCTGCTCCAGCAGCACCTCCCCGCCCCGGGAGTGGGCCTTCTTGATCGCTCCCACTCAGATGCCCCCAACCCCACGATCTCCTCTTGGGGCCTTCGCCTTCTCCAAGGAGCTCCCGTGTCACGTGACCTTGCCACGCCAGGCTCCCCACTGGGCCTTTGCTGCTGAGACTTGGTGTGGCACAGGGTGGGGGGTAGTCGTGACTCTCGAGTGAAAGCAGGGCGGAGGTGTCTGTCCAGTGTCCACAGGTGCCCACATCCTAATTCTGACTGCTCTGACGTGCCCACCTGCCCAGGCCGGGCACACAGCTCCCCAGCCAGGCCGGGAGAGGAGGCCCTGGGGTGGGCAGAGTGTCCTGGCCTGCCCTGCCTGGCTGGCGGGACAAAGGGCTCCTTGGGGCCCTGACGGAGGTCGTGGGGGCACGGAATGGGGTCCACGCAGCAGCAGGGGATGCGGCCAGCGAGAGGCTGGGGGTGTGCTGGGTAGGAGTGGCTAAGGTAGGACGGACATCGCTCAGGGGAGGGGACAGGGAGAGAGGCCCCTGTGTTTTCCTGGTCCGAAGGTCTCCAGTCTTCCTGGGGTTACTGCCTCCTTCGGGCCTGGGAGGGGCCGTCCCAGGCCACCTGAGAGGGCACGCGGCAGCCAGCGGGCCTGTCCTGTGGGTCCCCGTTGTGGCCGGTGAGGCCTGAGGCACAGGGGTGGCAGGAGGCTGTCGCAACGGCAGGGGCCGAACGTCGCTGGACTCAGCCAGCCAGGCGGCCATCTGGCCCGGGAGCTGCCTCGAGGCCCCGCCCTGCAGCTGCTGCGGAGACCAGGCAGCCCGGGCCTCGGGCCCCTGAGTCCTGCCTGAGGGCCGGCAGCTGCAGGAGGTGACAGGGCTGCAGGACCCTTGGCGCTATGACGGGCAGGTGGCCACCCCCCCCCGGAGGCTGGTACAGCAGCTTTTGTGGCCAACATCTGCCTCAGGGGCTCTGAGTGGGCCCAGCTCAGCCAGGGCAGTGGCATTCAGCTTGGTGGGGGGACGGGCAGGAGGTGTGCTAGAGGAGAGGGGCTCTGCCTGCCCTCCGGAGGCCAGAGGGCGCTGGGCCTGCCTGCAGAGACTCTGGCCACAGGGCCGGCTCCCAGCTATGCTGCAGGGAAGGCTGTGGGGTTACCGCCTGGACACGGACCAGGCCGAGGAGGCCTGACCACCGCGGAGACACTCCTGGCCAAGGCGCTGTCTGTCTTCTGATGGCGAGGATGGCTGTGGGTCACCACAGGACCCAGGAGAGGGCGCCCTCCCGGGCCCCCAGTGCCCCCCTCGAGGCCACCAGGGCTTCCCTGCCTTCTCCTTGGCGTTGCCAACCCAGGATGGGGGTGGGTGCAGAGGAAAGCCCTCCTGGGGGAATGATGGGTGGGGGCCAGGGGGATGGTCTCAGAGGGGGCTCAAGGGGAGGGTTTGGGGGCAAGTGCTTGTCAGGCGCCCCAGCAGCCCAGACCGGTCGGGTCTTTCCCCTGGCCCCTGCAGACGGGGGCCTGGGGGTGGACATTCAGCGCTGGGACAGCTGGCTGGGGCGGGAGGGTGGGGGTGTCGAGGGTAGAAGCCCAGAGGTTTGCGTCCTCTGTCGGAGGAGCAAGTGTCCCTGGTCCTTCTCTTTCAGCCCCGAGAGGAAGGGACGGAGCCCCAGGGTCAGCTGTGGACGCTGTCCTGGGTGCTCAGCTGCTTCTACCCTGACCCAGATGAAGTGTCTATACCCCACCCCTCCCAACCAGGCTAAGACTCTGATTCTGGAGGAAGAACAAAAATGTCTTCCTCCTCCCCAAATACACACCAACACCAGGAAGGTAGCCCACAAGTCTTCCTTAAGCGAAGGGATTGCTGTTGACTTGGAGGCCTGGGCGGAGGGGGAGGGGCAGCTGTTGGAAGAGCCTGTGCTCCGCAGGGGCCAGGGAGGGGTCGGTGGGGGGTTGTCTGCAGTGTCTTGCTCGCCCCTTTACTGGCCCCCAGTGCCCCACGAGTGCCCGGGATCCCCGGGGACATCAGGGAGGACCCCGGGCTGCCTCAAGCTGTCACAGCCCTTTTCTGGAGCCCGCCCTCTTGCACCCCCTCTGGGTGTCTGTACCGACTCGGGGGGAATCCCTCCAGGCCAGGTGTACTGAATGATGCCCCTCCCCTGGGCCCTGTGGCCCTCTTTTCTCTTGGTCCCCACGTGAGCTCCCTATTCATTTTTGTAGCTGCCAGATGTCTGTGTGTTCCTTCTGGGGAGGGGTGCTTCTGGAAGACCCCCGCCAGGGATGAGGGCTCGGCCCAGGGCCAGACCCAAGCAAGCCTTCAGCCCACAGACAGATGACTGCCCACCTTCCAGCCAGTCTCCTGCACGCCCCCCACCCCCACCCAAGGGGCCTGCGCTAGGCAGGGGCCTTGGACTGGGTCTGTTAGGCCCACCGTGGCCCCGGAGCCCCCGGCTTCCCAGCTTGGGGCATATTCTAAAAGTCAGACTAACCCACACTCCAGCCCTGCTCCCGCCGGAGGGAGGCAGAAAGCCGGCCCTGTTAACAAGGTCGGGGCCTGACTGGGCCGAAAAGTGCAGGCTCGCCGGACAAGACTGGGAAACTGAGTCCAGGGAGGCCGCGGCCCGGACACAGTCCCCAGGGCGGGCCGGGAGAGGCCGGGCTCCGCCAGCGGCCCGGCCAGGCCCCAGGGCCTCCCGCCGCGCGCTCCCGCTCCCCGCGGAGGGGGCGCCCCGGGCGGCGGAGGCGGATGTGGGCGGGCAGGCGGCCGGGCGGGGCGGGCGCGGGGCGGGGAGAGGGCGGGCCGGCGGGGCCGAGCGCGGCGGGCGGGCGGCCGGCCCAGCGCAGCCGCGCAGCCAGCGCATCCCGAGGAGCGAGCCGGCGGCCGCGCACGAGCTACGGGCCCGGCGGCGCGCGAGGCCCGCCCGAGCAGCGCCCGCCGCGGCCTCCAGACCGGCCCCGGCCGGCCGGCCCGCGGGGATGCGGAGCAGCGGGCGCCGGAGGCCGCGGCCCGGCTAGGCCCGCGCTCTCGCCGGACGCGGCGCCCGGTGAGTCCCCGCCCGCCCGCCGCCCGCCGCCGGGGCCCGGATTTCCTCCCCGCGGCCGGGCCGCTTTGTTCGCGGCCGTCCGGGCCGGGGCGCGGGCCGCGCGCGGCCGGAATGGTGGCGCGGGAGCAGGAAGTGGCCGAGCGCGGCCTGGGCGGGGAGGGCGCGGGCCGGGCGGGCGGCGGGGTGGCGGGCCTCCGGCCCCGGCCCCGGCCTCCCGCATGACCTTGGGGAAGCGGCTCCGGCGGGCGAGGCCCGGGCCGGGGCGGAGGGGTGCGGTCGCACGCCGGGGGGCCGGGGCCGGGGCCGGGGCCAGGGGTCCGTGGCGGTCGAGGGCTCCCGGGGCGCCCGGTCAGCGGTGGCCCGGCGCACACTGGGTGCTCGGGGGCCCGGGGAAAAAGACTCGACCCGGCTCTCGTTCAAGTTTGTGGGTGGGCCCTTGGAAGGGACTTCATTTTCCCATGGACAAAAAGTTGTCCGTGGTGGCTGGGTGCCCAGGCCCTCCCACAAAGGACTGCAGCCTTCCTGGGCCCTGAGACTGGTCCCGGAGCTGGGTGGGTTCCCGAGTGCTGCCCACCCATCCCAGAGGCTGGGGCTCCTGGCCCAGGTTGGGGGGATCCCAGGGCAGCTGGTGAACTTGGTGGGTGGGATTGGGTCCCGGCAGAGCTGGGGTTGTGGGCCTGTGCTCTGTGGCCGGCGGAGCCCCTGCCACTCCCGACGTTCACCCCTGGCCCCCTCCCACCTTGCTCAGGCCGCTCCTGGCTGCCCTGGGCCTCTGCTCCAAGCGAAGAGTGGGGTGCATTGGTGGGGCTTGGTCCCCTGCCCCCCAGCTGAACATCTAGTTCATAAACCGGTGATTTGGATGCCAAGGGAGGGGGCCTTTCAGAGCAGAGATTGTTATTTTTTTGGAAGGTTGTGACTTGAACAGTCATAGGAGTAATTCACCTTCGTGGTGAAGGCGCTGGAAGGACCGAAGCCGCGGAAACAGAGGTGCCCTCTGAGCCGCCTGCCAGTCAGAGGCGGCCCAGGCCCCGGCTCGGTGTACACCTCTCTGCACAAGCACACCGCCCTGTGTGTGCACAGATATATTTTTACACGCGGGGCTCTCGACAGCTGTTTGGCCCTGTCAGCAGCAGACCTACTTGGCCCCGTGGGGGTGGGGGCCCCGGCCAGAGGTCTTTGAGTCCAGCCCTCTGCCTCCAGGCCGCGCCCACTGGAGTGTCACCAGAGCCCCCTGTGCCTGCCAGGCCGGCTCTGGGCCCCATCGCTGGTGGTGCCTCCTCCGCTCTTCCTCGCCACACCTGCCCGTGGGCCCACTGAGGGGGCCAGAGAGCGGCTTCCTTGTCCTTATATCAGGTGCCAAGCGGTGAGTGGGTCCTCCTGCCCTTCCAGGTTTAGGCCAGGATGAACAGTGCACAGCGGCTTTCTCCAGCCCAGTAAGGTGGGCTGTGGGAGATGCACGTAGTGAGTGTATATGTACGTATGTACCATGTCGGAGGTACTTAGGGGTCTCTGCCCAGCCTGAGGGTCCCAGAGAGGAGTCTTTTCAGGCCTGCCCTCATGAGTGCCTGACTGGAAGGGTAGCGGAGGACTGCTCGTGGGGAGAATGCTGTTTCCCAGGATGCCCGGAACTGGTGATGTGGGCACTGGGTTTTGAGGGGTGCCTAGGAGTTCGTCCAGCAGGGGAGCATTGGGGTGGGCCACACAGGATCAATGGCCAAAGTGTCTGCTCACGAGGAGGCTGCTGGTGGGCCCCCGAAGGGCGGGTGCCGGGCCTCTGTGTTTTTACAGTCCCCCCTCCCCGATTAGCTGCCTCCTGAATGCTCTAATTATGGGTCTGTAACCACCCTGGACGGGGTGCTCCTTACAGACAGGACTCGTCTGAACCTCTCTTTGTCCCCAGTGCCCAGCGCCGAGCCTGGCAAAACCAGAGATGCCTGGTCCATGTTGGCCGAATGAATGAACCGGATTCAGGCCGGCGGGGGCGCTGAGGTTTAGGAGGGGCCTGGGGTTTCTCTGGATTGGGTGTGTGAGGGGTTTCGTGTCACCCTGGAGGGCTCCGGCTCGTCTGCAGCAGCCGCCTGCACGCCTGGCCCTGCCTTCTCCACACTGGAACTCCTTCCCAGTCTGGGGCAGAGAGGAGGAGGCCTGGGTCCTGCTCGGGAACCCCCGCCTCGGGGCGGGAGCACCATGGACGGGGAGACCTGGGTGCCCTCGCCAAGGGACGGGGGAGGGCAGGCGGTGTGGGCCGAAGCAGTCAGGGGGACTGCCTGGAAGAGAGGGCCTCCACTGGGTCGGCAGGTTAGGGAGGCTGGGGTATACCACGGGGGGTCTTTTGGGGACAGGGGTCATTTGTACAAAGGTCAGGGGAGGTGGGGATGGTCAGAGAGGGGGACAGTGAGCTCTGAGGGCTTCGGGGTGCGGGAGGGGTGGTGGCAGGGGGGGCTTACAGCCTGGGGGGGTGGGCAGGCCTGGCCCAGGGAGCCGTGTGAGTGACTTGGGATCTGGAGCCAGGGTGGGAAGGCCGTGTGGGGGGCGGCAGTGGCTTGAAGGCTAAGGGGGATAGGTCGTGTGGGAAGGTGCGCCTGGGCTGAGACCCTGGGTGCCACGGGTCTCTTGGGCGAACCTGAAGCTGAGGAGTGTTCCCGGGCCCATCTCCGCCTCATGCTTCCCTTTGCTTCTTCCAGAGGCTGTTGGCGGCCCGCTGGGCGCGGGGCGGACCCCACTGAGAGGCGTGAGAGTGAGGTCTGGGCCTTGTCGGCCTGCGGGAGCCGCAGCAGCATGAACGACGTGGCCATCGTGAAGGAGGGCTGGCTCCACAAGCGAGGTCAGTGCCTGCGGGCCGGCCCGGCTGAGGGCCCCGAGCTGGGCCCGTGGCTCCTCGGGGGCTGGGGGCGGACTGGGCTGTGGCTGCCGGGCCTGCGGGGCCTCCCTGGACTCTGGGAGCAGCCCAGGGGCGGTTCCAGGGCCCGGGGTCCCCACGGCCTGGGGAACACAAGCCCTGCAGGGCCTCCCGGGTGGGAACATACAGCCCAGGCCGGTGTGCAGCCTCCTGGTCGAGGCTGCGGGCGGGGAGAACCACCCGCTTTCCTGGAAGGCAGCGAGGACTGGGGCCCATCCAAGGCCTGGCGCGCTGGCGGCCCAGGGCACTGCCCGAGGGCTCCTGAGGGCAGGGCAGGGCTGGCGGGCCTGGCCCAGGGCCAGTCTTGGCCGGGCTGTGGGCAGGAGGGGGCTCCGCACTGCCTGGGGCCCGGTGTGGGGCGGGCTTGCACTGGTGCTGCCAGGCTGCCTGGCCTGACCCCCGCCCAGCCTGCCCCCTGCTCGCCCATGTGCCCCTGTGCCCAGGGAGGGGCTCTCAGGAAGCTGGTGGGATGGAGCTTGGTCCCGGGTGCCTCACCTTGCAGCCCTGTCTGCCTCACTGCCTTCTGTCCCGGAGAAGCTGGACAGGCTTGGTGTTGAGGTGTCTGAGGCGTCTGGGCAGGTCATGTTCTCCTGCTCCAGGCCGGGGGTTGGCTAGTCACCACCCGCTCCCCCAACTTTCCCTTCCTGCAGATCGGCTCCCTCCCAGAGCTCTGGCCACTCCACACTAGCTAGCCACTAGCCCCCCACTCCTCATGCACGCCCCCCGGGGACGCTGTCCCCTCCCCACCTCAGGACCCCACAGGCCGCTGGGAGGCGGACCTCAGCACAGGTGGGCACCCGCGGAGCCGCCCCGCAGAGCAGGCTGGGAAGCGCAGGGGAGACGAGACGCCGGGCGCTGCAGGGGCGCGAAGCCGGGGTCACGGATGTGGTCAGCGTGAGCTTTCAGAGCTCGCTCCGGCAGCGGCCCGGGGCACGGTGCTCGGCCTCTGGACAGAGGTGGGGCAGCTGCAGGGGCCTGTGGTCCGTGGCCAGCCCACCCCCCCCCAGGGCTTCCTGCAGCAGCCGGCCGTCTGGGTCCCCTCCGCCAGCGCTGACCCTTTCCTGGTCCCCGCCCTCCGGCACCCCCGGCACATCCCACCCTGTCTCCTCCCCTTGTCGCCCTCTTCGGGGTCAGGGCTGAGCCTGCCCCGGGTCCCTGTCCTGCCCTCTGCACCTGGCGGCAGCACAGACACACCCTGGGATCCAGGGCCTCTGAATCCTTGGCAAGCGTTCGTCGACTGACTGACCAGGGACTGACCTGGGAGGTGTCGGGGGTCAGGGCTCCTGGGGGTCCACTGGCCAGCCCGGTTCGGGTAGAAGCACCCCTCTGCTGCCTGGGTGAGTCTGAGAGGGCCCCTCAGGGTGTATGCCTTCCAGAGGGGTGGGGGGCATCCAGGCAGCGCCCCGTCACCGTGTCCGTCTCCACGGGCAAGTGCGTCGCCTCCTCAGGCCTTGGTGTCCCCAACGGGGGGAGCAGTGGGGGACGGGCCCCGGCCCCCGGGCAGAGCGCAGCCAACCGCAGGCCTGACAGGTCCTGTGTCCGCACTGCCTCTGGCCCACGTGCCCACTGGGCGGTGTGTGGTGTGGCGGGGCGCTCTGGCCGCTGTGGCCCAGGAGGGGCCGTGCGGCACAGGAGGTGCCCGGGTCCATGCCCATGGCCCCCCCCAGTCCCCCTGGGGGACCCCTGTGTCATCACCGTCTTGTTCTCTACGTCCATGCGTCTTCCACAGATCTGTTCTCCCCCCAAGTACGGGCTCTTCCTGTGTGCTGAGCTTTGGGGTGGAAGGGCAAAAAGAGCAGAGGTCACGGCCGGGATGGGGGGGATCAAGGATGACCGCGATTTGGGGCTGGAGGGCTGTGGCGGTGCGGTTTCTCAGGCCACGGGGGACTCGTGTTTCTGTCCTGGGGGGTTACCTCCTGGGGGTCCGCAAGCGGGTGGCTGTGCACGTCCAGCCCCTCGGAGTGGGTGGAAGGGGGCGCTGTCAGCCGCTCCTGTGTGCTCCCCCCGTCCCAGAAGCCTCCCCCGCCTGCAGCACCCTCCCACCCCCCTGCCCTGTCCCCACCTCTCAGGACCGGCCGGAGGAGGATGCCAAGGCCCCCCGTGGGGTGGCTCTGTGGAGTGGGGGCCCGGCCGGGAGTGGCAGGGGGCTCCACCTTCCCCACCCCACCCCCGCCACCAGGGGCCTGATTCTGAGTAGGGGTGCTCTGACTGTCCTCCAGTTCCTCACAGACTCCCGAGTGCCCCACGGTGCCTCTTGTTACGAAGGTCAGGGGGCTGCCGCAGGCCTGCGCCGCCTGCTGCGCTGTCTGCCCTGTGTCCAGCCCCGGGCCGGTGGGCAGAGGGCAGAGGCACTTTAGGGACTAAGCAGAGAGCTGAGGGGTGGGCAGCCAGGGTCCGTGTAGGACAGACCCTCGGGCCTGGCTCCTTCCCCTTCCCTTCAGGGACTGCATCGCTGACAACGCATGCTCTGGCCCAGGGCAGCCGAGCAGGCAGAGGAGAGCCCGCCTGGCGGCCAGCGTCCGTCCCTGCCCTGCAGCACCCGGGCACGGCCTCCCGGCCTCTGCGTCCCCAGGCGTCCCGGGGAGCATGCGGCCCAGCTGCTAGAGCCTGGGAAGGACGAGGGTTGGGCCGAGTGGGGCTGCAGGGACCGTGGGCAGGTCTCCTGAGAGACACCTGCACGTCCCGAGTACGAGTGCGTGTCCCAGAGGCAGGCCGGCTTCCTGAGCAAAGTGGGATGCCCCAAGTGGCGGGCACACATCCCCAGCCATGGTGGACACCGCAAGTGGCGGGCAGTTGCTTCTCAGCCCCAGCCGCGGGTGCTGGGGAATGGTGGGCTCATTGTGGCCCACAAAGGCGACTTTGCAAAGATTCGGTCTTTCGCGTGCGTTGTCCGGATTTTTCAAGGTGGACCGCTGAGAAAACAAGCCCTCCTCCGGGAGGCAGTCTGCCTGGACTTGGCCTGCAGTCCAGGAGGAAGCCCCCACGCTGTGGCCTGGAAGGCAGGGGCAGAGAGGCAGGTGGAGAGCTAGCCTAGGGGCACGGGGTTCCCTGCCCTTCCTGGGTCTGGCCCCCCACTCCCCCAGTGAGGTTCGCCTGGTGGGGCCCCGTGTTCCTCGGGCTCGGGGTCAGGGGGCTGGTCCCGGGGGCGCCTCAGGCCTGCCTCTGCCCCGACCCCAGCCCGTGGCTGGCCCGGACCTTCCCCTGGTCCAGGCCCTTGCCAGCTCACTGAGCTGCTTCCAGCAGGGAGTGGGCTTCTGGGCCGTGCTGGCTCCTCCCCGGCCCCACCTCGGGCCTGGCTGGTTCCTGCTTCTGGCCCCCGCCCTGGGCTTCACCGGCTCCCTCCACTGGCTCTGGGCCGGAGAGAGGGTGGTCCCACGTGCCGACAGCCTCCCACCCACCACAGGCCTGAGCTTCTCACGGGGCGGGGCTCTGAGGGTGCAGCCCAGTTCCCCTCGAGGAGGCCACAGTTCTGCTGGCCAGAACTCGGGGCTCGTGGGACCCCCAGGGGAGGGGGGCCGCTGCCTGTGCCGCGTGCCTGGCTGGAAAGCCAGCTGAGCTGGGCCCCCAGGCTCCATGTCTCTGGCCCAGCGAGGCGCGTCCAGCTTCCCTCCGGGTCTTGCCATGGGGGCCGTGGCTTTGGCCTGGGTGGTCCCCTTGGGCCGCTCTGAGCAGACAGCCAACACCAAGGGTGGGAGCCGGCGCCTGGGCGGGGCCGTTCCTGGAGGGGCGCCCCCAGCCTGCGGGTGGTGACCTGGGGCCGGGGCGTGTGGCTGAGGCTGAGGCCCTCGGGCCGTGTGGCTGAGGCTGAGGCCCTCGGGCCGGTGTGGGGCCGAGCTTCCTGTTTTGTGAGCGGGCTGAATTTTCCCTTCAAAACAAACAACAAAAGAGGAAGCTCGGGCGTCCTTGCGCTGGGGGTAAGGGGTCATCCCCGCCCCAGCCCCGGGTCCCTAGACTCAGACGCTGCGTCTGTCTGCTTCCTGGCCCTGCGCTGGCAAGCAGGGAGGGCCCTGGCCCCTGGGAGCACAGCATGTGCCCCTACGTGGTCTGGGAGGGCGTCCTGCCCACTGCAGTCCTCGGGGCAGCCTGGGCCAGGTCGCGTCAGGCCAGTTCCTAGAAGTGTGGTGGGGGTGCAGGCGTCCCTCCTGGCCAGGCTCATGGCCAGCAGCTGCCCTGGGAGCCTTGCGTGACTGCTCCCGCGGGATGGGTGCCCTCGGTGTCTGCCCGTGCGTCTCCCCCCAGGCGGGCTCCCCCCCCCCCCGGACCTGGCCCCCCAGCCGCTTGGCAGAGGGCCCCGGGTTCCAGCCCGCGTGCGCCCCATGCGGCCACGCCTTCCCTGCCTTCCCGCCTGCGTCACGCGGCTCCCTAACCGTCAGAAATAACAGACTCCTGTCTCAGGAATGTTGGAGTTGATGGGGGGGCTGGTTGCATGTGCCGTTGCTCTTGCCAACCTGGGGCCGTGGGCTGGGGTCCCTGGGGCGCTGGCTGTGCACCAGGGCTGAGCTCCCTGAATCCCGGGCTCTGCCCGTGGGGCCCGCCTGCCCCAAGGCCTCAGTGGGGTCCCCACAGGGTCGGGGCCCCCACATGGGGCCGACCTCTCAGAGGAGCCCTCTGGCCACGAGGACCTGCTGCTCTGCCCCGAGCTGGAGTGTTGGGTGCGTGGGGAACCTGAGTAGGGGCTCTGAGGAGCTTGGAGGGGACGGGGCCAGGGCGGGCGTGGCCGGGCGCGGGGAGGGTGCAGTCTGCTGGCCACAGAGGGGGGCGCGTGTCCCGGCCCTGCTGCCACCTCCGGCTGGCCCGCTGTGACGGGCTGCACGCTGAGGAGTGGTCGGGGGCGGGCAGCTGGGCGGCAGGGGCCCGCCCCGCCCCCAGGTCCCTGACCCCTCTGCCATGTGGGTGGTGCTCTCTCTGGGGGTGTCGGTGCTTGGAGCCCCTTGGCCGCGGGGAGGCTGGGCTTGCTTAGACGCCCCCTCTGAGCACCTGGGCCAGCGGGCCGGGGGCCGTGGGCATAGGGCAGGCCCAGCTGCCCGCCACCTGCCCCCCGGGAGCCATGCTGCCCGCCTGTTCCCTCCCCTTCCCTGCCCTGGGGAGCCTGGCAGCTTCCTGGGTTTGGTTGGGTCCATCCTGGGTTCTTGGCTCAGGGGTGAGAGGTGTGTCCCTAGAGAAATGTTCTGGAAACCCAGCACGTGTGTGCATGTGACTCTGGGTGGCCCTGCCCGAGGGCCGGGGCCTGTGATCCGCAGGCCAGCCCCTGAGGGGGGAAGCTGTGGAGTGACAGGCTTGCAGGCTGCCCGTCCCCCTCCCATCCCAAAAGCATAGACCCCCAGACGCCCCTGTGACCGTTGGGCAGGTGACGTGGGTAAGGGTTGTCAAGCTGCTGGGGGACAGGGAGACGAGAGGCGGGGCGGTGGGCTGGGCAGGGGGCGCAGTGTCCGGGCAGAGGTCCCGAGACGGAACCGGGGTGGTGGGGGGCTCAGGACGGGCCGGGGTCAGGGCGGCCACTTTCTCTGGCCGGTGCAGCGGGTGACGTGCGGTGCCCAGGTTGGAGGCGGGGTTTTTGGAGAGGGTGGCCAGGCGGGTGGGTGTGCAGGCAGGGCAGGGGTGGGTCATGGTTGGCGAGAGGCCCCGAGGCTGGCGCCGCCCTGGGGCAGCGGAAAGCGGGAGGGCAGCCCCGGGGCCTTCTGCTCTGTCTCGGCGCGGGGCCCAGCACGCCCCCTGACGGCACCCGTCTCCCACCCCGCCTCCCCGCATTCCTCTGCAGTCCATGCGCCTTGGGCCCTGCCCGCTCAGTGTCAGGACCAGAGGCCGCACGGTGTCTCAGTCAGCTTCCAGGAGCGGGCCCGGCCCAGCAGCGGGGCCTTGACTCTGGCCCCAAGCTGCCTCTCTGTGACCTCGAGAGCCCTCGCCTTGGGCCTCGGATTCCCCCGGGAGCAGCTGGCCATGGCGCTCCCCCTTCTCTGCCTGCGGGCCGCCGGGGAAGGCTCAGGGCCCGTGTGGGGGCACGCCCTCCCCGCCCCCCTGCCGCCGCTGGGCTGGGGCTGGACACCCGTCCTCTCCGCTCCTCCGAACTGCCCATTCTGTCTCCAGGAGGACCTTGTGAGCACCGTGTCCCCAGGAGCAAGGAGCCGGCGGTGTGGTTTGCGCGGCTGACCCGGGCCCCGCTGGGGTGGGCTGCACCCCCTCCCTGGCACTGGCTCTCAGCGTGTGCTGACCGTCCGTGGCTGGGTGTCCTGCCGGGGGGACGGGGCCTGCGGATGTGGGGACGTGACCGGGTGCGGGCCTGGCTGGGTGGCACGCAGTAGCTGTCACTGGCCGATGGGTGTGGGGCAGGGGCACCGTGCGGGGGCCGCCGTCAGCTGGCGCCTGCTCCCCAGGCCTGCTGGGGCTCGCTCCGCTCTGGCAGAACAGCGCGGTGCTGCCTGGCCCCCTGCCAGCCGCCGCCTGCCACCCACCACTGCCGTGGCAGCGCGTTCATCCAGCAATTTCCCGAGAGCTGGGGACTCAGGACCCCTCGGGGGCTCAGGGGCCCGTGCGGGGGGCTCGGGGTGGGGCTCAGAGGGGCTGAGACCTCTGGCAGGGGAGGTTGTGCCTGCAGCTGGCTTGGGTACTGGGAGGCTGTGCGCTGCGTCCCCGGGGCCCACAGCTCAGGTCTCTGCCTCTGGGTCTCCTGCCCGGGTACCCTGACCCACAGAGTGCTGGGACTCACACTGGGAGACGTGCTGGGGGATGTGGGGGGTTGGCCATCAGCCTGCGTCCGTCCTGTCCCTGAGCCGGTCCCTGGCCCAGCTATGGGAGGCCAGCGATGCTGGAGAGGAACCCCCCTTCCTTGGGGGTCCTGTAGCTGCTTCCTGGGGATGAGCTGGCGTGGTGGAAGGTCTCCCTTGGCAGACCGTACTTGGGGACACTGGGAGGCCCTGGGCGGGCAGGAGAGGAGGGGGCCCCGCCCTGGGCTTCCCCGTCTGTCCCCAGCACTGCTGGGGGCTGCGTGCGTCTGTCCTGCTGTCCCCCCCACCGTCGTCGGCCCCCAAGTGTCACGGCCAAGAGGACCGCGTGCCGTGGCCAGGCCCTGGGCCAATGGCCCCACCGCGTCCTGTCTGTGCCGAGCTCATTCAGATGCAGGTCGCAGCTGGTGGCCTCCGAGTGACCGCCTGGCTGGACGTCTGCAGGCGGGAGCGTCCCAGAGACTGAAGAACGGGGTCTGTGTGTCTCTGAGCCTCGGCCCTGGCCTCCCCCCGCCATCCCCGCGCTGCAGCAGGGCTCCTGCTCCTGCTCCGGGGGTCTGTGTGCCGGCTGCTGGGGGCCCGAGGCGGGTGCGGGGAGAGGTCGCCTCCTCTGGCTGTCGCCTCCACTGTGGGCTGCCTGGCCCCCCGCCGCCCCCCCCAGCCCCGCCCTGGTCGGGTCCCAGAGCCCACGTGGCCCTGGCGGTGGGCTTGTCGGGGGAGAGTGGGCAGGGGGCGGCGGGGTCTGAGGCCCAGGCTGGGGCATGGGGCGTCCTGCCGGCGGCCCGCATGGGGTGCAGCCCTGGGGCCCATGCTGGGCGCGGTGGGGGCGGCAGCATTTGGTGAATGAAGATGGATCTGGGGGCTGCTCGGATGCGGCGCGCATCGCTCTCCCCGCGCACTTAGCGTCCCGGGGAGCGGCAGCTGGCAGGACGGGAGGCTCTCCATCAGGGGCCGACAGCTCCAGACTGGCACGCAGGCGGGTGGGGCGGGCGGCGGGCGGGTGGTGGTCGGCCCCCAGCCAGCTCGGGCCCCCCCCCCGCCCTCCTCCCCCATTGCTGGCACAGGCTGTCGAGGGGGCCCCAGCCCTGGGACAGGAAGCACCGTGCAGGCCACCTCCCCTGGGGTTTGGGTCTCAGGACTGGGTGGGCACCTGCTAAACACTGCCGGGGTGGGGGCAGGTCACCAGCCGCCTCCTGGATCCTCCCGGGTGGGTCAGCAGTGTCTGGGTCTGGAGGAGACCCCTACCTGTGATCCCTGGGTAGGGCGGGGAGCGGCTGCAAGCCCCTCGCATGCCCCAGAGGCCCAGGGTGGGGGTGGGCCAGGGCGGAGGAGCGGGCGAGGGGAGGGGGTCTGGGCCCTGCCTGGCCTCCAGGCGGCCGCATCCAGGAAAGCCTGGCCCCCTTCCCTCTGCTGCCCGGTGGCCCTCTGCCAACGTGGGCGCCTAATTAGTAAGTTCTCCGCTGTCGTTCAAACTCCTTGCTCGGCAAAATGGAAATGAAACGTTTTTTCTGTGTGTCAGTATGAAAAATGGCAGTCGCTGGGACGTCACAGAGGACATCTGCTCTGGTTCTCTGGCGCGAGCGCCCGTGTACGGCTGATGCTGCAGAACCTGGGGGGAAACTTTCCCAGCGACCTGGGTGACCCGTGGGTGGGACACAGGGCCTTCCGGGCCTGGCTTCACGACGGCACGCTGGGCTCCCCGGATGGCAGGAGGGTCGTCACACGGGCAGGAGCTTCTGCTCTGAATGCCCACCCTGGGGGCCTGCTGAGGGTGGGCTCGCGTCTGCCAGGCAAGCCCGGGTGTGGTGCCGGCCGCTCGGCGCTGGACGCCAGTCTCCTGGAGGGCTCTTAGGACTAGGCCGGCCTCCATCAGGTCCAGGCGCCCACCTGACCACCTTTCCAACACAGGCCAGGGTGGGCTCTCCATCAGAGGTGGGCGCTCTCCCGCAGCAAGCCCCGCCCTCCCGGCCTGCCCTCCACCCTCCAGGGTCGGGGTCCACGCCCGGCCTGGCCCTCGACCCCCGGGACGAGGGTGTGCGGGCCTGTGGCCCAGCCTCAGGCCCACGCGCCGCACCCGCAGGTGAGTACATCAAGACCTGGAGGCCGCGCTACTTCCTCCTGAAGAATGACGGCACCTTCATCGGCTACAAGGAGCGGCCGCAGGACCTGGAGCAGCGCGAGTCGCCCCTCAACAACTTCTCCGTGGCCCGTAAGTGTGTGGCGGCCGGGGGCAGGGGTCCTCCTGCGTCTGCAGCCCCTCGTGGGCACCCCCAGCCTCGGCGTCTGGGCCGCCAGCCCTAGGGAACCGATAGTGGCTGGTTTTGGCTGCGGGGGTCTCTGAGCCGACGCCCGGGGCTTGTTGGGGGCGGAGTGCTCCCCGCCTGCCCCGGAGGTGCCGACGGGTCTCCCAGGGCTTCTCCCCAAGGCCCAGACCCGAGGCAGGCCGGTGCGCACCAGCTTCGGGGACCTCTGCCAGCCGGGCACAGGTTCTCAGAGGCCCCAGCCCCGTGTGGGCGTGTGTGCCCACCTCAGCGGGGCGCGGGCTGGGTGGGTGCGGCACTGCTGGCCTGGGCGCCTCAGGAGGCTCAATGGACGGGCAGGTTTTCTAAAGCAAGTGCTGCTGTGGCCTTGTGTATCTGCGGGGGGAGGGCAGGTATGACCCTACCTGTGGCGGGGGGACCCAGGCGTGAGGATGGGTGGCCAGGCAGGGCCTCCAGTGCAGGGTGCTGTGCCCAGGGCTGGCCCGGGACACAGGCCTGGTGAGTGGGTGAGTGATGACTTGTTAACTGGCAGACTCCGGGGCCCGAGCACCTGCTGTTGGGGCGCAGAGCACAGTCCCGGTCCCACCCCGGGCTCCCTCGTAAGCCCCCCACACTCCGGCTGGCTCCGCCCTCCCTGCCACGAGCCCTGGGAGCCGGGGGTCCGCCAGCTCCCCCACCACGCATCAGACCGGGGTTCTGGTGCAGGATGGGGGGGTGCGTGTAGGACCGTGGCCCATGCCCCAGCCTCTGCGCCTGCAGATCCCCGGGTGGGAGCCAGCCTGGTCCCTTGGTTGTCCTGCCCCTCCCCCCGCCCCCCGCTGCTGTACCTGGCCCCGTCCGCGCTGCAGGGGAGGCCTGGCCAACACACCCCACCCCAGGGCTTCTGGTGGCGGAAGCGGAGACCCTGCCTCCGCCGAGGCCCTGGCTGGGGGCTCCTGGGGTGCTTTACCAGGGCCTGGCTCCCCTGAGCCCTGAACCCTCCTCCCAGGCTCTTCAGGCTTCAGCAAAGCAAGGAGAACAGCGGCGGGGGAGGGCGCGGGGAGGAGGCAGGTACCCGTCCTGGAAGCTCCGTGGCCACACAGCCGGGCTCCGCATGGGGCCCCCTGGGCTGGGCTGGGGGCTTCGGGCCTGGAAAGGATGCTCCCAGGGGTGGCTGCCAGCTCATGGGGGAGGAGGTCCCTCGGGAAGGTCCCCCGAGCCCAGCGCAGGGGAGTGTGGGGCCGTCGGGATACACAGGGGAGGGGGGCGGCACCCAGAGGGACTTCCAGCAGCAGGCGGCGCAGGGGCCTCGGGCCAGGCCTCGGGCCAGCAGAGCCGAGAGGGGGCGCTGGGTGGCTCCGCAGGGGCCGTTCACTCGGGAGGGATTCCGGGGTTGGGGGTGAGAAGTCAGGCCCTGGGCGGGTCAGCCGCCTGGGTCCTGGGGACTCCTGGTGGTCTCTGATGGGCTGAACGAGCTGGAGGTGGGGTGTGCGGACCCAGCAGGCTGCCGCACAGCTTTTCCTCCCTCTCCTGCCCCGGGCAGACGTGGGCCCCCAGCACCCTCCCCCCCCAGCCCCCCACCCTGGTCCCCAGCCTGGCAGACTGTTCCTTGCTTCCTTGCTCTCGGCTGAGCCTGGCGGGGCCCCTTGTGGTTGCCAGGTCCTAGACACTGGAATGTCGGAGGCCCCTGCGCTGGCCCCAGGCCCCCTCCTGCCTCGCACAGGCCGGGCTGGAACCCAGCCCCTCTCTGGGCCCCGGACACACCCACGGCTCCTTTGCTGCAGGTGTGAGTGCGTTTGGGGCACGCGTGCTCCAGATGTGCGTGCGCTCCCAGGCCCGCCAGCCTCTTTCTACCTCTGCGTGCACCCGGGGGCGCGGGCAGCAGTGGGGGGAGGCTGCAGCCCAGGTGGCCTCTGGGGTGGACAGGCAGCCGCTCCAGAGGGTGAGTCATTATGAGCCTCCGTCCCTGGCCTGGCCCTGCACTGAGACAGGGCGGGGAGCCCACTGGTCCTCTTGTGGCTGGGAAAGCGGTGGGACGTTCCTGCTCGGGAAGCTGGGGAGCTGCTCACCCATGAGGCCTCCTCCCCGCTGGCCCGTCCTCAAGCCCCCCACCCTCCTACTGGTTGAGGGCCACGCCCTGGGCAGCTGGGGAGCTCAGAGACCAAAGGACAGACCATGCAGATGGATCTGCCCAGCCGCAGACACCCCCTTGGGCGCACCGCCTAGCTCTCAGCAGGGTCCCAGCTGGAAGGGGCGCTTTGGCCCCCTTTTACGGGGTGGGAGACTGAGGCTTGGAGAGGTCTGGCCTGCGGTGGGTGGGCCAGGACGCTGTGCAGACAAGTGCTTCCTGCCCCTAGAATGCCAGCTGATGAAGACGGAGCGGCCGCGGCCCAACACCTTCATTATCCGCTGCCTGCAGTGGACCACAGTCATCGAGCGCACGTTCCATGTGGAGACACCCGAGGAGCGGTAGGAGTGTGGGCACGGCGCCAGGGAGGCCCCGGGCCCTGGGCAGAGCCTGGGGCCTCACCTGAGCGTCCCACAGGGAGGAGTGGACCACCGCCATCCAGACGGTGGCCGACGGGCTCAAGAGGCAGGAGGAGGAGACAATGGACTTCCGGTCGGGCTCACCTGGAGAGAGCTCAGGGGCCGAAGAGATGGAGGTGTCGCTGGCCAAGCCCAAGCACCGCGTGGTGAGCCCCAGCCCTGCCTGGGGCCCTGCGGTCACGGGCCCCCCACACCCCCCCTCCCAGCCCCTGCACAGGAGCGGGGGAGAAACGCTGGGTGCAGGAAGGCCTGGGTACTGTTAGCCCGTCCCCCAAACCCCAGGGTTCCCAGTTGGGGCACACAGCCCTGCAATCTCCCTTGAGCCCTGGACTCCCAAGGACCCCCCACCCCACCCCCACTGCCCCAGCCTCACTGTGCTCGGCCCCGAGGCTGCCCATGGAGGCCCCGGCCCCGCTCAGCACTGTTGGGCCACCAGCAGTCACCGTGCTGCCCCCTGACCCTGGCGCCTGCACGCTGCCCTCAGACCATGAATGAGTTTGAGTACCTGAAGCTGCTGGGCAAAGGTACCTTCGGGAAGGTGATCTTGGTGAAGGAGAAGGCCACCGGCCGCTACTATGCCATGAAGATCCTGAAGAAGGAGGTCATTGTGGCCAAGGTAGGGGCTGGGGCTGGGGTTGGGGTCCGGGCGGGGCTGGGCTGGCGGCTTAGCAAGGCCTGTCTTCCAGGACGAGGTGGCCCACACGCTCACGGAGAACCGCGTTCTCCAGAACTCCCGGCACCCGTTCCTGACGGTGAGTGCCCCCCGTGCCCCTGGACCACCTCGGGGGCTGGCATGGATGCGCAGTGCTGGGGACCCTAGCCCATCCTCCCTGCCAGCCCGGCAGGCTCAGAGCTTAGCCAATGGTGGGCGGGCCTGTGGGAGGGGCAGACGGCGGTGCTAGGTGCCGGTGCGGGTGCACAGAGTGGGCAGGGGCTCCAGCTTCCCTCTGTCCTGCTGAGACCCTGGGAGGCCGCACTCCCCATGCCCACCCTTCTGCATGGCCTTCCTGGGCTTCCCCCGGGAGGCTCACGGCAGGCGGTCCCTGTCCTGGGGGAACTCGGCCCAGGAGGGATGTATGGAAAACCCCCAGCCATCACCAGGCCTGGCTGGCTGTGCTCCCAGGTCAGCGGTCAGGCAACCAGGCCAGCCCCCGGGGTCTCGTCCCTGGGACCACTGTGCTCAGCACGGTGTCCGGTGTCTTCTCTCTAGGGGAGGGAGCTGAGGAGCAGTCAGATGGCTGCTGCTTTTGTCCCTAAGACGTTAGGCGTTAAGAGCAGACATTGTGTTTGTCCGCCCAGACTTACTCATGAGCGTGGCTTTGCCTCCTCCGCGTCATTTTCCCCTTCCCCTCTGTCTGGCCAGAGGATTGTGAGGAAAAGGCCGGGCTTTGTCACACCCTTCACCCTTCATTGGGTCGAGTACTGGCCACCTCAGGTCCTGCAGAGATCCGGACTTGCCCTCCCTCCGGATGCCCGCTGGCTCTCCCTGGGGATGGGGGATGGAGCAGAGAGTGGGGGAGTCTCCCGTCTGTATCTTCATGAGCCAGTGGGCCATCCCATCAGAAGCCTTTCTTTTGAAGTGAGGCTGCCTGTGGTTTGACGCATGAGGGCAGTGGGTCGTGTCCTGCAGGGGAATCTCCACGTGGTCACTGGACCTGCAGCTGCTGGTCCTCGGGTGTGGCCTTTGGGGCAGCTGGGGGTCCCCCACTCCACAGGGCAGATGCCCTGCCCAGCCAAGGGCCGGGTTCCAGCTCTGCTTCTCTTGCAGGCCCTGAAGTACTCCTTCCAGACCCACGACCGCCTGTGCTTCGTCATGGAGTACGCCAACGGGGGCGAGGTAGGGCCCTGCCCCGGGTGGCCCTGTCTGAGCCCCGGGTGTTCGGGGGGCCACCCTCCCCACTGCCGTCAGGGTCTCCGGCCCTGGCCGAGGTCGCTGGCCCTGCTCAGGCTTCTCGTCCCGCAGCTCTTCTTCCACCTGTCCCGGGAGCGGGTGTTTCCCGAGGACCGGGCCCGCTTCTACGGCGCGGAGATCGTGTCGGCCCTGGATTACCTGCACTCGGAGAAGAACGTGGTGTACAGAGACCTCAAGGTGGTGGGGCCGGTAGCTGGGGGCGGGGCTTGGGAAGCGAGCGGGGGGCGGGGCCGGGGTGTGGGGAGGAGAACTGGGGCGGGGCCAGGGAGCGCGGCGGCGGGGGTGGGGGGGCAGGGGAGCGGAGGCAGGGCGCCGGGGCGCCAGGTGGCCGGGAGGCTGGCTGAGCTGGAGGCCCACTCCCGCAGCTGGAGAACCTCATGCTGGACAAGGACGGGCACATCAAGATCACCGACTTTGGACTGTGCAAGGAGGGCATCAAGGACGGCGCCACCATGAAGACGTTCTGCGGGACCCCCGAGTACCTGGCCCCTGAGGTGCGCACTGCCGCGCCCTAGTCCCCGGGTCCCGCCTGTCCCCTCTCCCGCCCCAGATCCTCGCGTCTCCTGTGCCCTCTGAGCCCGTGCCCTGCACCCCCAGGTGCTGGAGGACAACGACTACGGCCGGGCGGTGGACTGGTGGGGGCTGGGCGTGGTCATGTACGAGATGATGTGCGGCCGCCTGCCCTTCTACAACCAGGACCACGAGAAGCTCTTCGAGCTCATCCTCATGGAGGAGATCCGCTTCCCGCGCACGCTCAGCCCGGAGGCCAAGTCCCTGCTCTCGGGGCTTCTCAAGAAGGACCCCAAGCAGCGGTGAGCCCCGCCCGAGCCGCCCTCCAGCTGCCTGTCCCCCAGCACCCCCAGGAAATGCCCACCGGCTTTGCTGGTGGCCGTGTGTGGTGTCCTCGGCCTGGGCTGGCCCCGGCAGGGCGGCCCCTCATACCCGGTCAGGAAGACCCCGGCCGGCTGGTAGCTCCTGCCCACCTAGCACCCTGCGCCTGCGGGACTTGGCCGTGGAAGGGGCTGCTCTGTTACTTGCTGCCTGGCAGCCAGCGTCAGTCTGAGCCCTGGGCCCGGCAGGCACGACCGGTCACCTTGGCCTCCGTTTCCCCCTCAGGCTTGGTGGGGGCTCTGAGGACGCCAAGGAGATCATGCAGCACCGATTCTTTGCCAGCATCGTGTGGCAGGATGTGTACGAGAAGAAGGTGCGTGGGGCTGCACCCCAGCCAGCTCGCCTGCTCACCTGCACCTCTCACACCTGCTGACCCCACCTGCTCACACCCACTAATATCTGCTCACACCCCCATCCACATGAGGAGGCTTTCGAGGATTGCAGCAGCATGCTTCCTGCACATATGGTTCTCTGCTTTTTGCTCTCTGTGGGACCCACGAGCTCCAGGCCCTGGCCTGTGCTGGCAGCGTGGCTCACAGACCCAGGAAGGTGGTCCCTAGGCATGCTAGGTGTCTCTCCTCAAGCCCACTTCCACCCTGTTGGCAGTGTACCCTTCCTCTGCAGGCTACACGCAGCCAGCTGGACCTCTTCTAAGACGGGGCTTCCCGACCCTGCCCCTTTCCAGCCAGGGTCCTGCCTCCTGAGGGCTCTGGTGCCAACCCTGACCCAAGACCCAGCCTGCTAGTTGCTACTAGTTCCCAGGCAGTCCTGACCCCGGGCCAGGGTGGAGCACTCGGGGTCCTTTCTCCCTCCCATGAGCCTGGACCTCTAAAGTTTCCCTCGAATCCTGTGTCATGGTGGGTACCCTGCAGCTGGACGCTGCCTGGTCACTCTGATGCCTGGGGCCAAGAATGAGGTGGGTGGCCCTGCAGGTGGGTCCTTGAAGGGCGAGGTCCGCCAGGGCACCCAGGCAGGGGAAGGCCCAGCCACAGGCTTGTCTCCCGGGTGGGGAGCTGTGTCCAGGTCCAGGTGTGCCGGGCAGTGTGGAGCAAGGCTGGTAACCTGCCCCCCCCCCCCGCCCCCTTCTGCAGCTCAGCCCGCCCTTCAAGCCTCAGGTCACGTCTGAGACGGATACCAGGTATTTTGACGAGGAGTTCACAGCCCAGATGATCACCATCACGCCACCCGACCAAGGTGAGGGTGGCCCTCCCTGCCAACCCCTCCTCTCGAGGCAACAGAAGTCTGTTCAGTGTTTCATTGGGCGGCTCCCTCTGCAGGGTGGGCGCCAGGGCCGCAGTGCCCCGGTCCCGGGATCGTGGGGGTGGGGGTGGGGGTCACTGAGGCTGGTTGTGGAGTCTGGGAGGTGAGCCCTCGGGGCCTGCCTCAGTTTCCCCAGTGTCCGGGAGCTGAGCTGCCCTTCCTGTCCACAGACGACAGCATGGAGGGGCTGGACAGCGAGCGGAGGCCCCACTTCCCCCAGTTCTCCTACTCAGCCAGCGGCACGGCCTGAGGGGCCCGCTGGGCCGAGCTCAGGACACCGCCGCGGGCAGCCGCGTGCTCCAGACGACGCTTCGGAGGATTGGGAGGAAGCCTCGCATGGAGGATCTGTATTTAATGTTTTTTATTTCTGGATGCGTTTGGATGGAACCACGCCGCCCTCCAACACGGATGGGGAGGTGCCCCATGCTGTGGGCAGGGCCGCCCACACTGGGGGCAGAGTGCCCCTGGCCGGCCATTTTGGGAGGAAGACGTCCTGCGGTTTCTCTTAATTTATTCATCCAGTTCTCCAGATGTGGCCTCGGCCTTCGGAACAATTAGATTCCTGTAGGAAAACCAGGACTTCTGCAGCCGCGTGCACATGGGTCCCTGTGGGCCCTGCGCGTGGCCCCTCCGTCCGTCTGTCCGTCCGGCCAGCTGTCCCCTGCTGCCTCTGTCTCCCCCAACCCCACAGCCCTGGAAGCTGTCTGACTGTGGGGTGCTGGCTCAGCCCCCTCCTCGCTCGGGGAGGGGCTGAGTGGAGGCTGCAGGAGGGCGGCCCCCAGGATCGGGCCAGCTGGGGCTCCGGCGAGATAGAGGGGCCGGGTGCCACCTGTTGCTGTCTGTGCGTCCTGGGGTTCCTGATCTCAGGAGAAAGGCCCCCCGCGCCCCTGTCCCACTGGGACCGCCTCCCCGATGGCTCCCCGGCAGCACTTGTCCCTCTAGAAGCTTCACTCCCTGCTGTCGCCCCAGCCCCGCCCGACGCCTTCTGCAGGGGCTATCGCTGCGCCCACTGCACCTCCAGGCCAGACGCTGCGCTGCCCAAGGCGTTTTTTTTATACTCAACTTTAGTATTTTTACTATTATGAGACTTTCCCTCCAAATTCTTCAATAAAAATTGCTTTTCAACTCGTGGCTCGTTTCGCTGGGTGGCTGGCCCCCTCGCAGGGCGGACTTGGCCTTCCTGCGCCCAAGGCATCCTGTCTAGAGGCCCGGGGACGACTTGTGAGGGAAGGTGTCCCCCACCCACCTCTGGCAGGATTCACTGGGGGGTCGGGCGGAATGCCTTGGCTGCCTCTGTGCCCACGGCTTCACCCCAGCCCCACACCTCAAGCAGGCCACCCAGACTGCACAGCTGTCTGCCCAGCAGCACCACCCATGCAGCAGAGAGCTGACCATCAGGATGGACCGAGACCTTGCAGGGCCCACTGCTGGCTAGGACAGACACTCCAGCCACCGCCAGGCCCTGGGACCCGAGAGGCCCAGAGGACAGCCTGCCGGGGGTCACACGTCAAGCCTGGGACAGCTGGGAGAGGGCCCAGGGTGTCCAAGCGGCCCAGCGGGACGCGTCTCGGGCGCCACCTGGTGGGCGCAGAGAGAAGCTGGCTGCGCCGCGCCGGCCTCCGGGCGGGACCATCCGGCACCTGCGGGGAGGGGCGGGGCCTCGGCTCTCCCCTCTAGTGGACTCCGCCCCGAAGGTGTGGGCTGGACGTTCTGGGGGGGGTGGGGGGGGGGGCGCAGCCATCTCTCTCCTCCAGGCTCCGGGGCAGGTGGCCCTGGCAAGGCATTCCTTGGGGTGAGGGGGCTGCCCGCTTGTGCTGGACGGGGTGCCTTAGAGAAGTGTGGGGTGCTGGAGGTCAGTCCAGGCCTGGGGGTGCCTCTGCTGCTGCTGCTAAGTCGTTTCAGTCATGTCCGACTCTGCGCGACCCCATAGTCAGCAGCCCACCAGGCTCCGCCATCCCTGGGATTCTCCAGGCAAGAACACTGGAGTGGGTTGCCATTTCCTTCTCCAATGCGTGAGAGTGAAAAGTGAAAGTAAAGTCGCTCAGTCGTGTCTGACTCTTCGTGACCCCATGGACTGCAGCCCACCAGGCCCCTCCGTCCATCGGATTCTCCAGGCAGGAGCACTGGAGTGCCTTGCCGTTGCCTTCTCCAATGCGTGAGAGTGAAAAGTGAAAGTGAAGTCGCTCAGTCGTGTCTGACTCTTCGTGACCCCATGGACTGCAGCCCACCAGGCCCCTCCGTCCATCGGATTCTCCAGGCAGGAGCACTGGAGTGGGGTGCCACTGCCTTCTCCTGGGGGTGCCTCCCGTAGGGCCCAGTTCTGACAGGCTCTCAGCTATTTCACTCTAGTACGCAGCTCCCTTGGAAACCACAAACATGCCAAATGTTACCTGCTAAACATGCTTTAGATCAATTTCAGAAACAAAAAAACGTGCTTCGGATTGGAAGCCTCTGCACTGTTGCTGGGAATGCACCATGGCACAGCCCATGAAAAACAGTACGGAGGCTCCTCAAAACAGAGCTGGAACCACCACGGGACCCGGCAGTCCCACTCCTGCAAATATGTATGTGCCCCAGAGGGGTGGAAGCAGGGTCTTGAGGAGGTGTGCATTTTTAACACCATAGAAGAGGGGACAATGTGGAAACCAGACAGTACAGCAGTACTTGATGACCCCCAAACTTCAAGCAAATGGTACCCCAACGTGGCCAGTGTGGTGTGGAAACCCGGGGTGGATGCCTTTGAAGCTGAAGTTGGGGCATGGCGGGGGGCAGCTGGCCAGGGAGAGGGGCTCGAGCTGCCCCTTCCCATGGGACCCCCTTGGGAGACAGGGTGGTGGCCTCAGGGACATTCCTTGGCCTGGGACAGGCTTCAAGGTCATGGGCATGGACACAAGAGCAACCTTACTCTGTGTCCCATCCAGGTGGGTTGGGTCAAGAGGGGATGAACCGAGGGCGAAGATCCCAGAACATCCGGACCTTCCAGGAGGCGGGGCTGTGGAGGCACCTCCCCAGCAGAGTGGTGGGGTGCGGGGAGTCAAGCACCTTGGGGAGAAATTCCACAGGGCCATCCTGTCCTGGCCATTAAGGCCACAGTAGACCTGGAGGGGCCTGGTGAATCGTGGCCCTGGAGCAGGGAGGCCCAGCAGGGCACCCTGGCCTGCAAGGGAGGCTGTAACGCCCATGTCCCACCCTGTCCTTCACCAGGCCAGCCCCCCAAGGGACAGGGAGACAGGAACACAAGCGCCTTTAGCATCTGGGGTGCCCACGTGTCAGGCCAGCTCCCAGCGAGGGGCTGGCCAGGCTGGGGTATCGGAATGGCACAGGGTCGGGGCCTTCCCTGAAGGAGATGCCAGCCCAGGAAATGTCTGCTCAAAGATGGCTCATCGTTCAACAGACTCACCCAGCCCTTCCCTCTGACTTTGCCTCTCTCTACTCGAAGTGGGTTTCTTGTCGACAAGGGGGCTGGCTGCTCTCGCTGTCTTGAGGGTCTTCACGCCCTGGGGGTGCCTGGCCCACCTCCAGCAGCGGGTCGGGGGTGCCTGGCCCACCTCCAGCAGTGGATCGAGTCACGGCTGAGCCTGAACACCATCGTGCGGCTCTCCTGTATGCCTCGCTGCTTCTTTATGCCTTCTTTCCTCTCTCTCTGCCTCATTTTGGATTAATGACTGTTGTTTAACATCCCATTTTCTGTCTTTTATGGCTTATTTCTATTTCATCAGCTTTCCCACTGCTGTCTCTTTTCAGTTCCAGGACCCAGGATCCCATGAGGAATTCAGAACAAGTGCTCTCTGCAGGGAGGACATAACTATGGCCTGGCTGCACTTGGACCTCCGTCTGTAACTGACTCACCAGCCTGCCTTTGAGACCCAGCGATCCATAGTCCTCAGATCGCACACCTCCACGTCCCAGCTCCCGGCTGCGCTCACAGCTTGTTGCCATCACGTTCAAAATCTCCAACATACATTATTCTTGTTTTCAACAACTGTCTTTTTAACATTTTAAATATCCTTAGTCGGTAAAACACATGTCGCGTTTACTGCTTCGGCCAGGCTGGTGGCATTTGGTGTGTTCACGTGGTCGTACCACCGCCACCACCACCTCCAGAAACGTTCACCTTCACAGACCAAACCTATTCCCCCTCACCCACTGCCCACCTCCGCCCCACCCCCTGCCCGTCTCCCAGTGGACTCGCAGGACTGTCCTGTTGTGGCTGGCCTACTTCCTTCGGCTCGACATCCTCTGGGTCCGTCTGTGCTGTAGTCTGTCAGGCTTTCCTTCCTTTTTAAGGCCAGACCCTATTCCACTGTAGGGATGGGCCGTGTTGGCTTAGCCCTTGCCCGCAGATGGACGCGTATTCCTCTGTCCTCTTGTGAACGGCATTGCTGTGAACACAGGTGCACAGGCTTGCTTCTCTGCAGGGTGTTTGCCGTAGGTGGGAGCGCTGGGTCACTGCGGCGCTGTCCTGACGCCGCCCCGCCTGCTGTCCACGGTCGCGTATGGGGCTCCATGTCCCCGCAGGCGCCCTGATGGGGATGAGGCCGCTCCTCCTGATGGTGACCTGTGTCCCCAACGATGAGCCATGCCGAGCCTCTCTTCCCCAGCTCCCCGGGGTCACGGTCTGCAGGTGGACGCGCGGATGGAGGTGACCCCTGAGGAGGACAGCCGACCGCCGACCAGGGCCTTGTACCGTGCTCCCAGGGCTGAGCCAGGCGGCCCCGGAGTGTTCTCAGCTCAGAAGACCCGTGACTCACTTGTGACCCCCTTTCTTAGACCTAAAGCCTCCTCGCAGCCCTCCGCCTCCCTGCTCCCGGGGTCCCAGGCTCCTACCATGGGGGCAAACCCTGCCCTGGCCAGCCCAAGGATCGTGGTCACCTGACCCTCCAGCTGGCCAGTGGCCTGGCTGCCCGCCCCAGCGCACCTCCCGGCTCTGCCAGGGCCTCCGGGGAGCCAGGTTGACCGCCCATGGGCTCCTCTTGGCCCGCGGCGCTGCGGGGGTATGTGTGTGGGAACCAGCCCGCCTTGTCCGCTGCCTCCCTCAGGCCCCACCCCCAGCCAGAACCCACCCTCCTTGGCAGGGGCGGCCGGGTCCTCGGGCCCAGGCCCCAAGACGGCAGCGTGTCCAGCGGCCTTTCAGGGATGGTCTGTGACCCGGCCCACCTGAGCGGCGGCAGAGCTCAGTGCTACCGTGTGGAGCAGAAGAGTCCTCTCGTCCAAATATAAAGCATTTATTGTCTTCGGTCATCAGGAGCACAAAATACAAAAGAGAAAAGGCACCCTCCCCCGGTTCCTCAGTCGAGGCGGCGAGGCGGTCCCGGCGGGCTCAGGCCTCGAACACGGCGCAGCCGGAGCACAGCACTCGCTCGTGAAGGTCGCCCCCGCAGCTGAGAGACCGGGCAGGGGAGGAGCTGCGTTAGGGCTGAGCACCATGAGCTGCTGCGTACCGCCCGTTCCAGACGGAGGCAGTCACAAGGGGGTCCCGCCCCCCGGGCGACCGATCCCCCACGGCCAGCCCCCAGGACATGGACACCCCCAAGGGGGGGCGGCTGGGGAGAGGCCAGAATGAGGAGCCCGCTGACAAGGGGCGGCCCAAGGAGACGGCCTCAGCCCCCAGACACCAGCCCCCAAGGGACGTCCACCTGCGGGGGGTGATGGTGAACGTCTGGAGCCCTCACTGGAGCGGCCCCGCCAGCCACGGAACCCCGGGGCGCAGCTCAGGCCTCCCGGGGGTCTAGCCCCGGGCAGCCCCCAACTGTGCAGCAGGTGGACTGGCCCCAGGTGGCTCCAGCGAGGTAGAGAAGAGGCAAACAGGAGACCGCCCTGGGAAGGAGCTGAAGGGCCGGGAGGCGGCAGCTGCCCCAGGCGGGCGCCACAGCGTCAGGCTGTGGCTGAGCCCAGGCCTGGCTCTCAACAGCGGCCCGGCCCACAGCCCTACCGGAGCCAGGGGCCGAGGGGTCACCAGGCACGGGCAGGATGCCCGCTTCCAGGGCCATGCTGCAGCTCGGAGGCCCAAGGCCCGGCCTCCAGGGGGCCCTGGAGTGAGTCAGCTGTTCATCACACAGGGCAGGGCGCCCGGCCTGTCACGACCACGAGATGCAGGCAGGTGAGCGGTCGGCTCTTTGCGTGTTTGGCGACCAAGCAGCTGGGGGAGGCAGGAGGACGAGGAGGCCCCGCCCCCAGGCCCGCACTCACTCCCCCGGGGAGGCCCCGCCCCAACGCCCGCACTCACTCCACGTGGGCGCACAGGGCGCAGGCCACGGCTCCGCAGCTGCAGCAGGTGCGCACGCAGCGCGCACACAGGGCCCGCTCGCACTGGCCGCACGCCGCCTTCCCGTCCACGGCCCGCACGCACGACGAGCAGGCTCCTGACGCCGCCCCAGCCGGGTCTGTGCGGAAGAAACACCGGTCAGCCCAACGGTGACCGGGAGCCCTGGGACCGGGGGCCGCCCCTCGCTCCCGGGAGGACAGTGGGCCACCCTCCTTCCAGCGCCTGACCCACCACTAGTCACCCTGTGCAGAAGCACGGCGCTTGGACCGGTTCACCAGGGGGAGATCCCAGCTGGCTTCCCTGAGGCCCACCTGCAACTCAGCACCCAGAGGTCGGGAGCCTGGGCCACCTCTTCCCCTGACCACCTGCAGCAGAACTCGCCAGGCCTTCAACCCCTGGCGCGTCTCACAGCTGGGCCTCAAAGTGTGGTCCCCGTGTCTTGGCTTAACACAGGGGCTCCTGGGCCCTGGGGGGTGGGAGTTTTTAGCCAGTGATGCACGTGACAGTCTGAGGCTACAGCACAGTGCAGAGGGATCTGGATGAGAGCTACAGGTGGAGAGCAGGTAGGACACCCACAAGGGTCACCCAGAGGGGTGTCTGCTCCTTTCTGATCCAACGGTTAGAGCTGTTCACAGCTCCCACACATCAGAGGTGGCAGAGCCTCCTGCAGTGGGAGCCTCCAGGCATTTGCCCCGCTCGTAGGCCTTACTCACCAGCCTCGGAGGCCTGCGCCCGACTTCGGGTCAGCCGGCCGTCGGGCCCAATCAGCATCTGCCCGCGCGCGGCCCGAGGGGCTTCTGTGGGGCCGGGCCTCGGGGATTCCGGCGTGTGGACGATGGCGCAGCCTTCCTCCCACGCAGGGTCCATGCAGGCCTGGGCCCCACGGAAGAGGAGCTGTGTGGTCTTCTCTGGGGAGGACAAGCATTGCCCACTTACACCCCTGTGGTGTGGAAGCCCCCACAGGGCTACCTGTCCCCGGAGCCGTGCGTGCTGCGTCCTCCTCTGAGCAGCCTTCCAGCCACCCGGGACCAAGCTGCTCCTGGCGAGGCTGCCCTCCTGCCCGGGCTCAGCGGGCACCTCCTCCAGCCAGGTTCTGCACCCTGCGACCCCACCTGGGCTCCCCGTCCCGTCACTCTGCTCATTTTTCACAACGTGTGGCCTCACTTCCTCCCCAGAATCCACAGGCAGGCCTCCTTTGACAGAGGAAGCTCTGTGCTGTGGATCACCAACTAAAGCACAGCAAGAGACTCAGAGCTGAGTCTGCAACCTTTCGACTGCTGCGGAGCTGCTGGCAAAAGGCACAGCCACAACTGGCTCCTGGCAAGGTACCCCAGAACTTTCCAGACCTCTGTGGGGCCCGGACGTCTCCCTACCCCTGAGCAGCAGCTTTCCATCAGGGTACTACGGGCTTTCACAAGGTCAAATGCTAGGCGCCAGCCCCAAGAATGCTCTGTGGTTGTCTGCCCTGTCCCAACAGAGCCAGGGTGGAGAGCTTAGAAGCTGCTGGCGCTGGGTGATATCGACAGAAACACATGGCTGATAACTCAACTGAAGTGATGACAGCTTGCCACACCCAGCTCCTCCTCCTCCAGTCTCCCCATTCATAACAGGATGGGACTGGGGGGGGCGGGGGCAGGTCATGTGGTGAGGCTAACACTTGTCTTCAAGGGCCTGTGGCCAGTTCAACATAAAGAGACCAAAGTTAGAGACTTGGAAACATTACACATTAGTTCACACGGGCCTCACGATGTCCTGTCTCAGAGAATGTCCAGGGAGCGTAGCACTCCCTCCCTGACAGGCTCTGCATGGGACAAGCTCTGCAAGTGCTCCAGGACATCGTGGTCAAGAGCCAGATTGACTTGTGTGTGTGTGTTAGTTGCTCAGTCGTGTCTGACTCTTTGCAACCCCATGGACTGTAGCCTGCCAGGCTCCTCTGTTCATGGGATTCTCCAGGCAAGAATACTGGAGTGGGTTGCCATGCCTTCCTCCTGGGGATCTTCCCAACCCAGGGATCGAATACAGGTCTCCCTCACTGCAGGAGGATTCTTTACTGTCTGAGCCACCAGGGAACCCCTTTCTTCTTTCTGTTTGCAGTGTTTCCATTTTTGGAATGTCCTGAGAGAGGAACAATTGCAGTTTGGCCCAAGTACCCTAGGCTTCTCATTTACATCACCTGCTAACCCCTCCAAAGTGATGATCAGTATTATCAATGCACTCAAAAATGTGCATGAGGAAGCCAGAAGGGAAGGCTTAGGTCAGGGCCCTCACATCTCTCCAACCGGACAGTCCAGCCGCGCTGAGCCGGACAGCACACTCCAGCTGCCTGGTTTTTGCACAGGCTGTTCCCTCTGCCACGAACTTCCTTCCTTTCCCTCTCTGCCTGCCTAACCCCGCAGGAGCTGGCTTTGACTCTGTTCCTCCAGGAGACCTGAGAGCCTGCAGGGGTCTTTCGGTGACCCGTGCCTGCCCCTCTGGAGAGTCCTCCTTCGACTGGCCCCCCAGCAAACCGGGAGGCAGGGTCTCCTGCAGAGGCACCGCCTGGCAAGGAGGGCGCGCTGCACACAAGCCTCTTGGGTTATAAGGGGTGCCTCTGCCGGCTTTCCCACCGGGACGAGTCCCGGGAGGCGGGACCCGGTGGCCCGGGTGGCTGTCGTGTGGCTGTCGCTGGGCTGGTCAGATCAGAGCGGGCTCCTGTGAGTCCAGTATTCCCGCAGGACCAAGCCCCGACTCGGCCCCACGCAGAAGCCGTCCGTTTCGGGAGGCGGGGAAGGGGCAGCTCGTGGACGCGGGAGCATTCACGCCGTCCTACTCGCCGCTCCTAAGCCCGGTCTGGCGGCGGGCAACACGGGCCCCGGCTCCAGGGGGCGCGGTCGGCGGGGACCCCCCGCCCAGCCCCGCTTCGCCGCACTCACCGAAAATCTCTCGCGTGAGGCGCTCGGCGCACACGCCGCGACTCAGCTCTCTCTGGCCGACACGCACTTTGAGCTGCAGCGGGGCCGCATCCGCGAAGGGGCAGCCCCGCTTGGGCATGGCCGCGGCCCGGAGCGGCTCTGCTCGGCCGCCGCGCCTCTGTTGCCCGTGACGTCACAGCCGCGCGCCAACCCGGCGCGGAGCGGGGGCGGGACTAGTATGCGGCGCGACTCGGGATAGGCCCAGGGCGAGGGCGGGGGCGGGTCTTTTGCTCTGGGAGGTGGGACTCAGAGGCGCGGGAAAGTCCGGGAGGAGGTCAAGGGTCAGAGCGGGCGCGCCACAGGCAGGGAAACGGGAAGGCGGTGTGGTGAGAAAGCGCCGCGGGATAGGCTGGGGACGACGTGGGGGCGGGACTCGTGAGACACGCGGCCCGTGATAGGCCAGAGGCGCCATGGGGGCGGGACTCGTCTGAGGCGGCGAGGACTCACATGAGGCGGCGCGAGAAATGCGAGCGTATTGGCTGTTTCTTTGGTCCGTAAACAGCTCTTTTTTTTTAAATTTATTCATTTTTAAAATTTATTCATATTTTTAATTGAAGGATAATTGCTCTACAGAACTTTGTTGTTTTCTGTCAAACATCAACATGAATCAGCCATAGGTATAACTCTGGAAACTCAGTATATTTCTTCCTTTAACTCACCAATGGCCTGAGGAGGATTCACTTTTTCGCATTTCTTTATTTTTAACACCAGAAACATTTTGTATCGGGGTGTAGCTGATTAACAGTGTGGTAGTTTCAGGTGACTAGCAAAGGGACTCAGCCACACATAGACATGTGTCCCTTCTGCCCCAGTGCCCCCTCCCGTCCGGGCTGGTACAGTGTTGAGCAGAGTTCCATGTGCTGATTTTTCTTCATTTCTTAATTTGGAGGGACGTCTCGCCTTCACAAGTGGAGAGTGCCTTACACTGGGCCGTTCTGGGCCCTGCTACGTCATTTGGAGCAGGTCTGAGGTAACGTTGGGCTCTGACCAAGCAGTGAGACTCCGGCCCCACCCAGGCTTCTTCCCGCTGCCTGCCAGCCTGACCCTTGTCCTGCCTGCTGGCCCAGGGGCCATCCAGCATGTTCCTCTGTAGCCTGGATTTCTGGTGACAAAGCCGAGGGCCTCAGGCTTACAGGACACGCCCCACATGAGGCACGTCACAGCCCTGGACACTGACCCCTCCTAGAACGAATAGGGGCGAGGCCAGCCTGTGGTCCAGGTGCCCCTTCTGGCCTGGCCTGGTGGGTCTGGAAGACCAGGTCCCGAGGGGGCTTTGGCAGAGTTTTCCCTGTCGTGTGGCTGTCGTGTGGTACTATTCCTGTTAGCCATCTGCAGTAACTGTGACTGAAGAGACGCTTGATTGGTTTTATCCTAGAAATAGACGAAATTCCCAGGAATATTGTTTTTAATCTTACAGATCTTGGGAATTTTAAAAAGGTTCTTTGGGTTCAGATTTGAAACTGCCTTAGACTCTTTTCAGTCACAGTAAATATTCAATAGATGCAAAACATTGTGATTAAAAGAATCTTGATAGCTCTTCTGTTTCAACTTAATTTTAAGAAATATTTGTTGAGGGCCTGGTCAGTGTTGGATTCCTTTTCTAGAGGTGCTAGTAACAAAACTCTCAGACTGGGGGTGTAGACAATACACATTTCTTTCTTTAGTTTTGGGAGTTGGAAGTCCCAGATTGAGGAGGGCAGAGCTGACTTCTCCTGAGGCCTCTTCCTCATCCCCTTCTCTAACAAGGACATCAGTCAGACTGGATTAAGACGAAGCCATAAGACCTCTTGAAAACTTAATTACATCCTGGTTTCTCAAAAAGTTGAAAATAGGACTACCATGTGATCCAGCAATACCACTTTGGTGTATACAGAGGAACTGAAACCAGTATCGAAGTGCTGTGCCCCCATGTTCACTGCAGCATTTTTGCAATAGCCAAGACATGGAGACAACCTAAGTGTTCTTCTATGGATGAGTGAGTAAAGAAATGAGTGATATTTGGAATTACATGTAATGAGATATTATTCAGCCATAAAAAAGGCCATCCTGCCAATTACAACAACATGAATGAACCTGGAGGATGTTCTGCTAATTAAGTCAGAGAAAGACAAATATAGTAGTGTATAATTGCACTTACATGTGAAATTAAAAATCATCATAGAAGCAGAGTAGAATGGTGGTTGCCGGGCGCTGGCATTGGGGGAAACGGGGAGCTGATGATCTGATGGTACAGACTTCTGGTTATAAGATGGAGAAGTTCCAGGGTTCTAATAATGTACAGCTCAGTGACTATAGTTAACAAGTATTATGTACTTGAAAGTTGCTAAAGGTAGATGCTAAATGTACTCACCATAACAAAAACAGCAAAATGGTAATTACATGACATGAAGGATGTATTATCTCACCTTATCATGGTTTGCAATATGTATGTGTATAAAATCATGACATTGTACACCTTAATGTTATAAAAATTAAGAAACAGAAACCTCGTTTAAAATGGAGTCAGAGGGACTTGCCTAGTGGTCCAGTGGTTAAGATTCCAGGCTCTCAAAATAGGGGGCCTGGGTTTGATCCCTGGTTGGGGAACTAGATCCCACATGCAACCAAGAGTTCAGGCATGCTGCAACTAAGATCTCGTGTGCTGCAACTAAGGCCTGGCACAGCCAGACAGATAAATCGATATTTAAATAAAATACAATGGACTCAGAGAGAATTCCCTGGCGGTCCAGGGGTCAGAACTCTGCATTTTCACTGCTGAGGGTTGAGGGTTCAATCCCTGGTCAGGGAACTAAGATTCCACAAGCGGCATGGTCAAAGATTTAAAAAATAAATTGGAGTCAGGAGGCCAGAAGAGGGAGCAAGCACACCCTGTGTGTGTGCTGTGTGCTCAGTCACTTCAGCCGTGTCAGACTCTTTTCTATGGACTGTAGCCCGTCAGGCTCCTCTGTCCATGGGGTTCTCCAGGCAAGAATACTGGAGTGGGTTGCCATGGGATTAAACCCTATCTCTGGCGTCTCCTGCATGGCAGGCAGGTTCTTTACCTACCGAACCACCTGGGAAGCCAGGCACAGCCTGCCACGCCACATTAGCTGCAGACCCAATAGGAAGAGAGCAGCTGGCCTTACGTCACTAATAGGAGGGGGAGGAAGAACGTCTCCACTCCCGGCAACAAGCCAGCCAGTAATGACCGCTTACATGCCAAAGTCTCAGTTTCCACCAATGGACTCTTTGCTTAGATGGGCCCCTCCTAATTATCCCTTCTCCTCTATTAAAGAATTGCCTCTTCTTTGTTCTCCAGACTTGCCTGTGGTTTGCCATAGATTGCATGTTCCAAATTGCAACTCTTGGCTGTTTCCGAATAAATCCATTTTGCTGGTCTCTTTTATTGTTGTAGGTCAACAGTGTATAATTAAGGTGTGCATTATATGTGCCAATTACTTGTTCTGTGTCAATTATATCTTGATATATGTTGGATCATAGGAAAAGCAAGAGAATTCCAGAAAAAATCTACTTCTGCTTCACTGACTACACTAAAGCCTTTGACTCTGTGGATCACAACAAACTGGAAAATTCTTAAAGAGATGGGAATATCAGACCATCTTACCTGCCTCCTGAGAAACCTGTATGCAGGTCAAGAAGCAACAGTTAGAACTGGACATGGAACGACAGACTGCTTCCAAATAGGAAAAGGAGTATGTCAAGGCTGTATATTGTCACCCTGCTTATTTAACTTATATGCAGAGTTCAGTTCAGTTCAGTCGCTCAGTCATGTCCAACTCTTTGCGACCCCATGGACTGCAGCACACCAGGCCTCCCTGTCCATCACCAACTCCTGGAGTTTCCTCAGACTCCTGTCCATTGAGTCAGTGATGCCATCCAACCCTCTCATCCTCTGCTATCCCCTTCTCTTCCCTCAATCTTTCCCAGCATCAGGGTCTTTTCAAATGAGTCAGTTCTGGCATCAGGTGGCCAAAGTATTGCAGTTTCAGCTCAGCACCAATCCTTCCAATGAATATTCAGGTCTGATTTCCTTTAGGATGGACTGGTTGGATCTCCTTGCTGTCCAAGGGACTCTCAAGTGTCTTCTCCAACACCACAGTTCAAAAGCATCAATTCTTCAGCACTCAGCTTTCTTTATGGTCCAACTCTCACATCTGTACATGACTACTGGAAAAACCATAGCTTTGACTAGACAGACCTTTGTTGGCAAAGTAATGTCTTTGCTTTTTAAGATGCTGTCTAGGTTGGTCATAACTTTTCTTCCAAGGAGCAGGTGCCTTTTAATTTCATGGCTGCAGTCACAATCTGCAGTGATTTTGGAGCCCTCAAAAATAGTCTCTCACTGTTTCCACTCCCCATCTATTTGCCATGAAGTGATGGGACCAGATGCCATGATCTTAGTTTTCTGAATGTTGAGTTTTAAGCCAGTTTTTTCACTCTCCTGTTTCGCTGTCATCAAGAGGCTCTTTAGTAGAGTACATTATGTACTCTATGCAGAGTACATCATGTGAAATGCTGGGCTGGATGAATCACAAGCTGGAATTAAGATTGCCAGGAGAAATATCAACAACCTCAGATATGCAGATGACACCATCCTTATGGCAGAGATTGAAGAGGAACTAAAGAGCCTCTTGATGAAGGTTGAAGAGAAGAGTGAAAAAGGTGGCTTACCACTCAGCATTCAAAAAACTAAGACCATGGCATCTGGTTCCATCACTTCATGGCAAACAGACGGGAAAAAATGGAAACAGTAGCAGATTTTATTTACTTGGGCTCCAAAATCACAGCGGACGGTGACTGCAGCCATGAAATTAAAAGATGCTTGCTCCTTGGAAGAAAAGTTATGACCAACCTAGACAGTGTATTAAAAAGCAGAGACGTCACTTTGCCGACAAAGGTCCATATAGTCAAAGCTATGGTTTTTCCAGTAGTCATGTATGGATGTGAGATTTGGACCATAAAGAGGCTGAGCACGAAAGAACTGATGCCTTTGAACTTTGATGCTGGAGAAGACTCTTGAGAGTCCCTTGGAGATCAAATCAGTCAATCCTAAAGGAAATCAACGCTGAAAATTCATTGAAAAGACTGATGCTGAAGCTGAAGCTCCAATAGTTTGGCCACCTGATGTGAAGAGCTGACTCATTGGAAAAGACCCTGGTGCTGGGAAGATTGAGAGGCAGAGAAGGGGGTGACAAAAGATGAGGTGGTTGGATGGCATCACTGATTCAATAGACATGAGTTTGCTTAAAGCCCAGGAGATGGTGAAGGACAGGGAAGCCTGGTGTGCTGAAACTCATGGGGTTGCACAGAGTCAGACACAACTTAGTGACTGAACAAGAACAGCAATCACATGATTGATAATTCTTTTTAAGTCCTTACCTCTAAATACAGTCACAGTCTGAGGTGCTAGGAGTTAAGGTGTTCACATGTGAACTCCAGGGCGACACAAGCTAGCCCATAGCTGGCGCCATGCTCTGTGCTAGGTTCTCGGGGCTGGTGTCGGGCAGAGCCAGCTGGGTCCCTGCCCTCTGGTGGGACAACTGTTAGCAAAGGGGAAGTACAAGGGGCTATGGAAGCAGAGTAAGGAGACCCACCTTGCCTGGAGAACTGGCTGGCTGGAAACCAAGCACAGGCAAAGCGTCTGTGGAATGGCATAACTTGGTCTTAGAAAGTCGGACTTTCTGGAATTGAATACACGTTAGATGAGGAAGGGACATGCGTCGTGTTTCCCCAGAAGTGCAGCAAAGCTCCCCTCCGACAAATGCAGAGGGGCAGGGCTGGCCGGAAATGTTTTCGCTAAAACGTATTAATCTCAGTTTCCCCGGGGTCCTAAAATTTTGAGTTACTTATCATCTCAGTTGTGTACCATGGTTGTATTACTTTGAGTGACTGTTAGATTGGGAAATAGTTTACTGATAGTACAGCTGTGTGTACGTACGTCCACGTCCACCCGTTCCCATGGTGACCCGGCGCCCTGCCCCCGCAGGAGTGCGCGGTGCTCGGCATCTGTGGGCACGGCCCGTCGTGTCTGACTTCACCCGCAGCTGGCTGACTCCGAGAGCGTCCAGGGTCCCGCACCCCCGCGTGGTCTCCTCCCGCGGTTGCTGAGTGTCTCCGTGTGTAGATGGACCACAGTTTTTGTTGACCTGTGGACAGGCACGTGGGCTGTGCCGGGTTTCGGCTCTGATTAAGGCAGCTGCTCTGACCATCCCCTTCTAAGGCTTTTTCTGGACATTCATGGGTCAGTCCCTAGGAGCGGAATGGCTCGGTGGTAGGGTAATGAATATAAACCTTCTAAGCAAAACGACAGCTTTCCAAAGGACTTGAAAAACACATTTTATCGAGCAATATCCTCAAATCACTTACTTGTCTTTTCCCCACATATTCAGTTGAGACCAGTGTAAGCTTCTCTACCCTGGGGGTCTGCTGTTGGTGCCAAGGAGAGAGGGCACCAGGTTATAATTGCTCAGACCCTCACAGCACCTGAGTGTGAGAGAAGGCGGCTAACCTCACCCCCCACCCTCCCATCTCTGGACCACACAAGGGTGAGGATGCCGGTGCCAGGCGAGAATGACGTCCCTTCTAGTTTGGTGTCTTTTCTGTAAAACTTCTGCAGGTGCTCAGACATACCGCCTGGGGCTGCCTCCCCAAGATGTGGTCCAGAGCTGGAAGGAAAAAAACAACTTGTATTGGAGTGAAGGATTTAGTGGCAGCTTTCTAATCTAAGTTGCAGGCTGACCTTGCCAAGTCAGGAGTGCAGCTTTTTACACAGAACAAAGTGATTTCTCTTTCTTCTGAAAAATGCCTGCTCTGGTTGATTGACGGGAGTGTGCACCGCTCTGTTGTAGCAGGACTGGATGAGACGGTCATCTGGTCAGGAGAAGCACAGTCCCCGGGGGGCAGGGAGGAGAGCTGGGGTCCACTTCCTCCTTCCCTAAGAGCTCACCCTGCCTCGGGGCTCTCTCCTTTCCTTCCCTTTGCTCTGTCGTGAAGGGAAATAATTCTCGGGAAACGCCAAGGTCAGTTTCTTTTGGTGTTTCTCACTTCTAGCCCTGCTGCCCGAGGAAGCTGGTCCACACATGTGCTCCTGCATTCTTTGAATTCACCAAAGCCATTCTCGGCCGTTTGGAAAAGCTCGCTAGTGTGTGTAAAGACATACTCCTGGTATGTGGCCTGCTCACCTAGTACGCTGTCACAAGAGTCTGGGACTCCAGGGTGTGAGCTGGTGACCCCGGGCCCTGCAGAACTTCCTGGGGCTGGCGGGGTCCATGCGAAGCAAGCCGGGTTGGCACCTGCCCAATGTCAGTGAACCCAGATGGCACCCTCAGCTCTGGAAAATGAGGATTTAGGCCTGGTGGACTCTGTGTCTCTCCAGATGTATAAACCCTTCCCTCTCTGAAATGATACCAAAAGGCCAATTATTTTTCTAAACTGACCGCACACTCTGAAGTGTTGTTGAATGAGCCGAGCACGGCTTCCAGTTGAGCACAGACCACAGGGGTCTCTGCAGGTTCTGCCAGCTGAGAAGGGTCTTCTTCTCCCAGGGGACACAGGGTGGGGGCAGAGGGCATCTCACTGAAGGCAGGGGCTGCCGTGTGGGGAAGGGCTCTGGGGTCTAGAGTAAGTCTGCGGAGACGTTCAGTTTTGGAAAACATGCTTCATGCCCGTGGTCTTCCTTCCCTGGGCTGCTCCCAATCTGTTGCCTGAGCAAACAAACGGCTTGGCTTCCTGACACTGAAAATGTGAGTCACCCAGGCTGCTGATGCTGCCGAGCAGCGCCTTTCAGCAGTTAAAAGTTGAAGCAACGATGACGAGGTCAGAAAAAGGCCTGCACTGATCACTGCTGTTCGGCGGCTATGGGATTTGTTTATTGCTCAGAGGCTCCAACTGCATAGACAACCATGTGACAGTTCATGAGCCAGAAAAGGGCTCTGGTTTGAGCTGATGTGAAATAGCAGGATTTAAAAAAATGTACACAACACTGGCTTTTAGATGTTTCAAGTTGTAGAAATCAGTGGGTTGGGCTGAAGGCTTAAAGAGAAATACAAAAGTACAGAAAATAGCTTTCAAATCTCTTTGTTTACGGCGTTGGTTCTGCCGGCCAAGGAAAGGACACGACGTGGCCACGCGGCATGGCCCGCTGGGGTCAGCTCCGGCTTTGTCTAAAACAGCTGGATCATCGAATCTCTGGACTTGCCGACACCAACCCATTTCACTGAAAGGGGAAGGGGAGGTTCAGCCTGGGCTGAGGTGGGTGGAGGGGGTGGCCGGATGCAGGGCACCCACCTGCCACTCCGACGTGGTTCTCCAGGAACCGGATGTAGCTCTGGGCCTGTGGGGGGAGGTCCTCCCACTTCCGGGCGCCCGTGGTGTCCGCCTTCCACCCCGGCAGCGTCTCGTACTCCACCTCCACCTTCTGCAGGATCTCCTGGTTGGCTGTGGACACGGGCTGGGTGAGCCGGGTGCTGCCAATGTCTGCGCGGACACGGGCCTGGGACCCCCAGCCTGGGTTCTGCTTGCCCCAGGGCTCGCGGGCAGAGAAGGCAAGTGGCCCTGCCTGATCTTCTCAGGGCTGGGGGCTGGTTCTGGGACGCTGCCTATTCCTCTTCCAGCCCAGGGGACACGGCACCCTGGCCCTGGATTACAGGGGACACCTCAGCTGAGGAATTCCGAGGCCGCCGCTTCCAAGGGGTTTGAGGTCCTGCAGTGTTAAGGTTCCTGAAGGATCTATGTTCCCCTCTCCAGGGCAAGGATCCCACTTGGTCCGGACTCCCGGCCTCACAGCAGGCGCCAACCACCCCTGTGGTCAGAAATTGCTGGAAGGAGCTATCCAGCTGAAGTACACGCCCTGAGTCCCAGTGCTCGCCTGCTGTGTCCTCTCGGAGCTCAGAGTCAGTCGGTCTGGGAGATGCTGGCCGAGAGGACGCACGGGGCTCCCACAGCCAGGAGGCTGCACACACATGCTGGGGGGCAGCGGGGGCAGGGGGTGGGGTCATCCATGACCCCAGGCCAGACGCACAGGTAACTGTGAAGCCAGGAAAGCATCACTGCCTTTACGCTTTTTAGAAAAAGGGACACTCGCTTGGTGACAGAAACTTCAGGGAGGCCTTAAAAAGTCCAACCAGACACATGTGTTTTCTTAGGTCAAGATCATCTTCCTGTTGGTCCAGCACTTGGAGCGTCCAGAGCCCATGTCTGCTATTTCAGGTGAGTCCCCAGCTCCCGAGAGGTGAGCCTTGACCCTGGGGGTTACCCAGGGTCTTGGCGTCAGGCTGGCCCCTGAGTCCCTCTGAGCCCTCCCTAGAGCGCGGACGCACAGGCCTCCGGTCGGGGTGACAACCTGCTGCAGACAGAAGTGGGAAGAGTCTCCAACCGGGGCTCCCCCCCGTGACCGACACGCACACGCTGTCCCTTCCGCCCGAGACCAGCAGCCAAGGGCAGGGGGGCGGCGGCGCCCGCACCTGGGAAGTAGGGGATCCGCTTCCCGCCGAGCTTGTACGCCACGCCGACCTTGATCTCGTCCAGGGTGTCCAGGATGTCCAGCTTCGTCAAGGCCAGCCTGCCCAGAGCACAGCGAGAAGCCGAGGGGCGGTCAGCCACCAACGCTGCTCCCGCCCAGCCCCACCCCTCGCTCCTCCACTGTTTGCGGGACTAGGACGCAGGATGGCTGAGCCCACGACGGTTAGGCCAGGAGCCCAGCACTGCCCCGTCCCCACGGCCCAGCAGAACAGGGGTTTGGATGGCAGGCTGGGTCCGGCCCGGCCGGCTCAGTGGAAGGTCTGTTAGCATGGACTCGCTCCCTGGCTCCCGGAGAGCCGTCTGCACCGCTTCCGGGAGTGGGACACCCTCTGGCCTCACGATGTCTCCTTCCCTGTCAGTGCTCAGGAGCCGGTGCAGGGCCGGCCCCAAGGCACCCTGGACAGCTCTACCCATCACCCCCCAGAGGCCTCACTGTGTGGAGGGGTCTCCCCGGGGCGAGGTCATCCTGTGTGGGGAGGACCGTGGCCCTGAGCTGCGAAGCCCGGCTGCCCTGCTCCTGCGGCGTCTGGGGAGTTGGGGCTGGGTCCCCGGGGGACAGGTGCCCAGGGCGGGGCCGGGGGGGGGGGGCGCCTCATCACCACCCACGCGGTGAATCCGTTGACCATGTGGGCATATCTCAGGATCATCAGGTCCAGCCAGCCGCAGCGCCGCTTCCTGCCTGTGGTCACGCCCCACTCATGGCCGCGGCTCTGCAGCAGGTCCCCGATCTCCTGCGGGGCGACAGAGAGGGCCCAGGGGCTGCGGGGATGGAGCCTGAGCCGGCCGCCTGCCCCGCCCTCCCGCAGCCCCTGACGACCACCCCGCTTCACGCTCGCTCACCCGCCCCGGGCTTGCCTGCACCGGCTGAGCCTCATGACCGCAGGCCCCGTCCTAGCCCCGTGGGCAGGTGAGGGTGGATCCGCCAGACCCCGCAGCTGCCCTTGAGCAGGCTGTGTGCTTATTTTGTGCTTCTTTCTCCGGGGTTCACAGCCCTGCCCAGCATGTCCCCTTCCTGCTCTGGCCCCCGCACGCCTGCTCAGGACAGCAGCCTCGTGTCCCTCCAGCCTCACGGGCACAAGGCCGGGGAGAGGAAGGTGGGGCCATCCTGAGTGCCCAGAGACACCCACGAGGCTGCAGGGCAGTTTGCTGGGTGAGGTGGGGGCGCTGCTCCTGCCCTGCTCTCGCCCGGCTGAGGCCAAACCCAGGGTCGCTCAGCCCCAGGAGGAAGGCGGCCTGGGCGCCCAGGCCAGGCCAGAGAGGAGGCTCTCAGGGTCCTTCCTGAGCCAGGGGCTCTGTGGGACAGTCACGGGGTAGGGGGTGGCTGGGGCTGCAGCCTCAGCATGTTCTCTGCGGCCTCCCCCGCCCCTCCACCAGCTGCCCGTGCGCGTCCCTCGGGGCTGGGGACTCACGTTGATCTGCTCGGTGGGGAAGGCGCCGATGCCCACGCGCGTGCTGTAGGCCTTGGCCACGCCGTAGACCTCGCCTATGTTCTGGGGTGGGATGCCCAGGCCGGTGCACACGCCGCCCACCGTGCAGTTGGAGGACGTCACAAAGGGGTAGGTCCCTGCGAGGCAGAGCGCGTCGGGCTGCCACCCAGCAGGGGCCCTGGCGCGGGGTCGCCCCGGTGGTCCCAGGGGCCATCCAGGGGCAGGGCTGATGCGCGGTGCTGTGTGTGTGAGCTGGCAGGGGGAAGGGGCTCTCGGGCTTGGACGGTGGGTGCCTTGCCTGCGCCAGGTGGCCTGGGCCTGGGACAGCGGGGACAGAGGCCCAGGTGGGGCAGTCAGAGCTTCTGGGCCCAGCCAGTCTCTCCCTCATCCCCTTCCCTCATCCCCCTCATCCCCATCCTCATCACCCCTCATCTCCATCCCTCATCCCCCTCATCTCCATCCCTCATCCCCCTCATCTCCATTCCTCATTCCCCTCATCTCCATCCCTCATCCCCTTCATCTCCATCCCTCATCCCCCTCATCTCCATCACTCATCCCCTTCATCTGCATCCCTCATCCCCCTCCCTCATCCCCCCCCCTCATCCCCCCTCATCCCCATCCTCATCACCCCTCATCTCCATCCCTCATCCCCCTCATCTCCATCCCTCCTCCCCCTCATCTCCATTCCTCATCACCCCTCATCCTCATCCCTCATCCCCCTCATCCCCATCCTCATCACCCCTCATCTCCATTCCTCATCCCCCTCATCTCCATTCCTCATCACCCCTCATCCCCATCCCTCATCTCCCTCATCTCCATCCCTCATCCCCCTCATCTCCATCCCTCATCCCCCCTCATCTCCATCCCTCATCACCCCTCATCCCCATCCCTCATCCCCCTCATCCCCATCCCTCATCCCCCTCATCTCCATCCCTCATCACCCCTCATCTCCATCCCTCATCCCCCTCATCTCCATCCCTCATCCCCCCTCATCTCCATCCCTCATCCCCCCTCATCTCCATCCCTCATCCCCCTCATCTCCATCCCTCATCACCCCTCATCTCCATCCCTCATCCCCCTCATCTCCATCCCTCATCACCCCTCATCCCCATCCCTCATCCCCCTCATCTCCATCCCTCATCACCCCTCATCCCCATCCCTCATCCCCCTCATCCCCATCCCTCATCACCCCTCATCTCCATCCCTCATCCCCCTCATCTCCATCCGTAATCCCCCTCATCTCCATTCCTCATCACCCCTCATCCCCATCCCTCATCCTCCTCATCCCCATCCCTCATCACCCCTCATCTCCATCCCTCATCCCCCTCATCTCCATCCGTAATCCCCCTCATCTCCATTCCTCATCACCCCTCATCCCCATCCCTCATCCTCCTCATCCCCATCCTCATCACTCCTCATCTCCATCCCTCATCCCCCTCATCTCCATCCCTCATCACCCCTCATCCCCATCCCTCATCCCCCTCATCTCCATCCCTCATCACCCCTCATCCCCATCCCTCATCCCCCTCATCCCCATCCCTCATCACCCCTCATCTCCATCCCTCATCCCCCTCATCCCCATCCCTCATCCCCCTCATCCCCATCCCTCATCACCCCTCATCTCCATCCCTCATCCCCCTCATCCCCATCCTCATCACTCCTCATCTCCATCCCTCATCCCCCTCATCTCCATCGCTCATCCCCCTCATCTCCATCCCTCATCCCCTTCATCTCCATCCCTCATCCCCCTCATCTCCATCCCTCATCCCCCTCATCTCCATTCCTCATCACCCCTCATCTCCAACCCTCATCCCCTTCATCTCCATCCCTCATCCCCTTCATCTCCAACCCTCATCCCCCTCCCTCATCCCCCCTCATCCCCATCCCTCATCACCCCTCATCTCCATCCCTCATCCCCCTCATCTCCATCCCTCCTCCCCCTCATCTCCATTCCTCATCACCCCTCATCCTCATCCCTCATCCCCCTCATCCCCATCCTCATCACCCCTCATCTCCATCCCTCATCCCCCTCATCTCCATCCCTCATCCCCCTCATCTCCATCCCTCATCCCCCTCCCTCATCCCCCTCATCCCCATCCTCATCACCCCTCATCTCCATCCCTCATCCCCCTCCCTCATCCCCCTCATCTCCATTCCTCATCACCCCTCATCTCCATCCCTCATCCCCCTCATCTCCATCCCTCATCCCCCTCATCTCCATTCCTCATCACCCCTCATCCCCATCCCTCATCCCCCTCATCCCCATCCTCATCACTCCTCATCTCCATCCCTCATCCCCCTCATCTCCATCCCTCATCACCCCTCATCTCCATCCCTCATCCCCCTCATCCCCATCCCTCATCACCCCTCATCCCCATCCCTCATCCCCCTCATCTCCATCCCTCATCCCCCCTCATCTCTATCCCTCATCCCCCTCATCTCCATCCCTCATCACCCCTCATCCCCATCCCTCATCCCCCTCATCTCCATCCCTCATCACCCCTCATCCCCATCCCTCATCCCCCTCATCCCCATCCCTCATCACCCCTCATCTCCATCCCTCATCCCCCTCATCTCCATCCGTAATCCCCCTCATCTCCATCCATAATCCCCCTCATCTCCATTCCTCATCACCCCTCATCCCCATCCCTCATCCCCCTCATCCCCATCCTCATCACTCCTCATCTCCATCCCTCATCCCCCTCATCTCCATCGCTCATCCCCCTCATCTCCATCCCTCATCCCCTTCATCTCCATCCCTCATCCCCCTCATCTCCATCCCTCATCCCCCTCATCTCCATTCCTCATCACCCCTCATCTCCAACCCTCATCCCCTTCATCTCCATCCCTCATCCCCTTCATCTCCAACCCTCATCCCCCTCCGTCATCCCCCCTCATCCCCATCCCTCATCACCCCTCATCTCCATCCCTCATCCCCCTCATCTCCATCCCTCCTCCCCCTCATCTCCATTCCTCATCACCCCTCATCCTCATCCCTCATCCCCCTCATCCCCATCCTCATCACCCCTCATCTCCATCCCTCATCCCCCTCATCTCCATCCCTCATCCCCCTCCCTCATCCCCCTCATCCCCATCCTCATCACCCCTCATCTCCATCCCTCATCCCCCTCCCTCATCCCCCTCATCTCCATTCCTCATCACCCCTCATCCCCATCCCTCATCCCCCTCATCTCCATCCCTCATCCCCCTCATCTCCATTCCTCATCACCCCTCATCCCCATCCCTCATCCCCCTCATCTCCATCCCTCATCCCCCTCATCTCCATTCCTCATCACCCCTCATCCCCCTCCCTCATCCCCCTCATCTCCATTCCTCATCACCCCTCATCCCCATCCCTCATCCCCCTCATCTCCATCCCTCATCCCCCTCATCTCCATTCCTCATCACCCCTCATCTCCATCCCTCATCCCCCTCATCTCCATCACTCATCCCCTTCATCTGCATCCCTCATCCCCCTCCCTCATCCCCCTCATCCCCATCCTCATCACCCCTCATCTCCATCCCTCATCCCCCTCATCTCCATCCCTCATCCCCTTCATCTGCATCCCTCATCCCCCTCCCTCATCCCCCCTCATCCCCCTTCATCCCCATCCCTTATCCCCAGCCTAGCCTCTCTTCTCCCCTCCCGGCTGAAGTTACGAGCAGAGGGCAGTATGACTGCTTCCAGGGCACAGAGGGCAGCTTGGGTGGAAAGCGAGCCCACCACAGCTGTCTCCTCGGCAGACAGAAAAGGCAGGGCTCGTGGGGCTCTGGATGGGGACGTACCAAAGTCAATGTCGAGGAGGGCTGCGTTGGCGCCCTCCACAAGGATCTTCTTGGGGGGGCCATGGAGCGCCTCGTACATGAAATAAACGCCGTCTCGGACCATGGGGCGGATCCGCTCAGCGAAGCCCTGGGAGAAGGGGCCAGGATGCAAGAACGGGGTCCACCCAGCTCTGGCCTCCTCCCCACAGCCTCTGTCTTCCAGCAAACTCCTGCCCAGCGAGGATGTCTGCACACATCCCTGTGGGTCCATCCCGTCTACATCTAGAGCCCCAGACGAGGCTGGAGGAGCTGGGGTCCGGCCCTGGAGGTTTCCAGAAGGGCTCCGAGCGGACGTCCTCCTGTCTCCCACCCGCTCCATCCCTCTAGCAGTGAGCTGGGACACCGGGTGCTCAACTCTACCTTGAGCCTTTTGAGTTGACCTTCCACGTCTATTTCCAAACTGGGGAACATGGACTGGTGCTGCTGCGCCAGGTTCTTGAATCTGCGGAAGCGACAGTGACTGCCACCCCGCCTCTCCAGAGCCCCGCTCCTGCCTCCCTAGCCCGGCCTCCCCCAGTCCAGTGCCGGGGACGGGTCAGGTACCGGGTGGAGAACTCGTCGAAGTCGGCCAGGAGGTCGCAGATGCGGAGGCCGGTGCGGGCGGCCTTGGATGAGTAGGCTGGCCCGATCCCCTTCCGGGTGGTGCCGATGCTGGAAGACAGGGCAAGGGCCATGAGCCAGGGGGGCCCAGGCGGGCCTGCCGGAACTAGGGGAGGAGCCTGGGAACCCGGGGCCCCCCGGCCAGCCCTCAGCGTCTACCCCCATAAACCAAGGTCGAGCCGGGCGATGCCCGAGGGCCCTTCCCAGCCACAGCCCCGGGGGCTGGGTGGCTGTGGGAACTCCTGGACACCTCTGACAGCCAGCCCCAGAGACCGGGAGCTGCGGGGGCAGCACGTGGGTTGAAGTCCTGGCCCTGCCCCTCCCGTGGCCCCCTGAGGCCCAGTGACCGGCGGTGCCCTCCCTGGCCCGGCTGCTTTCTGCCCAGCACTGAGGCTGCTGCCCTGGGCACCTGCCATCTCCTCAGAACTGCACCCTAGCAGTGCCACGCTGTACCCACTGCCCACCACAGCCCAGCCCAGGTCAGCGAACGGGGATGCCCGGCGTCGCGACTTGTGTGTGGCCGAGCCCTGTGTGCGCGTGCACGTTTGTGAGTGCATGTTCACATGTGAGCATGTGTGCACTTGCATATGAGAGCGTGCTGTGTGTCCCTCTGTATGAGTGTGCACGGCAGTGTGTGTAATCTATGCACGTGTGTGCACTGGTGTGTGCGTGTGTGCACATGTGTGTGAGAAGCAGGATTCTGGTCTGCGTCACTCCTGTCCCGGCTTTGACACTGTCCCTGGCCCACTGCAGTGAACGTCTCTGGAGAACCAGTGACGGGCCATTGTGGGCAGGCTTTGGCGCCCGGTGGAGCTGCGGTCAAGGCTGGCCTGGGATTCCAGCAGGGGCGGGGGGGCGCGGCAGGTGACGGACGGCATGGGTGCTCCCGGGGGTGGCTCCGGGGAGGACCGCATGGCCCCGGGGAGAGGCGGCTCGCCTGGGCTTCAGGGCTGGGGAGGTGCAGGGTGAACTGACGGACGCTGTCCTCGGGGCTCCTGGTGGACGCACAGCACCCCCCACCCGACATGCTCCCAGCTCTCCGGCTGTGGACTCGAGGCCTGGGGGCAGCGCAGCACTCACTTCTTGCCCTCCTGGGCCTGCCGCTGCACCTCCTGGAGCCCATCCACTGCCTGGTGAAAGTCGAACACTGCCGGGTGGGCAGGCGGGAGAGACAGATGGTTACGGGGCTTCTGGGGACACCACGGGCCCCTCCCCCGGGACTCAGTTTCCCCATCTGCCTGTGCTGGCAGTCATCCGGACCCGGCACCCCCAGGAGCCCTCGGAGAAGGCCTGGGGGGGCGCCTGGGGTCACTTGTTCGCAGGCAGGTGGGGAAGCCCCGGGACTCACCGAGGTGGGCCCGGTCAGAGATGACGAGCCTCTTCTCCCAGTCCTTCAGGCCTGTGGACACGGCACGCGGTCGGCGACGGGCCCGCCCCTGGGGACCTGGGGACATCCACCCGCGTCCCCACGGGTGGCTGTCTCTTCACGGGCTCTGTCCTGGCGCCTCCCCAAGCCCACGTTCCAGGGCCAGGGCCCGCTGGCTCCTTTCGTGCCTGTGCTGAGCCTGGGACCCGAGGCGGAGGCTCCGCTTCCTCCAGGGCACCTCAGGGCTGTGTGTTGCCCACCTGCCTCTCGACAACCACCGGGGGCCCACCTGCCCGCATGCCTGGCCAGTGGCCTTGGTCACTGCCTGCCCGCCTCCTGCCCCTGACCAGCCCCCAGGGACCACCCCTTCCCTGCAGGGATGTCGACCCAACCGTCCCCAGTCTCGGGACATCAGGGTCAAAGTCCAGGCTCCAAGGCTCTGTCCTGGAGAGCCTGAGTCTGCAACTCCTGGTGTCACCGGTCCCCGGTGTCATGAAAGCTCGCCTGTGACATCGAGGCTGTGGCCTGAAGCCAAAGTCTGGGGCCCCGGGACTGCCTGCTTGCTCTCAGGCTTCCGGTGTGAGCAGGGCCAGCAGGCCTGGGTGGGGCGGCTCTGCCGGGACACGGACCTACCTTTCTTTTCGTTCTTCTCTGCTTCTTCAAACAAGCCCGGCAAGTGGACAACCACTCCATTGCCTGCGACACATGGACACGAGATTGATCTGGGTCACAGACAGAGGGACTTCACACTTAAAACGCTGTGAAATTCACGCCCTCATGCTGACAGCTGCATTGTTCATGATGGCTAAGATGGGGAAACAATCCGGCAGTCTGTCAGTGGACATTAATGATGGATAAAGAAAATGTGGTCCAACCGCATGGCGGGATTATTATACAGCCGTGAAAAGGAAGGGAATGCTGCCACAGGCCGCCACACGGAAGAACTTCAAATACACTACATAAAGTGTGGAAGTGTTCATCGCTCAGTCGTGTCTGACTCTTTGTGACCCCATGGACTACAGCCATCGTGCCTGATTTACACGGCACAGAAACGGGAAAGCAGGCAGCATGGAGAAACAGCCTCCAGCTGTTTGGTCTCGGGAGCCAGGCCTCCCCATCCCCGTAAAACTAAAGGGGGCTCTGCAGAGGGCAGGTGCCAAGCCCAGGCAAGGAGGTGGTTCGCCACGGCCATGAGCTCAGCAGGGGCCCAGGCTGAAGCCAAGGCTGCCCCTTCCTCTGAGACCAAAGCCCGCCGGGTGGGGCCCCCGCAGCCTTCCAGGGGGGCGCGTCCCCTGGGTGCCAGGATTGGCGGAGGGAGACGGGACACAGTCCCAGACGGGAGTGGCTCAGAGGCAGCCGGCCACATCGAGCACGAAAGGTCATCTAAATGCCACGAGCCCCGAGATGGCCAGGGGTCAGGGCCTGGTGGGGGCCGCGTGAGCGCCCGCACCTCCCACCCTTGCCGAGGGGCTCCCATCAGCAGCTGGCCGGGCTGACCCTGCTCATGCTCCCGGTTCCCGGGACACCGGGCAGACCCCCTCTCCCCTCCCCGCAGCAAGCGCTGCCTGCTTGGCCGGGTTCCCACCCAGTGGCACCCAGCAGCCTCCTGGGGCAGAGACTTGGCCCCTGGGTGCGGGGTCCCGGGTGAGCTCGGGTCCTCACCCTCCACCAGGGCCCAGTCCGCACCCACAGAGAAGCCCGTGGGTCACCACCCCTTCCTGCTCAGCCTGACCGCCCACCGCCTGGCAGGCCCACCACCGCTGTAGCGTCCCTGGGCTCACACCCAGGGCTGGACCCGCACCACCAGCGGGCACACGCCCGCGGTGCCAGCCCTGCGTCCTGGGGGGGCGGGGCAGTGAGCCACGCATGTGGCCCTGCTCAGCCGTGGAAAGAGCCAGAAGGGAAGGTCCCCGAAGCTCCCAGAGGGGTGGGCAGGAGAGGGCGACGGGAAGGGGTGGGGGAGAGGGGCTGCCCAGGGGCTGGAGGAGGGCGGGAACAGCTGCCCATGGAGAGCCCCACACAGACCCACAGGGAGCCAGACCCATGCCGTTCTCACACTCACCCACGGGCATCACACGCGCACACATTCTCACAGGCATGCGCACACATTCTCACAGGCATGCGCACATGCACACAGACTCACACATGTGACACCCACCCTTGCATACACACGCATGCACACGGACACGCTCACACACACGCCTACAGGCTTGCACACACACACACCCGGGGAGTCTGAGCACTCTGGGGAGCTTCCTGCACCCTCCATCCATCCCTCCGTCCCAGGCATGGGGAGAAGGGGGTCCTGGGCTCCAGCCCGGGTGCTGAGGCGGGGCCCCCAGATCAGAGGCCTCTGCGAGGGTCCCCGTGGGGCTGGAACCTTGACTCTCTGGGCCCAGCCCCGCGCCCCGCTGCGTCCAGCCTGCGTATGGACCCCTGGGCTCGATGACGTCCAGGCCTGTCCTGCTCACACCCAAGGGCTCGCAGGGCCGCGGCGGGGGCGGGCACTCACCGATGAAGGACACAGCCTTGGTGTTGATGATGCCGCTGGGCAGCAGGTGGAAGTCGTACTCCTTGCCGTCCACCACCACGGTGTGGCCAGCATTGTTGCCTCCCTGGGGACAGAAACCGGATCAGCATCTACCCCGGGAGGCCTGCCTGGCGCATGGCTCACTGGGGCAGTTCTACAGGCAGGCGCTCAGGAGCCCTGCCCCCGCCCCAGGCTGCCCGGGTGGCTGGAGCGTGAGACGCCATCTCTGCTGGGACGTGGGGAGCCTGGTCCCGTGGCTGCCTCCGATGCGTGTCTGGGGTTCCAGGGCCTGGCCAGGGCACTGGGTCCAAGAGGCACGCTGGCCCCCACACCCAGGACTGTCTTGGGCTGACGCTCCGGGGAGGCTGGCTCAGTGCAGCCCCTGAAGCCTCCACCGGCTCAGAGCCCTGCCTGCCCGCCCACCACTCCCTCTGGGGTTCCTCCTCTGATGCAGGGATGATGTGGGGAGCACAGATTCAGGCCCCGCTGCCACACAGCCTGAACTCCGGGGGGCAGAGGGCGAGCAGGCAGCTCAGCCTTTCCGGGACCAGGAGCCAGCATGCCACAGCAGGCCCTCCCTTGGGCCTGCGCCTCCCATCTGGCAATAAAGAGGGGAAAAAGCCATCCTGAGGCCCACTGGGGTGGGGGGAGGGGAGCCAGGAGGAGGCCCAACTCAGGAGGGAAGCCGGCCTCCAGCCCCAGGTCTGGGCACTAGAGGCCAGTGCAGGCCCCAACATGGGGCCCTGGAGTCAGTGAGCGGGGCCCAGGGAGGGGATGCGTCCTGGCTGCTGCCCAGGTTAGGGGGCCTTGGAGCCCCGCCAGCCCCGCCTGCTGCAAAGGCACTCGCATATCTGTGGGGCCCCTCCATGGCTGGGCCGCCGCCCCCCCGCCCCGCTGCCCTCCTGGCTGGCAGAGGAGACGATGGCCACTGGCTGTGAGGGTTCCAGCACCCGTGCCCCTCAGGACCCAGCAGAGAGACGAGTCCCGCATGCACATGGTCGCTCCCTGCCTGGCCAGGCCTGGCCGAACGAGGGCCGTGTCCTCCCCCAGGGGCACCTACACCTCCCATTTCCCCCACGGAAATGGCCCAGGCGGGGGTCAGGGGGAGACCCGGCCCTGGACCTCACTTCACACTTGGGCAAATTTAAGCAGAGCGGCCAGAGCCCACCTCCCCTCCACGCCCCTTTCCCAGCCTCCGTCCCAGCCGCCCCCCGACGGCCCTGCAGACACCGAGTGTTCCGTGTGTCATGCGCAGGTGTGGAGGCCTGTCTGGAATGACCCCGGGGTTGGAGGGCGGGGGCAAGTTTGCCTCTAACTGACCCCAGGGGTCACTGGGGTCCTGGTGTGTGTCCTAGGGCCCCTGCCACACGACTGGGCCCTGTCCCACAGCCCGCTCACCCTGGAGGCCAGCCTGCCGCCCTGGGTGCCTGAGCCCGGTGTGGCCCGTGGGAACCAACCACAGGCTCCGAGCCACCGACGGCAGGCAGGGGGCACAGGGCATGCTGGGGGGTGCCGGGGACCAAGGAGGGGCCCACAAGCAGAGGCGGCACAGGGCCGGGCCACAGGGCCTCAGGATGGAGCCAGCTGGCGGTGAACTGTGTGGGTGGGCCACCAAGTAAGGGACCCCAGGGGGGCTGCTGGAGCAGAGGGAGCTGATGCTGCCCAGATGCGGCGGGGGAAAGGGGTGCGGGGGGAGAGGCGGTGGGCTCAGCCTTGAACATCTGAGGCACTGCGACTGAGGGCCTGGGTTTTGGGGTCACGGGGCCCCCCCAGAGGCCCCATCCTTACTCTGCCCTTGCCTCAGGACACGTGCAATGCCTCCCTGCACACGAGGTTCTCTGTGCAGTTCATGCCCACGGTCCCCTTGGCCACTGTAGGTGGGGTAGCCTGGCGGAGGGGTGGGGGACCCGAGGTCCCAGGAAAGGAGCTTGGAGCGAGACCGGGCGGCAGGCCGGCGGCCTCCCCGCAGACGCTCTCCCTGTGAGCCAGAACCGCCCCCAGCCACATCCTGCCTGCCGTGGCGGGGGCCCAGACACCCCGCTCCCCTCCCCTGTTCTCAAGTGCCCAGCATCAGCATCAGCTGGGCCGAGCGCACCCCACCTTTGTTTGGGGTAAACACCAGTGCCTAGGAACAGGCGCAGTCCGCCTGGGCCCGTGGGCAGCAAATGACCCCCGCCGGCTACAGGGCCCAGGCATCGGGCCACGGTCCACTCCCAGGGGTGTGAGCCAGCCCTGGACATTGAGCCTGGGACCCACTGACCTGAGGGCGCCCCTCCCGGCAGCTCTGCAGAGGTCCAGGCAACCATCCCAGAGACCCCTGGCTGCCCTCCCCTGGGTGCGTGTGAGGTCAGGGCAGGGACATACCACCCCCACTCCTAACGCCCCAGCCCTGCTGTGGTCTGCAGGCCACAGGCCGGGAGAGCTGCGGGGCACGGCAGGGAAAAGCCACCTAGAGGACAGCTGGTTCCGAGTCCCAGGTCCAGCCTGGCGGCCCCATCAGGGCCTTCGCCCCCGGGCTGCGCTGTCTCCCTGTCCCCCCAGGTGGACAGGCTCTGGAGGATCTGGAGTGACCGGGAGCAGGCCTCACTCCTCTTTCATGCCTGGGGGCTCCCTCGGGATTCTGCCTCCCTCCAGGCTCTCCCCTCCGTGATGGAGCCTTGGGGCAGGCACAGCCAGCTCAGAGTCCCCAGGGACGCTGACGCCGCCCCCACAGCCTGGCCGGGCACTAAGTCCCCAGTGGATGCCACCAGGTGCCGCCCTGGCAGCAGGAATCTAAGCAAGTGAGGCTTTCTTGCTCACGGACACAGGAACGGGACCAAGGCCAGGGCCGGCCCACTCCGAGATCTGACCAGCCTCTGTGCCTGCAGGCGTCCTGCCAGCCCACCCTCTTTGGAGCCAGCGCGGAGTGGACGAAGAAGGCACAGAGAGTGGGTGCCGGGCGGCAGGTCTCTGAGGCTGTGACTCTGCTCGCGGCCCTGGGCATGGCCGTGGGCGTGGCCGCGGGCGGAGGCGGAGCCTCTGGGTGGCCACGGAGAAGTGGGTTTTCTCAGGATCGTGCCCAGCAGGCAGCAGCCAGGGGTCTGCCCTCGGGGTGGAGAGCCTTGTGAACTGCCCCCCCCCTCACCGTGGTCTGGGTGAAAGCGCGGAGGTCGCGCGCCCAGGCATTCCTCGCGCGCCTCTTTCTGGGTGTCTGCTCTGCGGGACCCTACCATCGGTCCACCCATCCATCCGTTCACCCCAAACAGAACTGCTCTGCGTGTGAGGCACCGGAGTGAGGCCTGGAAGGAGGAGGGCAGGGCCCCCAGGTGGGTGCACGGTCTCCCCTGCCCAGGGCCACGACTGCCCAGGTGACCCTGTGGAGACTGTCCCCCTGGAGTCTCTGCTGGGGGACAGGTGTCATCAGAGGGTGTACACGCGGAGGCACCACCGGTGGTCTCCCCCACAGACCCGACCCGGGAGGCTCCTGGACCGGCCTGGGGTTCCAGGCGGGGGCATTCCCGGTCTCTCTCCCAGGGAGAGAGATCCCAGAGCGCCAACAAGCCACAGGATGCGGCCACTTACCCCGCAGGAGTGAGACCACCATGCCCTTGGTCACAGCTCCCGGGACTGAGGGCGCCCACCCGGGCATCCCGCCCTGGACTCCTGCACCGAGCCGCCTCCCTGCCCTAGGAGGGGAGAATTGTATATAAATCCTGCCCGGGGCGCCCTGAGGCCTCAGGGCCGTGGGTGGGCCCAAAGCCTGCTGAAGGTAACTGGAAACGGAGGGACGGGGCGCGGCGTGGGAAGGGCGTGACCGGGGCCCTGACAGGCAGGCCAGGCGCGTGGGCTCTCGGGCTCCCATCTGGACGGGGGGCGGGGGGGGGACGTCAAACAACAAGAAGCATGCCTGTGGGCTCCCGCAAGAGAAAGCCCGGCGCAGGGGCGGGGTCTTCCAGGGAGTGGGCGGAGCTCGCGGCCCGAGGCCGAGGCCGGCAAAGGGCGGAGGGAGCCCGAGGCGTCTCCGGGGTCGCTTAGCTGCAGAGGCACCTGCGCCAGGAAGAGGGAAGGGGCGTAGGGCGGGGAGTGAGAGAAGGGAGCCCGGGGGCCGCGGGCCCGGAGCAGCCCGCGGAACTGCGCCCAGGATGCAGGGGACCTCCCGACGCTGGGGGAAGGTCTGGCGCCACGCACCCGGGGAGGGGCAGGCAAACAGAACAGCAGGGGTCTAAGGCCCAGTCTCTGGACCCTAAGGAAGGTCTTGGGGGTCTTGGGGTGCATGCTGACCACGGGCTCCAAACCACTGAGACGGGGAGAATTGAGGGTGACCACTGGGGGCCCCTCTGGGCAGGTGGAAAGTGAGTTCCCATAAACCAGGCAGCCAAAGGTGCAGAGGGCTTCCCAGGTGGAACATAGCCGAGACGGAAGACAGGCCTGCGGTCGACGGGGTGGGGGGTGGGGGGGCGGCAGCAGCAGGACCAGAGTCGGGGCCCTGGGCGGCCACTGGGGTCGTGGCTGCCGCTCGGGATGACCCCAGGCCCAGGTGACAGGCCAGGTGACCCTTCTGGTCACTGGGGCTGGCTGGCTTCAGCCCTTCTAGACAGCCACCCAGGCAGGGCTGGACCCCAGCCCACCCTGCCCCCTACACGTGACTCTGCGGCCAGCTGCCCACTGCCCTGGCCCCTCGCTCTGAGCTGGACCCAGATTGGGGCCAAGTGCTGTGTGAAGGCCACGACGCTGGGCTCCAGGCAAAAGCAGTCCTCCCGGGGCGGGGGCTGGGCCCTCACCGCGCCAGCCGGAGCCCAGCACTGGTGCCAGGCGTGTGTGGCACGCGGTAGCACCCATGTCCCGCTTATTCCAACGGCTCAGCGGCTCTGGTCCTGTTTCCCCGCCTCACCAGCTTGTTCAGAGGGTGGAGGGGAGAAGTCACGGTGGTCTCCCAGGGCAGCTGGAGGCCTGCAGGGGGACTGGATCTCAGGGAGAAGCTGGGTCAGGGAGAGGGTGCCATGTGGGCTCCCGCTTGGGTGGGGGCTCCAGGCAGTTCTGCCCTTGCTTGGTCCCGTCATGGCTCTCACAAGCGTCGGGCGAGGGCAGGGCCTGGCCTGCCCACCCAGGTGGCAGAGCAGGGAAGGCCTCCCTCCAGAACCACGTCGACAGCGGGGAGCCCGGTGGTTCCGAGGCGAGGGCCCTCACGGACACCTGCCAAGCCCCGAGGTTACTTCAAGGAGGGCGGGTGAGGCTGGCCAGAGTGGGCAGGTCACACAGAGGGCTCTGGGCATCACGGCTGGAGCAGGCAGGCCCCCCGAGGGGATGTGCAGCAGACGAACTGCGCGACTGGCCCAGGGGCCAGGGGAGGTGGTGTGGACTTGTTCGCTGTGGACTGTGGGAGGCTCCCGCCGTCCCAGGAGGCACCTCCCAGGAGCCCACAGTCGCTGTGAGCAGCGCCTGCCCCGGCGGGCGCGCTGGTCCCCCTGGCGGCGCTGAGCACTGGCCCTCGCCTGGCCGGAGCTCAGGCATGAGGTGCCCAGGGGGCGTCCCTTCCTCACTTCTGGCAGCCTCCCCGCGCGGGGCTGTGAGCCTCAGCAGCAGTGCACCCCTCCAGGCCGACCCCCCTGCACCCCGAGCTGTAAGTCAGCCCACAGCAGCCAGTGCAGCACGGCCCGAGGGGTGCAGGAGACGACAGATAGGTGCAGAGAGCAGTCCGCAGTGGGCATAGGCCCTGCCCGGGGCCCTCGGGGGACAGAGCTTGTGTCTGGCGTCCTGGGTGGCACTACCAGCCTCTGGGTCACCCTGGCCAGAAGACCCAGGCTCGTCCCTCTTCTCCTTCGGTCCCGGCCCGCAGTCCTGCCCGGGCCTCTGCCCAGGCTTGACTGACCCTCCTCCGCTCGGAGAGGCCGGGCCGGCTCCCACTCTGGGTTCCGGCGGCAGCCTCCTCCTGCACACTGACCCCTTGTGGTCAGCCAGCTTCTGTCCCAGCCCCGGACAGAAGGAGGAAGCGAGGAGTCTGGGTGGCCTCCAAGCCACTGGGGACCTGGGGTCCTCGCCTCGCCCCCTACACTGCCCGCCCCGGTGTCACACCCATGGCACACCCCACCCCCTGAGGATCGGGTGTCCCCAACTCAGCGACTTGTATTTATAGCTTGGCCCCTGGCCCACGGCCCTGGGGGTGGGGCCGGCAGGGAAGGCGGGGTCACTGAGGGAGGCCGTGGGGGAGGGAAGACGCTCTGCCCCGAGTGGGTGGGGGTGGCGGCTGGGGAGGGTGTCCCGGGAGGGAAGGCGTCCAAGGGGCGTGTTGGGGAGGGCAGGAGGGCAGGGAGGTCAGGGTCCGTCTGGATCGGGGTGGGGGGGGCCTCCCTGGGCGGGTGGGGGAGGGGCCCGGCGCCCGGCCCGCACCTGGCAGCGGCTGATGATGTCGGCGTCCGTGGCCAGCAGGTCCACCACCTTGCCTTTGCCCTCGTCCCCCCACTGCGCGCCCAGCACCACGGTCACCCGGGAGCCGGTGGTCGCCGCCTCGTGCTGCAGCCGCCCCCGCTTGACGCCGCCCGCGCTGGGGGGCCGATCGTTAGAGGCTCGGGTCCCGGACATGCTGGCTCGGCTCGTCCTCCGTGCTGGGCCGCGCGAGAGCCCGCCGCACCCGCGCGCCGCGCCATTAAAAGGAGCCGGCCCGGGGCGGGGGGCGGGGCCGGGGCGGGCTCTCGGGCGCCGTGACGCGCCGCCTGGACCTCGGGGCCACCTGTCCCGCCCCCGCCCCCACCCGGGGCCCGGTGGGGCCGCGCGCCCGGCTGCGGGGCTCGCGGGCCGGAGGCGCGCTCCGGGGTCCCTCCCGCACTGCCATACTGGAGCGGCCCGGGCATGCTCCTGGGGGCGATCGCACTCGTCCTCCCCGTGGCGGGGCCTGGGCCCGGCGAACCCACATTCGGGGGTCCAGAAACCGCGGGAGTCCCCTCCAGGGCGGGAGTGCAATTGGCCCAAAGGGAGCTGCGTCTCTGTTTCACGCGGGGCGCTGTGGGCACGCACCTGCCCCACCGTGAACCCGGGACCCGTCCTGGCGCGGGCGCCCTCTGGTGGCCACAGAGAGGACAGCCCGTCCCCTCGTCCACCTGCTCAGGCGGGGACCCCCATTGCCTGTCACAGCAGACGGGCTCCATCCATCCAGGAGTGCGGCTGCCCTCCAGCTGCCCTCGGTTCTCAGGGCTCTGAGTCCAGGGAGAACCAGCGGTGTTCTCAGGTCACCTGGCAGGCACAGCAGAGGGCGGCCACAGTGGGTCTCTTGGAGACCCCACCCCAAAACTTCCTTCCTGCTCCGCCTGTGCTGAGACTGGGGGCCCAGAGACGGTGCACGTGGTCTGCTGGGCTCCCTTGTTCCCGTCTGAGTGCACGGCCTGCCCAACGTGGGTGGACTTGGGCTTGGACATGACTGGCCCTGCAAGTCATAGAAACGCCAGGGTAGGCCCCTGGGGGTAGGGGTGGTCTATGAGGCTCCTGTCTCAGGGCTGGGAGCCATTACCTCTAGTTCCTTTCCTGGGGGACTCTTGGTATGGAGGAGCCCGGAGTCTGCCTGCTGGCCTTTGCCCAGTGCTCAGAGAGCCGCTGAGCTCCCTGGGCTCCCAGGCCGGAGCCAGGGGGAGACCGGACACTCCCTGCCTGGTCCTGTTACAGCTTCGTGGGGGTTAGGGATTCCAGCGGCGGGAGGGGGCGGTGTGCTGCGCCGCACCCCATCCTCCGCCTCCCTCCTCCCTCCCCAGCCTCATTCCCTGGGCTCCTGGGCAGAGCCAGGCTCCGGACCCTGGCAGGTCGCTTGGCCCCTGTGTCTGAGTCCCTCTTGTCTCACACGGGGACACCACGGGTTACAAGTCGGGTGCCAGGCCTCCCTCGGTGACAGTGACAGGACGGGCAAAGCTCCTATCCCCCCAGCCCCCGGGCCACCGGCTCTGGGAGCCTGCCGGAGCAGCGGCAGGCGGGCTGGGTGCAGAGCTGCGGAAGCTGAGCGTGGGCGAGCTTCGGGGGGCGGCCGGAGGCGCAGGGTTTCGGGGAGTCAGGGCGTGGAGGAGGGCTGTGTCCCTGCTGAGGAGGCGGGGCTGTGGCAGGCGGGGCCGAGGGTGGGCGGGGCGGGAGGGGTGGGGGTCTCCTCTTTGTCTCCGGATATGGGGGCGGAGCCTCAGGATGCCCACCCGGAGTCTGGAGAGGGCTTCGCTGAGTCATCTTTATCGGGGAAGCAGTGGGGTGCTTCCCTGTCCGTCTCTGGTGCTGAAAGGCCTGAAGGGCCCGCGCGGGGACTGCCGGCCCTGAGCCCTGACCGGGGGAGACTCGGGGCTCCGGGCCAGCAGGTGTGAGATGGAGGCCTGGGGGGGCCAGGGGAATGCCATGGGGGTTCAGACAGGCTCCAGAGCCAGGTGCTGGCTCAGGCACCCGCTCCCCCAGGCCCTGGTCTATAAATAGCCAGCATGCCTGGGGGAGGGCTGGGGAGTTGGGCTTTTCTATAAACAGCCCTGTCCAGGCCCGGCAGCTGGGGCCTGGCCAGTCACACGGCCCAGCCCGAATTAGAACGTTCCCCAGCAGAAGCCCTGCAGGCAGCGGGCCTGTCCCCAAAGCAGGGGCAGCACAGGGCTCGGGACTTGGGGGGCTCCCTATGTGACCTCACTGCACACCGCACACGGTGTCCCAGGGCACACACCTCTGAACTTGAAACAGGACAGGAATGAATGCTGGTGCAGACGCTTTGGAACACAGTTTGGCAGTTTCTTAAAAAGTTGAATATAAAACTTGGCATATGACCCAGCCATTCTTGTCCTAGGAATCCGCCCCAGAGCAATGAAGACGGACTTGCAGAACACAGACACTCTCAGCGGCGTGGCTCACAGAGCCCTGCACACCTGCCTGAGTGTCCACGGACAGGAGGATGGACGGACAGAATGTGGTCTGTCCACAGAACGGACAGACGGAATGAGGTCTGTGTAGACCAGACGTCACTCAGCCACACGAAGGAATGGGGTCCTGACGCACTGCGCAGCTGAGTCTCCAGGTCACGCCGGGTGAAGTCAGTCCATCATAGAAAGCCACGTACTGTCTGACTCCGCTGAAGTGAAATGTCTGCGGAAGGTCAACCCGTAGCAACAGAAGGCAGTGCAGTGGCTGCCGGGGCCGTGGGGAGGCAGAATGCGGGAGCTTCAGGGAGAGGACGGAAATATTCCAAAAGTAGATCGTGACAACTGCACAACCTTGTGAATCTGCTGAAAGGGCAGCTGCATCACACACACTTACAATGGGCAACGTTCACACGTGTACGTTATGGCCCCATGGGGCTATGCTCATCTCACCACGGTGCTGGCATCTGCTTGCTGTCTGCCCTGCCCCTCTCCCAGGTGCTCTGTGGGGGCAGGGAGGGCCCCTCGGGCCAACCCCACCCCCCTCCATCCGCCTATCTACGCAGCCACCTTCCTGCTAATGCAGCCACCCACCCATCCATCCACCTGTCTCTCACTCTTTCCACCTGTCTATTCCTCTTTCTTTACCTACCTGTCCCCCCATCCACCCATCTGTCCATCCACCCACCCATCTGTCCATCATCCATCCACCCACCCATCTGTCCATCGTCCATCCACCCGCCGGTTTGTCCATCCACCCACCCATCTGTCCATCCACCCACCCATCTGTCCATCATCAGTCCATCCATTCACCCACACAGCTGTTGTGATCACACCACATTCACCCACGAGCTGTAAATACACCATAGTCCTTGCTGGGCTAGCCTTGTTCTTTATTGGCCAAAGCTTCTCCAGTCTTGGTAGTACACACAGGGGGTGGGGGCAGTGCAAGGGGCCCATGGGGTCAGTGAGGAGAGGCGGCAGCCCCTCTGGCCCCTCGGCCTGGATCCTGGCCTTCCCCCAGCCCAGTGGGGCCTAGAGGAGGGGACAGCAGCTGCAGGCCAGCTGTCTTGTTGACGAGGGGACCCAAGGGCAGGCTCCTCCCCACCTCAGGGCTGGAGGTGCGGGGATGGGTGCCAACTCCACGGGGTTCCCCCTCTCCTGAATAGAGGGACCCTGGGCCTCCCATGCACGGCCAGATGGCCTGCCTCTACCCGAAGGCCCTGGGTCCTCTCACCCACCTACCTGTCCCCAACTCGCCCACACAAAACAGTAGAAACCCACAAATCATCCTATTTCAGTTAAAAACGAGTGCTTCAGCCCGACTGAGTGAGTTGGGGGCAGAGCTGTGGAGCGGAGTCTCCAGTCCTCCCCAGCTCCGTCGCTTCGCGGGGAGGTCTGTGAGGGCCTGTCCCCAGGGGAATCTGGGAGCCAGGTCACAAGCTCGGGGTGCCCCGGACGCAGCCACTTGACCCGCCCCCCCAGGCGGCCGGATGGAGGCCGTGGTGCATGCCGTGTGGGGTCGGGGTTGGGCGGCGGCATTTAGAAAGCAGAGGGCAGGGGCGTGCAGGCAGGCCAGGGGGGCACCAGGCGGGCCGGGCCCCAGTGCCCGTGGGGGTCCTGGCCTCGGCAGTCCGAGGCTCCGAGAGGCCGTGGCACGGGCCGGGTAAGGCACGGAGTTTGGGTTTCCCAGGGGCTGGCCTCAGCCTGGCCCGGGGGGGCCCCCCGCCCAGCAGCTCATCCGGCAGCCCTGCTGTGGGTCCTCTCACTTGGCTCTGGACCTGGGCCTGAGGCCTGTGGGGAGAGGAGAGGACGTGGTCAGAGCGGCCTGGCCTGGGGCCGTGGCACGGTGGCTGCCTCAGTCCCCAGGCTCCCGCCGTCTGCTCGTCAGCCTTGCCCAGTGGGCAGCACCGTGCGTCCTGAGGTCCACTCTGACCACGGGCCCTTTCTCTAGAGCAGCGAGGCTGCCCCAGGCAGCAGGTGCCAGTTGACCCCCAGCAGGCTGGCCCCCATCCACCCGTCCGGCCCGGTGTTGCCAGGCACGCTTCTTGCCTCTGAGATGGGCAGGTGGGGTCTCCGCGGTTTCCTGTCCCCGAGTCCCACCCCGTCCACACTCTCCAGCCCCACTGTTGCTGGCTCTCCCTGGGGCTCCCTCGGTCACTTCCCCACCAGCCCCTGGGTGGGGGCCTCCTGCAGTCTTTCTGCTCCATCCTCAGGGCACCAGCACCACCCCTTGCCCCCAATTCCAGCTCCTGCCCGCTGCAGGGCCCCTTGCCTGGCTGTTCCCCCCAAAGGCTTGCCCTTCTGGCCACCACAGAGCCAAGCAGCATGGGGCGTGGGCACCGGTGCTCGGAAGAGACAGACGATGAACACAACCGGGGCAGAAGCAGACGGTCCGTCACTCCCGCCCCACGAGGAACCGGCAGGCAGGGCCCGTCCAGCAGGGGTGGGCAGATGGAGGGAGCGGGGTTGTGCTTAAGAAAGGGCCCCGAGGAGGCGGCCTGATGCCACTCGTCCCACGGGCATGGGAGCACTGCAGCGTGGGCACAGACCACCCGCTCCGAACACTGCCCAGCAGGGAAGATTGTGGGAGGAAGGATGGTACAGAAACCCAAGTGCAGACTGAGAGCTGTCCCCGGGCCTCACCCACGGGCCTCCCACTCATCCCAGAGCAAAAGCCCCGCTTGGGCAGCAGAGGGTCCGCCGAAACCACCAGCTGACCTCTCCACTGGTGTCTGTGCCGCCGAGCACGGGGCAGACGGGCCTGTGAGCCCCTCCTGTGGTGCTCTGGGGAGGACTCCCGTCACTGGGTATGGGTCCTGCCCCCAACGCAATCTGGACCTGGCGGGGGACGAACAGGATGCCCCCAAAGTGACTTGGGTCTTCAGTGTCACAAAAGACAGGGGGCTGGGTGAGCGGTCCTGGCAGGACCTTGGTCCAGAAAAGCAAAGCAATGGCCCCAACGGGCAGACGGAGACGCGGGGCCGCCCTGAGGCTGCAGCTACGACTCAAATTGGTCTGTGAAGTTGCGTGGGGAGGGGCTGGGGTGGGGGAAGGATGCAGATGTTAGCAGTTTTCCTATATTTTGCATGTTTTGAAATTTCAAGGTGAAGAGTAGATGGTGTTCCCTGGGACCTCCTTGCAAATTTTCCTTCAAGTTGAAGTTTTTTTCCAAACAAAAAGCTGGGCCGACAAAGAGGAGGGGCCCTTCCTCCCCTCCTGATCCAGGGACAACAGGCCCCGCGGGGCGTTGGGGCGGGGGGAGCTCGAGGGAGCTCAGATCCCACACCGGGCTCAGTGGTCTTCCCCAGACAGTGGTCACGTGTGGCTGCTGTCCCCAAACCCACAGACGCGCCCCCCAGGTCCCCCACACCCAGGGCCAGCAGCTGGGGCTGCAAGGCCGGACTCTGGCCCCGAGGGCCGTGCAGGGTTCCTGTAAAGTGAAGGCGGGCGTGTCAGAGTGGAGAGCCCAGCTCAGAACCCCCCAGGGGCGACCCCTGGAGCAGAGGGAAAGGCTGTGCCCGGCGGTCAGAGCTGCACCGGACTGCACCTCTGCCCCGGTCTCCAGCACCTGCAGGACCTCGTCTCGAGTCCGGCGGGTGGGAGGTGCATGGAGAACCAGGGCTGCTGTCGTGCAGCTCTGGACCCTGCAGGGCTCCCAGTCCCTGCATCCGATCATGGTCCACGGCCCAGGCTGGGGCGTGGTGAGGACCCAGGCCTGTTGCTCTGGTCACACCTGTGAGCCTCATCAAAGACCCCGACTGGCCCGCCCACTTTCAGGGGTCCCGGGAGGCCTGGAGCCCGTCACCGGGGAGGCACCTACAGACCCTCTCCCTAGGTCTCTCCCCTAGAAAGAGGAGGCCTGAGCACCCCCTGCAGGGGCGGGCAGCCTGCCTGTCCCTGGCGGCGTCCCCTGGGGCCTTCGCTGTCCCTCGCTGCCTCCCTGGGGATGCGCGTGGCTCACACCAGGGCCAGAGGAGGGTGCCCTGAGGACAGACTCGGGGAAAGGGGATGTCTTCGAGGCAGGAGGGAGCCAGACGCCCAGGCAGGAGGACCTCTCTCCCACCCTCAGGGCCCTGAAGCCCCGTTCACAAGAGACAAGAGACGCAGCTAAGCGAGGCTCCGAGAGGGCGGGAGGGGAAGCTGGGTGCCGCGAGAGTCCCGGGGAGGGTCGGGGGAAGCGGGTTAGTGTTCAGGAGGCCGGCGCGGGCCTGCCCCTGCCGCCATGGTTAGTGCAGAGCGCCAGGCGGATACCTACCTCACTGGATCACACAGAGCCTTTTTGTTTTATTAGCGTCAGGGTCGGGGGCAACCTCTGCTTCCAAATAAAAGAAACGTGCTCAACAGCTCGTCCCTGACGAGCGACCCTGGACTCAGAGTCGGGGCTGGGGCTGCATGGACGCTGAGCCAAAGTGCAGCCGTGCCCCAGGCCCCCCACCACGCCCAACTGGAGCTGGCATCACCAGGCAGAGTTAGTGGGTTAGAGGTGCAGCCGCTGGGCGGTGCCCTCCCGATGCAGAGGCGCTGCTGTTGCTGTCTCCTCTGCAGTAGGACCCGGAGGGGCGAGGAATCGCCCACTCCCAGGGGCAGCGGCCGGCCTCAGGGGGAGGTCCAGGCCCTGGCGTGGGACAGACAAGCTCAGACCACGCGTAGATGCCCCCGGCCCTGCTGACTCGCCCACCCGGAACCCCTGCTCAGCAGGACGGGAGGGACGGGCGGCCGCGAGTTACCTTCCTGGTTCCTGGAGGGGCGTTTCTTCCTCCGCTTGCCCGTGCCCTTCGACGTCCGGCCCTGAGCCCTGGGAAGGGTGCTAGACCCCGAGGAGTCGGTCACGGCATCCTCGGAGAAGGACCTGTCCAGGGGGGTGCCCAGCGCGGAGTCTGGGGCTGTGAGCTCCCCGTCCTCATCCCCACTGGGGCCTGCAGCGGGGAGGCCGGCGCGGCGGCCGCGGGCAGCGGCGTCCTCCAGGCCCGCACCTGTGCTGTCGGCCTCGGCCTGGCAGGCACCCAGCGGGGCCGTGGGCTCCTCAGCATCTTGGCTCAGACCCATGGCTTTGGGGGGCTGGTCACTGAAGTTGAGGGGCTTCAGGGCTTGAGCGTCTCCCAGTACCACTGGCCAGGCCCCTGCAGGGGGCTGGGGGCCCTGGGGGTCCTCCATGGGCAGGAAATCACTGGCATCTGTGTACCAAGAAGAGCGCCTCTCCAGGGGCCCAGGGCCACCGGTCTCTGATGAGTCTCCAGTGTGCTGGTGGCTGGTGGGAGCGGCATCGGCGAGATCCCAGCCCTGGGGCTCCCTGCCGGCTGCAGCGTCCAGACCAGGCTCAGAGGTGGGGGTGCTGGTACCTCCCACGGGGCCCCTGGTGGCGGCTGTGGATAAAGTCCTGGTCACTGGAGGCCACGGGCCTCACCCCGAGTGGTCCCAATCCCCAGGGCCCTGCTCAGCACGTCCCAAGTCAATACCACCCGTCCCGCGGACCCCCTTCCCTGGGAAGTCTTCTCTGGTGGTCGAGTGGGTTCCCACGGGGCAGGCCTGGGCCGTGGTGTCCATGGTCTGTACCCAGCATGGGGGATCAGGGCCCACGGGGCCCACGGCAATGACATATATCTTCCCTGCCCCTAGAGCCCCCAAGGCAGCCTGCCCAGGAGTGGAGAATGCCACCCCAGGGCCTCATCCCGCCTCCCCCAGCCACCTCAGAGCCCCTCTGAGCCCCAGTGCATATGTCAACGAGCCCACTGGCCCAGCTCTCCCGCCCGCCTGGGGTCTGGATGAACGGCTGTCACAGCAGCCAGAGAACCCTCTGCTGCAGCAGAGATGTGTGCAAAGATCACGGGGGTGAGGTGTCCCTTATCTCAGGGCAACAGGGAAGAGGGGCGGGCGCTCCTGTGCCAACACGGAGGGCTTCCTGGAGGAAGGGAGGCGCTGGGCTGCAAGGACGGTGGGGAGGGAGGGGTGACAGGGAGGTGGTGGAGCGTCTCACCGGGCGCCTTGTTCCTCGGGGGGTCTGTGGCGGCTGCCCGGCTGGCCGCCTCCGCGTCCCCTCGGCTGCGGGCCGTCTTACGCAGCTGGAAGCCCTTCCTGATGTCAGCCAGCAGGGCGTCGATGACGCACACCTCTTCCTGCTTCCCGCCTCCCCTCCTGGCTGAGGAGCCCAGAGACCCTCAGGGACGCTGCCCGGGGTCCCCGGAGCCCCTGAGAGCGCGGCGCGGAGGAGAGGCCACAGCCCAGACTGGTGGTCCCCAGCCGCCCGTTCCCGCCCTCGCCTCACCAGCCTTCCCGCCCTCGCCCCGCGGCCTGCGGGCCTCCTCCTCCGCCAGCTGCTGCTTCCTCCTCTCAGCCTTGGCCGCCTGCTCCTTCCGGTCCTTGTTCTCCTGCAGGGCGTGCGCAGCCCGTGACCCCAAGCCCCCGGCACCCCAATTCCGCCTGCCCTGTTCGGGGACAGCGCGGGCCGCAAACCCACCACACCTCCTCCCACACACCTTCAGGGCGCGGAGGAAGAGCTCTCGGAAGGTCTTCATGGTGCTGAGCGTGTCCTCCAGGGACAGCTGCTGGGCGTCCTCGCACAGGTAACTAGCCAGCTCCAGCTGTTTCTGCTCGATGGCCTGGAACACCTCCTCCAGCGCCTGCGAGTCTGTGATGCTGGCCTGTGTAGGGGGGAGGCGGGTAAGGGTCTGTGGGGGTCAGGGGGTCTGCGGTGGGAGGGGTCAGGGCCCTGCGAGGTGTCAGGGGGCGGGGTCGGGGCTGTGATGGGAGGGGGCGGGGGCGGGGCCAGTCCCCCACCCACTGTCACAGGAGATGCCTGCGCTGGAGCCTCTGGAGCGCTGGGTGCGGCCACAGCAGGGCGGCACCAGCAGAGGCTCTGCAGGCAGCGTGGTCGCGGGGGCTCTGAGGGCCGGGGGGCTGAGCCCTTCAGCCCAGCACCTGGCGAGACCCCTCAGCTGCAGAAACAGCCTGGGGGCCAGCAGCAGGGGCTGTTCTCCTGCCGGGGCGCTGGCTCTGGCTCTCTCCTCCCCACGCTCACCCGCCCGCTCACGCTCACCCGCCCGCTCGCCCTCCCACCTTACAGTAGACCCCAGGCCCGGCAGACACCCCAGCCTTGGAAAGGGCTGTGCCCGCCCAGCGCTTGCCTGGAGGCGGTGGGCGTACTGCTCCTGCACCTCTGGGATGGAGGAGGACACCTTCTGCTCCATCTCCAGGAGCTTCTTCAGGTTAGTGCTGGACTCCGCGTGGATGCCCTCAAGGTTGATCCTGAAGGCGCCAGAGGGCCCGCTGGATCAGTCCAAAGCTGCCGCCCAGCCTTGCTAGGACAGCGGGACCCCCGGATGGCACACCCTCAGGGACAGTGGCCCCGGACAGAGCACTGGCTGCCAGAGGCACGTCAGAGCTCCAGGATGGGCAGAGCAGCGTGGGGTCAAAGGCTCACCTGAGAAGGTGCTGGGCTGGTGGTGTCAGAACAGTGACCCTGACGGCTCAGCCTGCCCTCCTTGCCTGACTCTCTGCAAGGCTCAGCCTCCCCAGGACCAGAAAACCTTCCATGGTGGCATGGAGCCGGGCCGGCCAGTGCTGAGGGTGGACCCTGCCCTCCCAGAGCCACCCCTGGGCTATGTGACCCCACAGACCTGACCCTACTTCCCGGGGCCTCAGCTTCCCTGCCTGTACAATGGGGGCAGCGTGTCCATGTCATCAAAGTCAGCCTCGTGAGGGGGCCGTGCTAGACCAGCCCCTGGGGTGACCGTGGCCGGGTCACCCCTGTCCCCCCTCGGTCGTGCAGGGACAGGCCGCAGTGGACACAAGATCCTGTCCCAAAGTGGGATGAGAGTCAGGCAGCAGATCCGGGGTCCGGGTGGTGCCCCAGCACAAGAGCAGCCTGGCCGATCCCGGCCACACTGGCTGGGGTGTGGGTGGGGGATGGGAGGCACCTACCCTGCCGCTCGGGCGGGCAGCTCCAGGTCCTGGGGTAGCTGCAGGAGGTCAGGATGGCTCTCCTCCACTTCCTGCAGCACGATGTGTTCAGTGAGGCCCACTGAGGCCACACAACCAAGACTGCCCTGCGAGCCCCACCCATGGCAGCTCTGGTCCATGTCCCTCGGGAAACCCCTCCCCCCTTCTCCCCGCCCCGGGCACCTTGGAGCCTCCAGGGCTTCCCTTGAGCCTGACTGTGATTCTCATGGTTTTGCTGTCCCGGGGCTGGGGCGGGATGGGGGCTGGTCAGAGTGGGTGCGAGCTGCAGGGCGGGGCAGTGTTGCCAAGGGGAGACCTGGGGGGCTGGGCGGGCCCCAGGGGCCCGTGTGCTGCACCCAGGAGGCGCCCCCCCCCCCCCCCCCGGGTACCTCCAGCACGTGGTGCAGCAGTGTGACCCGGCTCTGCTGGGACTTGGTCTCCGTGAGCTTCAGCAGCGTGCTCATCTTGAAGCCGTCAGCGTCCCCGGTGTGGCTGCCCTGTGAGGCAAGGGAGGGGAGGGAGTCTCTCGGCCTGGTGGAGGGGCGGAGATTGGGGGTCTGGGAGCAAGGGCAGGCTGGGTGCCGTCCACTCACATAGTTGAGGAAGTTCCCGATTTTCAGAATCAGCTGGCAGAAGACGGGCAGCCGGTGACTGGTGAGCAGGCCTGCGGGACAAGGTCCCTTTATACCTCCCCCTGGCCTGTTCCCCAGGCTCTGCCCAGGGTGGGACAGGGGCGCGGGGCACAAGGAAGGGGCAGGGCAGTGGAGCCGTGACCCTGGGAAGTGTGGAGCGTGCCTACGGCCGTGCTTCCTGAACCCCACTGCCCGTTCTGTGGGCGAGGACGCTGAGGGGACCTTCTGGAACCTGTGGCAGCCTTGGCTCTCGGCTCTGTCGTCAAGGTGACAGGGACATCCCTGAGTGCATGCCCAGCAGAACCAGGTTGTGCCTCAGTGGTCAGGCCCGTCCATGTTCCTGCCACGTGGCTGTGGTGACTCCCTGGCTCCTCACTCAGGGAAAGCGGTATGTGTGTGCACGTGTGTGTGAAAGCATGTAAACGCATGTGTGCACCTGTGTATGTGTGAGAGCACACACACCTGCATTTATATGCATGTGCATGCACGTGCACATGCGTGCACATGTATGCATGTGTATGTACAGAGAGCATTGCATGTACGTGTCTGCATGTGTGCAAAAGCACGTGAACGTGTCAGTGTGTGCACACGTGTACATGCATGCGTGCACCCGTGTGTGAGAGCACATGCACACACATGCCTGCATGTGTGTGCATACATGTGGACATGCACACGTGTGTGCATGTGTGGGTGTGCACCTGAGTGTGCACGCACATGTGTCTGCATGTGTGCATGTGCGAGAGTTGTGCATGTGCACATATGTGAGAGCACGTGCGTGTTTCTGAGCACATGCATGTGTGCGCGTGTGCATGTATGTGTGTGAGAGCATGTGTGTGGGCATGTGTATAGGTGTGTGTGAGTGTGTGCCTGCCCACATGGCGTGTGCACACATGACTGCATGCATGGCGTGGCCCTCAGGACCGGGCAGTGGTCCGTGGGGAGGGGAAGCTCGGCACCCACAGGCGCCGCCCGGGGCCAGCCCGCCCAGCCCCGCGTCCGCACTCACTCTCGCAGGCGGCGAGCAGCAGCTGGGCCTTGGGCCGCACCATGTCCAGCACGACGGCCGTGCCCTCGCAGAGCAGCATGCACTCGATCCGAAGCTGGTAGCTGGGGCGGCAGAGTAGGCGCTCAGGCACAAGGGGCCCCCATCCACCTGCCTGGGGCCCGCAGGGTCCTCTCAGCTCGGAGCTGCCCGGGTCTCATGGCCTGGCCTGGTGCAACATGCACATTCCCGGGCCAGGCCCCAGATGGGATCCGGCAGGACTGGGGGGGCCCAGCAAGGGCGCTTTGGACAAGCCCCCAGGTGCCGAGGACAAGGACAGTCACCCTCTGTGGGACACTCCCCTCCTAGAGCAGAGGGGTTGCCCAGGAGGGCCCAGGCTGGCCTGTGGGAGGCCACGGAGCCCTGCCCACCGCCCACCCCCACAATGTCCCTGGCCTGGAGGAAGGCCTGGACCCCACAGGGCTCCTCGGAGGACCCCGAGGCTGAGGGCTGCACCAGGGGTGTCTGCCCCCACCCTTCACAGAACCCCCTTTCTCTACTCCGGGTCCAGACCCAGCTCCCGCTCTCAACCCCCGCCCACCCCCAGGGCTGCCGGCTCACCAGGGGATGCCCAGCAGAAGGAGGTAGAACTGGTCAGCGCTGGCAAGCCTGGCCCGGTCCTCCGCGAAGGAGCGCAGGTTCTCAATCTGCGGGAGGCGCCCACGTGTGCTCGCTGCAGCCCGCTTACAGGCGCGGCTCTGCATGGCGGGGCCCAGGCTCCCGTGTCGGCCCGCTTACTCACCTCATGCTTCTCCGGAAGGAGCTTGAGCAGCTGCTTGAGGACCTCCACGTCGAACTTGGTGCTGTCCCCCGCCTGGATCATGGCGGTGACCTCCTCGTTGGAGCTGGGGGGGCGAGAGGGCGGAGGTGGCCGAGGATGGCACGAGCCACAGCCCTCGGCCTCATGGGACCCTGCCCGCCTGGGACAGCCCTGGGCCCACAGCCCCACACTGGTCACAGCAGGCTTTCTCCCTCCACCTGGGGAGTCTCAGGACACAGAGAAGGCGGGCCACCTGCCCAGGTAGTGGCTGGATGACGCACTCCCCAGCTGCCCGAGCGACCCCTGCTGCCTTCTTCCAGGGGGCTGCTCAGGACACGGGGTGAAGGCTCAGCGGTACCCAGTGAGCTCCGGGGCAGGGCACCTGCCGCAAGGAAGCACTCAGGGCAGGGGGGTAGGGCCAAGTCCTTGGCCCGGCGCAGTCACCCTCCGTCTGCGGCTTTAGGGGATCCCTGACACTCTCTGGGTCTCATATTCCCCAGGGAGGCTGGACTGGTGGTCTCCAGGATCCCCAGCTGGGACCGTTTGCTGCTATTATCCGACTGTCTCCAGTCCCAGGGATGGGGTGTACACTTCCCAGGGCAGCCTGCAGAGGGCACTGCTGAGCCCAAGACGGGCCACGGCCGAGGCTGGGCGTCTGACCCAGGCATCGAGATCCTGGAAGCTCACCATTTAAACTGCTTCAGGAAGATGTTGAGGTTCAGGCTTTTCTTGGAGTCCAGAAAAGTGATCTGCAAGACGCCCCCAGCCTGTCAGTACCTGGAGGGCAGCCACGGAGCCCTGTCCGAGCCCCGGCCCCATCCCCACCTCCTTGGGCTCCTTTCTGGCCGGGGCCACCGTCTGCTCCTTGGGTTTGGCCATGGGGAAGGAGAAGAGCCGCTCGATGCTGGAGAAGTCGGGCTCCACCACCTCGGCGTCGGGGCTGCTCAGCGTTGCCCACATGGAGCTGCCTTCTGTGGGTGAGGGGCCGCCAGTCAGGCTCACGCCTGGCCCCCAACTCCAGGGGCAGGTGGTGTGGGCCACAGGGCTGGCAGGGGTGCCCTGCCTGGGGCCTGGCCCAGGGCAAGCATACAGCAGGCACCTGATAAATGCCCAGCCAAAGAAGCCCTCCAGCTGATGCCATGCTGTGCATGTGCGTGCGGGTGCCCAGGGCCCAGTGTCCAGGCTGGCCGGTGACCTGGCCTCCAGCCACCCTTGGCCTTGACCTTCTCTGGGCATCAGCACGCCGAGCCCCTGGGCCCGCGCAGCGCAGGGCCCGGCAGCAGAGACACGCCAGCCCCCGGGGGGCGTGTGGGGGCACCGGGGCCCAGGGGCGAACCTGACCTGTCCCCGCCCCCTGCCCCGGAGGGGAGCCATGGCGGCCGGGCCTCACCGCGGGCCACACTGGACGGCAGCTTCTGCCAGTTGAGCTTCTTCATGCGCACGGTGGGAGGGTTCACGCGCCGGTGGCGGGGGACCCAGGCCGAACCCAGGCTGCTGTCCACCTGGGCCACGATTATTTCCTCCACGCCGCCCGTGGCAGGGGGCCCGGAGATGCCGGGCAAGGGTGGGGGCAGTGGGGGCGGTGGGGGCAGGCCCCCCAGGCCCGGGAGGGGCGGTGGGGGCGGTATGGTCCCAGCAGAGTTAGGCAGTGGGGGCGGTGGGGGCGGGCCCCCCAGGCCCGGGAGGGGCGGTGGGGGCGGTATGGCCCCAGCAGAGTTAGGCAGTGGGGGTGGCGGGGGCGGCGGAGGTGAGGGGAATGCAGCCCCCATGCCTGGCGGGGGTGGGGGCAGCGGTGGAGGAGGGGGCGGGGGAGGGGGTGCCGTCGTGGAGCCAGGGAGCGGGGGCGCCGGCGGGGGCGGGGGGCGCTCCAGCTGCTCCGGGGCTGTTGGCTGCAGTGCCGGACCACGCTCGCCCTGGACGCTGGTGACGAGCGGGCTGGCCAGGGCCGCGGCTGGCTGCTGGCCCCCCAGGCCTGCCGTCGGGGCGCTAGAGTTTTGCGGGGAGCTGCCCCTTTGGCTCTGGCCAAGGTCGGCCTGGGTACTCTTGTGGGCTTTGTCCAGGGAGCAGGGGCGGGGCCGCCCCTTGATGGACAGGAGGCGTTCAACCATCTCCTCCAGGGTGCACTCCTGGTCTGGGTGGGGATGTCTGGAGTCAGAATAGGGGGCACGGGCCAAGGCTGGTCTCCTCCACCCGCAGGCCGAGAACCCCGTGCCTGCCCACCTGGCTCAGGTGGGGGTGGGGGACGCAGCTTGGGGCATGGTGCTCCTCCCCCAGCCCCACCCGGCTCACCGTCAGAGGCCAGGAGCACCGCCCGGTTCACCAGGCTCTCCAGGGCCTCCCAGAGCAGCTGGCTGGAGCGGAGGCTGGGCTCCAGGTGCAGGAGGCCCTGCAGCACGGACAGCAGGTGGACGGACGCCGGGGAGCAGCTCACCTGGGCGGGGTGGGAGAGGAGTGCGGGTCAGTGGCGTCACCTCCCGGGCCGACATCCGCTGGCCTCCCCGCGAGTGTCCACCCACCCTATGCCCACCTGGTGGTTGTGATGTAGTCGCTCAGTCATGTCCAACTCTTTGCAACCCCATGGACTGTAGCCCACCAGACTCCTCTGTCCATGGGCATTTCCCAGGCGAGAATACTGGAGTGGGTTGCCATGCCCTTCTCCAGGGGATCTTCCCCACCCAGGAATCGAACCCAAGTCTTCTGCATTGCAGGCGGAGTCTGTATTGATTGAGCTACGGGGGAGCCCGGTAATGAGCCTGAGTTAGGGCTCCCCGATGGGCACACTAGTGACATCAGGGGTCGGGTCACCGTGTGGGGGCTGTCTGTGCCCTGTGGGGTGTTAGCAGAGCCCCTGGTCCCCACCCACTGGAAGCACCCCTGCCCAGGGTGACAGCCCCAATGTCTCCAGTTGTTTCTGGATGGCCCCTGCAGACCCTGGTCCCTGGCTGAGAGTCACTGGGTTCAGTGAAAACGGGGCCTGGGCTGGATTGGAACTCAGCTCCGTCTCAGCCTCTCACTCGTCCCAGCGTCCCCTCGGACCACCCCACAGTGGCCGGGCTGCTAGGCCCAGGACCGTGCAGCCACGCTGTCCTGCTGGGGCCCCACCTCAGGCTCCACCTCTCCAGTCCCCCACCCCTCTGGGCTCAGAGTGTGGCTCCGGAGCTGCCCTAGGCCCAGCAGGCGGGGTGTGACTGGGGTAGGACACGCGGCCCGTCTTGAGCCCTGGCCCCCCCCCCCCCCACCCAGAGTCCCGGGAGGCGCTGCCCGCCGCACGCACCTTGTGGAAGAGCGCAGAGAAGACCTCCTGGTGGCTGTTGATGTCGATGCCCCCGAAGACCCGCAGCAGCTCCTCCTCGTCCTCAGCCTTGGCCTCCCTGAAGGCCTCGAGCTGGATCAGCAGGTCCCCGTCCTCCAGGTCTCTGGGGTGGGTGGGGGGCGGGGGGCCGGGGACTTCAGCTGGCTGCCCCCCCACCCCGCCGCCCCCTCCCTGGACAGACACGCAGACCACCCCGAGCAGGGCCTGTGGCTGCCACAGCGGGGGCGGGGGGCGCTGTGGCCGGTCAGGTGGGCTTCTCCGGTCAGCTCCATGCCCCTCGGGACATGCCCCTCGGACTCACGCTCGGGAAGCGTGAGTTCCCACGCTCGCAGGGAGAGACGGCGCGGCTGTGCCGCGTGGGGCGCGGGGTGGAGGGCAGGGGGGCACCCTGAGGGCCCGCCGAGCCTCGGCGCTGGCCTGAGCTGGGCGCTGGGCTCACGGAGGCCAGCCCCGATGGGTCCTCGCATCCGGCAGGCCTCTCCCCGCTGAGGCCAGTTCAGCACCAGTCATGTCGGCTGGGAGCCTCCCTGTGGGGTGGCCTCCCACCCTCTCCCCTGGGGGGAGCATGGTCCTGGTAAGGGCCAGGATGGGGTTCTCAGCTACATAGGCTTCCTTAAACGCCGACTGATAAATAGTTTAAGTGTGTGCCGTGCGATATCTGGGACACACACTGACAGAACGGTCTGGGCACACTCCAGTTTAACCGGGCGTCCTGTATTAAGCCTGGGGACCCTGGCTCTAGGGCAGCTGCCGGCCGCTGGGGGAAATTCCGCCCAGTGGCCTGTCCAGCTAGGGATGGCAGGCTGGGTCCTCACTGGGCCTGGCCCCAGAAGGGTGGCCTGTTGGGGCTGCTCCGGGAAGCTGCCTCCCCGCCCGCCTGGAGGTGCTGCTCGGGAGCCGGGGAGCGGCGCGTGGGACTCACCGGAGCCGCGCCAGGGCGTCCAGCAGCTGCAGTCCTGGGAAGGGACGGGGGGTCACCGGCATGTGGGACGCCTTCCCCTCCGCCCTGTCCCCGGGCTCACTCCCACCACCCATAGCGCCGAGCTTGTGGGGCAGCAGGGGAACCCGCTCCCTCGGGTTGCCGGAGCCATGGGGCTCTGGGAAGACCACACTGGACACACGTGGTGCCCGGGGAACAGTCACGCCGCAGCCAGCAGGGCCAGACTGACGTCGGCCGGCCTGCCCGCCTCCCTCCACGCGGCAGCCCAGCACCGAGATCCCTCCAGTGCTACCGTCCAGAGGTCCTGAGGCCCTGCGTCCACTGAAGGGAGCAGGAGGGCAGGAGGCTTCCCCGGCCCAAGCAGAGCCTGCCCCTGGGGCCCCGGAGAGGGGCGAGGGGCATCGCCCCAGAAGCGGGCAGCGCAGCCGGGCGGCCGGAGCCCGGGGCGAGGTCAAGGTTACCGATGAACTCGCTGCGTAGCTGGGCGCGGGCGCGGACGTCCTCAGGGCCGAGGATGACGGCGTTGACCACGCTGAGCAGGGTGGCCACATAGGGCACGTTGTCGCTGTCTGAGAGCTCGCTCATGATGACACTGAAGCGGTACTGCTGGCCGCACACCGTCTGCGGGGCGGGCGCAGGGGTCAGCGTGCCCCCGGGCTCCGGCCTGGCCCCACCACGTGTGGCTCACCTTGTAGTGGTCCAGGGCGTCCAGGGTCAGGGCGTGGCCCTCAGGCGAGTAGATGCACAGGGCAGCCAGCAGCTCAAACACCTGCTTCTTGACCATCATGTTGGACGTGTCCAGCGCTGCCGGGGGTAGGGGGCCTCTCAGAGGGGCTCAGGCCCCCTCCTCCCGGTCCTGCCCCCCCCACCTGCACTTATTACCCGGCCTGGGCTCCCACCCTGCAGCGGCCAACTTGCTGGGCTGGCAGGAACCAGGGCCCACCGCCCACATCAGGCACTGGTCTCTGGACAGGCTGGCCACCCCCAGGACCCCCGGAAGGGGTGTGGAGGCAGGCGCGGCCCCAGTCACTGGAGTTCTACTCCTGATGGCCCTCAGTTCTAAGTTGGGGGCTCTCTGCGGGCTCTGGGCCCAAGGCCCACACAGGCACCCTCCCAGCACTGAGCCCATGTTTTCTCCAAACTTAGAGCAAACGTGTTTACGACTGACAGCCCATGAGGCCTCCTTGTCCCTGTGGGCCCCTGCCTCCCACCGCATTCCAGGAGCTGGGGACGCTCTGGGGGTGTCTCTTGGCTGACCCTGCTGAGACCAAGGCACAAAGGACTCCACAGACAGCAACAGCCGGGCCTGGGCCGGGTGATCTCTGGTTCACTCGCCCACATGGGCCCTGCCCACCCTAGAGCCCCACGCATCAGTGGGGGCAGCACAGCCTGGCAGGCAGAGCGTGCAGTGACCACTGTCCACCAAGGGCCACCTGGGGTCTCCCCCAGGTTGGGGACTAACTCTGGCCACAGCCGGGGGAGACTCCCTAAAAGAGGTGACAGTGAGTCCAAGCTCGGAGGGTGAGCAGGATTCAGCTGGCACACGTGGGCACCACAGCCTGAGTGGGGGAGGAGGCTGGAGGGCGGGAGGCGGAGGCGCCCCCCCCCCCCCAGGAGGCCAGTGCAGAGGCGGGGGTCGGGGTGGAGACTGATGCCCGCAGTGGGGCCCAGACCTGAGGAGCTGAGCCCCGGCTGAGGCCGAGGAGCTCAAAACCAGGGGGAGTGGAAGGAAGGCCCCCTCAGCTGGACATGAATTTCTGATCCTGGTGACTCTGACTGCCACAGTGTGGACGGGGGCCTCAAGGGCAGAGAAGACTCGGGCTGGGGCAGAGCCTGGACTAGCACCAGGCTAGGCGGAAACGCAGGGGAAGTCAGAGCAGAGAGGGCGACTAGGTGCAGCTGGCGGAGGATCACGGCTGCACAGTGCCCCGGCTTCAGACATGGGCAGACGGGGAAACTGGCTCCTCCTCCAGGAAGCCCTCCCGGCGTCTGCCAGCCGGCCCGCCCCCACCCCCACCCGTGCGTGCCCGCCCGGGCCTCACCCAGAGAGAGCTGGCGCACATAGGCCTGGTTGCTGAGGATGTACTGGATGCCCTCCCGGGAGTTCATGACGGCGCGCACGCAGCTGACGCACGTGAGCTGCAGCAGCGCGTCGGCGATGCGGGCCACGCCGCGGCCCGACAGGCGCGCCAGGGCCTCCAGCAGCAGGTCCAGGCCACTCTGCTCCAGGAACTGCACCATCCAGCCGCCGTCGCTGCCCTCCAGCCGCTTGCGCAGCCCCGAGTAGTTGACCACGGAGGGCACCTGCAGCAGCCGGATGCAGAGCTCGGGCTCGGCGCTCTCCAGGTTGGCCTCCGTGGGGTCCGAGTCCTGCGGCCCCAGCTTCTCCTTCAGTGCCGCCCACTTGCGCTGGGCACCCTCTTTCACCGACATCTTGCTCAGCTGCAGGTGGGAGGAAACGGGTGTGAGCCCGGGGCCTACAGAGCACCCGCGGCCCAGCGAGGCGGGGCCAGTCAGTGTCCCCTGCTCCGTGTCTCCACCTGCTGACTGGGGACTCGCCTGCCGATGCCCTGTGGATCCGCTGTGCTGGCGATCCCTCAACCCGCCAGGCTCCCCTGTGCCAAGCGCCTCTTACACCCATGCCGGTCTCAGTCGTCATGGCGACCAAGGAGGCCGCACCCCTGCCCTGACGGTAGGCACCGAGACCCCAGGAGGCCTCACTGGCAGGAAGGCCACTGCCCTGTGGTGCTCAGGCAGAGAAATGGTGTCTCCGGGGCTCCTTCACCTGGGCCCAGGGTGCTCCCCTGCCCAGTGGACAGGCTCAGATGGCGATAATAGCGTGGGCGGGGACAATTCCACACCCGGGGCATTTCCAGACTGCCCACGGCACCAGGAATGTGGCTGGCTCCAGGGTCATGTCCAATGCTCACTCAGTCCTAGGCAAGACCAGGGCCCTTCGGGGAGTGGCCCTGCCAGGCCCCAGCTCCTGTGGGCCTCACTTTGTCAGTCAGGGGGCAGGGACCAGCGTCCCCCAGGCCCGGGGCTCTCGGACACTGACTCAGATTCAGCCACAGGAAGTCTGATCGCTGCCCAGAGAACATCCCCCAGAGGGTCGGGGGTGGCCCAGGCCAGAACATTCCCAAAGGCTCCCTTCTCAGAACAGAACAGTGGGACAGGCGGCGAGTCTCTCTGTGTCATCACTATAGCTGGTCGAGTCCCTCTCCTGGGGCCCGGGGCTGTGATATGGGCCCCAACCCAAGCCCCGGGACTGGCCCAGAAGGTCAGAGGTAGCCCAGGCTCTTCTGTGACCATGTATGGTCTTGTATGTAGTGTGTGAGCAGGGCAGCGTGGAGCTCCTGGGCTGAAGGCCCAAGGGGCAGGGGACGGCAACACCACTGCAGCTTATGCCAGGGGACCTCACGCTGGCACTGCCCACCCCGACCCCTGACCTCCCACCACCCGGAGCAGGGCACGGTATGCCCCCAACTTCACAGGAGGGAAAGGGAGGCGGCACCCAGGGAAGTCAGGTCACGAACATGCCCAGGGTCCCAGACATGGAAATGGCAGAGTGAGGCTGGACGCCAGAAGGTGGCCTGGGACCCTTGAGAGGCTGGCACCCACTGTGGCATCACCGTAAGGGCTGCTGGTCCTGGCAAGTTACAGGGGAGACCCCAGGGACCAGCTGGGGTGATGCAGGAGACAGGCTGAGGGGGCCAACGGCCCAGGTACCGATGCCCGGCGGGGCTCGGGGTCCCCAGCACTCGTTGTTCACTCCTGGAGGCCCCCCCCCCCACCTGGGTGAGGGTCTTGGGTGTCCTCCCTTGTGAATTAGACAGATGGGCCCCTGGGCCAGGCAGCTGATGTTTGTCAAATGGGAGCAGAACTGAAGTTTTGTCCTCAGTCCGACATGAACGACGCCTGTTTCCCTTCCTCCAGTGATATGGAGGGATGAACTAGCAGTGGGCAATCTGCGGCAGCAAAAATAGACATGAGGCTTTTCTGAAATAGAAATGAGACTTTCCTGATAAACAAGGAAAATAAGACAATGAACAGGCTGGGGAAAAAGCGTAAACAGGCCTAAAAGAGTGTAAAAATCTTAGTTATTCTTTAACTGTTGCTACTAACAAACACTCGTAGGTAGACTTGTCCTCAGCAGAGCCAATTACTCCACGCGAATTGGACTCTGTATGCGGCATTATTCTCCCCCTACACTCGCTTGCTGTTGCTGCTTTAGTCGCTTAGTTATGTCTGACTCTTTGCAGTCCCATGGACTGTAGCCCGCCATGCTCCTCTCTCCATGGAATTCTCCAGGCAAGAACACTGGAGTGGGTTACCATTTCCTTCTCCAAGGGATGTTCCTGACCCAGGAATTGAACCCTGGTCTCCTGCCTTGGCAGGTGGATTCTTTATCACTGAGCCCCACACCCTCTTGTGGCATTCTACATTTCAAAAAGAAGATCTGGAGTCAATAACTTCAGGGACACCAGACTTGGTGATGTCAGCTGAGTTGCCTGATGTCAGCTGTGACCATTTTGAAACTTTGCAAAAGAAAGAAAGAAAAAAAAAAAGGCAAGACCTTCATGAGGTTACAAAACCTCTCCCTCTTCCCAAGAGAGCGGGGCAGTGTTTTTGAGGCAATAGCCTACTGTGTTTCCCTTTTGCCTGCAAATAGTAAAGCTGCCCTTTTCTCTCTCCACCAAACTCTGCCTCCGTATTTCTGTTCGGCATCGGTGGACAGGGAGCCAAGATTTTGGCCACACCTGAGTTTCCGGAGTCTCCCCCACCCCCCTAGGGGCCTCCTGGCATTTCAGCAGCCCCTCCTCTGTCTGCAGGGGGTCCCCCATCCCTCATCCTCCCCCCTTCCCTGCAGGATCCCTGGGTCCTCCCAGGAGGCAGACTGGCTGGGGGTGGGGAGGGCACTGACCACTGTGCTCCCAGCGCCGGCCCTCTCAGCCGACCCTGGCTGATGTGCTTGTTCTGGCTGAGCCTCGGGTCTGGCTGCAGCAGCAGCTGGGGGGTGGGGGGGATGCGGGGTGTCCTCCAGCCCTCCCCCAGGGGCCCCTGTGGCCTGGGGCCTGTACTGGACTTGGCCCGCCCCACGACTGCAAGGTTTAACCCACCCTCCAGGCCCCCAGGCACTCACCCAGACTCGCAGGACCTTCCGGCTGCCTCTGCCCACCCAGGCTGGGCCCTGCCTCGGGCTGCCCCCTGCATTCCCCTGGCTTCTCATCGCTGCTGCCCACTGAAGCCCCCAGCCGCCCCTTCCAGGCAGCTTTGCGGTGTGGGGGCAGGGCACTCCCACCAGCACTGTGAAGAGCCAGGAGGACAGACAGACCTCAGCACACACTGCCACCCGTCGTGGGTGCCGCAGCTTAAGGAGCGCCCAGAGCTGCCCTCCCTTCCTGCCCCCGCCTCCCCTGGCCTGAGGCCCCGGCTGCCTGGCACAGGCTGGGCGGACACAGAGGAACTCTCCCAGGCCAGCACTCTGGCATCCAAGTGCGTCTCCAGCCAAGAGCCCCAGGGGTCCCCTGACGCGGAGAAACAAGCTCCCAGAGGCCACCCGGTCATCAGAGCTGCTCCTCCAGTGCTGCCCAGTTTTCCCCACATGCCCCTAATTCCAGGAGCCATGGGCTCACTGCCCCAAAAGACCCCCCATAGGGGAGCCCCTGGGTCTGAGGGGAGGGGAGCACAGCTGGTGACCAGCCCAGCCTACCCACCTGTCCGCCTGATCCTAGGCCCTGTGTCCTGCAGCTGAGCTGCCCTGGCTGTCTGCTCCCCACCCCCCCTCCCCCAGCACACAGAGGCACTGGGCCGGTCAGAGAGGGTGCACAGGGCTCCAGTGGCCGCGGCCCCACACGGCCCAGCGAGCACGGGGCATCTAGCTGGGAGAGCGAGCTCAGCTAGGGACCCAGGGGCTGACGTGGGTGACTTTTCTCCCTCTGTGATGCCCACCAGGCTGCCAGCCTCATCCAGGGTCCACCTGGTCAAGGCCCCAGGGCAACAACATCTTCCTAGAAATGTTCCAACTGCTTTTCAGGATAAAGAATGAATATACAAACGGACCTCAGCCAGACCATATACGGAACTCTGACCCACAGCTGCAGCCACCAGACCAGAACACCCGGCCGTCCCCACAGGAAGCGACCCAGGACGCAGCCCACTCCCTGTGGGCCAGACTTGACGGGCGTCAGACCTCTATCTCGAGCGACAGCCCCGGAAGCCCCACGACGGCCCTGGGACACCCCCCACGGCCCAGGCTTCATCTAACCCACAGCTTCCTGGGCTTTGTCCTCGCTTCCCACTGAGGACCAGAGAAAGCTGGACAGGACAGGACCTCGCCCAGCCATCGCGTGGGGGCCCAAGTGTCCTCAGCCGAGCAGCTCCCCCAGCCCTGCAGCCCCCATCAGCACCCGGGAAGCCCCATCCTGTAAAGAAGCTTTCTATACACAGAAAATAGTTTAACATAGTAATACGTCTTATATAGCCAAGTGTGTGTAGGTAGCGTTCTATGTATTTAGTAACCACACGGCAGTGATTTCCTGGCTGCCTGGATTCCAAATAAACAGCTTTGCCTGTTCCCTTCTGGGTGGTGACTGAGCATCTCTGCAGGGAACACTGGAGGGACTCAAGGAGGGAACCAACGTTTACCGCTCTCAGGAGCACAGGCTGTGGGCGACGGCCCTTGGGGACAAAGCAGGGACCCCGTGTGGGAGGCAGCGAGCCAGAAGGCAGGCTGCAGCGGGCTTTCATACTGAAACTGGTCCTGGCGGGCACAGGGCGAGCGCGCAGGGTTCTCACGGCTACTGTCATTCAGTCCGTGGATGCCCGGCTCTCAGCCCTGGCCCTGCTCAGCTCAGGCCTGCCCTGTCCACGGGTTGAGCGCCCACCCTGCAGCCAGGGCGGGCGCAGAGACCAGAGCTCCGACGGGCGGGGCCGCGGCCCAGAGGGGGCGGGGCCGCGGTTCAGTTCCGGGCGGGGCCGAGGGGCGGAGCTGAGGCTGAGTCTGGGCGGACCCGAGACTCCGGGGGCGGGGCCGCGGTTCTGTTCTGGGCGGGGCCGCGGTTCTGTTCTGGGCGGGGCCTCGGCTCTGTTCTGGGCGGGGCCCCACGGGGCGGAGCCGCGGCTCTGCTAGGGGCGGGGCCCTAAGCTCAGGAATGTGTTCCCGGCTCTCAGGGCTCCCTCAGGCGAGGGGCGCGGCCAGCCCGCTGAGGGTAGGGCCTGCGCAGGAATTTGGAATCAGCACCACAGGCTGAAAAAGTCTGGGGTTCCCAGGGTCCAAGTGCAGGAGGCTCAGGCCAGACCCTGTACCTTGGGCAACTGAAAGGTCGGGTGCTTCTGCACCTCTTCTGTCCTCCAAGCAGTCCGCCCCGCCCCGCACCGAAACTGCAGCGGACAAAGGGAAGGGCCCTTTGCAGGGAAAGCCCCTGAGGCTCTGACATTAGTGGGACGTTGCCCATAGATCCTTAGCGTTCATCTTTTTTCTTCCGTTAACGTGGGGTGTCCTCTGGGAAGGGGTCATGCCCTCCCCTTCAGACTGGGGCTCTGGAAGATAGGGTCTCCCTCTGAGCTTTCCCAGGGTCCACTCACTGATCTGGGTGTCCTGCCCACCGGCATCACCCAGCCCACACAGATGCCACCTCCTCAGACACCCATCCGGTTCTCCTGCACATGGCCAGCCTGGCATGGTGATGCTGGCCCCTCCACCTGGGTGCCCTTGAACCTGGGCAGTGTGCTGACCGACAGGAAGCCGTTACCCCTGCCTACAATAATCAAACTGTGTGTGTGTGTGTGTGTGTGTGTGTGTGTGTAGCAGGGGGCAGGGTCAAAGTTGGCCTCCCAGACCCCTGAGACCAGCCCCTGCAGATGGAGAAACTGACCCCAGCAGACACTGAGCTGTGTCCTGGACACACATTGAGCTGCGGCTGGGAGGCCCTGGAGGAGTCCAGGGCCCACTGGGCTTCGAGCAGCCTGGTGGGTGGGCATTCCAGCCACGGGCCTGAGCCTCTCAGGCTCAGGTAGAGGTGGGTGAGGTTTTCTGTTCCGCAGTCCCTGTTGGTGAGGGGGTGCAGGTTGGGGGGTCTGGGGCTGGGGCGGGGACTAGGGCTAAGGAAGGCACCTGTGACGGGGAACGGTTGCTAGTGGCTGGGGAGACAGCTTGGGGCGGCCCTACTGGCCGGCATCAGCACTGAGCTGGGGTGCTGCTGGGCCCAGAGCCAGCAAGGCTGGGGGCGGGGCGCATAGAGTGAGCTGTCTCCCCCCCGGGTGGGTGGTAAACCGTCAGGAGCGGGGTTCCGGAACTAGGAGGCAGGGGCTGCCACACAGTATTTTTAGCTGCTACAAAAACCAAAATTTTTCCACTGCTTGGCAACTCTTGGATCACATTCCTGGCAGCTCCCTGGAGCCCAGGGGCAGCCCAGGCCCTGCCCGGTGGGAGGGGGAGCTGAGGCTGCCCTGCCATGACCCTCTGTATCCCTCCTTTCCAGAATCTCGGCTTCACTGTGTCATCTTCACCAGGCCCCGAGCCCTCTGGGGATCTCGACTGACCTGTGTGGGTCACCTGCTTTGGGCTTGTCCCAGGCAGGGGGTCCTGCAGACAGGGGGCCTCGGGGAAGTGACTGAGTGTCCGCCCACCGCCCACCCGTGCCTGGGGCAGGGCACAGGGCCTCAGGCACGCAGGGTCCTACGGCTCCCTGGCCCATCTCCTGTCCACACAGTCCTCCTGCCCACTGCCACCCGTGTCTCCAGGATGGGGTGCGAGGCTTCTGCCTCCCGAGCCTCACTGCGCGTGAGGAGGCCGGCCGGCCACCGCAGCACCCAGCAGCAGGATAGAGGGGCCGGGGAGGCGGGTGGGCACCAAGACATCCAGGGCAGCGCCAAACTGCGAAACAGAGACGACCGGCAGGAGGCCGGCTGCACTGTGTGGGATTCCAACCACACGAAATGGGGTGTATCACACAGGACACACGCCAGACACTAAGAGGGGCTGCGTCCAGGGGGAATATGGTCATTTCACATTGAGAAAGGGAGCCTGCAAGCTCAGGGACAGAAGGGGACCAGCGGCATCTCACAGGGAGAACTGGGCTCCGAGCAGGTCTGTCCCCAGCTCGGTCACCAGGGGTGAAAGGGCAGAGCCAGGAGCCGGGTCTCCTGCGCTGTGAGTGGAGAAGGATCGGGGCCAGGGAGGGCTGTGCCGAGAGCCGGGGGACACGAACGATCAGGGGAGCCAGGCCAGGGCTCGGTCCCTGGTGCCCCAGGATCTGGGTCAGGTTGGGGTGGTGACAGACACAGACCTCCACGAACCCCACCCTCCTCGTTAGGAGCAGGAGTCGGTGGGGGCCCCAGACGGCGCCCCTGGTAGGGGCCTGACTCGACAGGAAACGCTCGCCCCTGGGGGTGGGGGGGTGCCGCCCCTGCACTGGGTGCCCTGGGAGGAGGATCCACCTCGCGCCGGGCGCTGCGGGTGTCGGGTTTTGGGGAACGGGCTTGAGGGGTCTGGGAGTCCCCCGCCCCCAGGATGAGCCGGCTCGGGTTCAGGTGCAGGGGAGGACAGGAAGGGTGGAGGCAGCCACGCCAGGAAGCCCAGCTTTCGCTTCCACCTGCCCCGCGGCTCACGGCGACTGTGCCTGTCCTCACCTTCCGCTGGCACCCGCTCTCTGGGCTCAGCGCTCCAGGTGCACAAGCTGGGGTAATGGGGAGCGCCCAGAGGCCTGGCCGCCTCTGCCGGTCTCGGGTTCTGGTCGAGCTTCCGGGGGCCTGAGGCTGGAAGGGCGGGGAGCGGCTCGGGGGCCGACGGGGACAGTGGTCCCTACCGCCACCCCCTATCGCTGAGTCAGCTGCGGCGCTCGAGGGAAGTGATGTGTGCAGGCCCGTGGTTAGAGGGTGAGAGGGTGAGGAACTCGGCGGCGCCCCGAGGGGCAAGGTGTCTGGCCACAGCGTCCACCTGCAGGCTCTGCTGGGCCGCACGCAGAGCCGAGGCTCATCGCCAGCATCCCCCCTGCCCGGGTTCCGTCCCTGAAGAGCAGACACAGCTCAGAGCAGGAAGCCTCGGGTCCCTCCCCTGACCCCTGCACGGTGCAGGAAAGGCCACTCAGGGAGGATCCGCAGAGTTGGGTGAAGGAGGGGTCAGGCCAGCTTCGGTCACTGACCACCCTGTTCCTGTCTTGGAGTCTCGGGGTTGGATGTGAAGGCCACCCACTGCCCGCCCCAGGGGACCGCGCACCCGCAGCCCCGCCTCTCCTGTGTCTCTGGTCCAGGCTGCCTGCCCAGAGGAGGGAGAACAAAGCAGCAGACTTGGGGGGGTGGGGAGGGCCCCGCCTGCAGAGCCTGGCACCACCAGGAGCTGTGGCCAGGCCCCGGGGGCAGGGGGCAGCTCAGGTTCCAGCTGAGACCAGGTTCTGCTGCTTGACCAGCCATGTCCCTTGGGCACGCACCTCAAGACCTCTGGGCCCTGACTCCTGTCTTCACCCAGGGATAAGCATGTTGATGCCACCCCTCCCCCAACCTGCCAGCAGATCCATGGATGCCATCTGCAAAGCAGGCCCGCCACTGCCAGAAAGCGCGGGGCCCCACTGCCCATCAGTCCACTGCACCCTACGCCTCCTCGGCCGGGCCACTGGGTGACACTGCGCTGGAGCCGTCACCACCTGCTCGGCCCCGACTCCGCGTTCCTGGGCCTCCCGAGCCACGCAGCTGGCGCCAGCAGCCCGACCGGACCAGGCGAGCAGGATCCTGAGTGCCGGCGCGAGACGCTGTGCTCTTCCTCGCCAGGCACCGAGGGCCAGGCCCATCTGGGCTTGGCTCTCGCATCTGTAAAATGGCCAGGATGTTGTCCAGGGACCTGGGTTGGCTGAGCTAATACTGCCTGCACAGGGCCGGGCCTGCCTGGCCAGCAAGGCCCCTTCTGGTCAGCTCCCCCGCTCCTCTCAGAGGTGACCACCCAGGTCCTGGCCGTCCGTCCGTTACTGCCGCCTCCATCTGGACGGCCTGGTCCTGGCCCTGGGGGATAGCCCGGAAGCACGGGGGTGGGGTGGGGGGCGCAGGTGTCCCCAAAGTGGGCAGCAGCTGATCTGGGCACCCCGGGCTGGTGTTCTCAGGCCATTCACGCTCGTGCACGTGGGGCGGCAGAGCCAGGCGGGAAAGGGGGACGGCCAGCGCCCCCTCCCACCCCGGGGCCCGGTAAAGAGCAGATGTCTGCTTCCTGGCTGCAGTGCGCGGGCGGCCGTGCAGAGCTGTGCATGAGCAGAAACGGGGACGCTGGCACAGGCGCATGGGTGAAGGGAGGCAGGCTGCACACCGAGGCCGCATCCCAGGGCCCCAGAGGGCCCGGCGCCAGGCCAGATGGGGAGACCGAGACCTCCTCACCCAGCTGGGCAGGGCCCATGCTGGTGTCCATGCCCAGACCCACTGGCATCGGCAAGGATCAAGGCCAGGCTCAGGGACGGAGCAGTGGCTGCCGCAGCCGCGGGGTCTGCTGGGACAGCGTGTGCACGCGGGCGTGGTGGGGGGACCAGCGCCGCCTGGGGGCACCAGTGGCTGGGCTGGCCTCGCCCACAGCAGCCCCGTGTGGACCCCGCGGAGCCCCAGGAAGGCAACACACAGGACGGTTGATGCGGGCAGAGCGGGACGGCCCTCTCTGCCTCCACGACCCACAGCGCACACCTTTGATGCTAGGTCTCAGCGGCACCATCTGCAGAATGGGTGCAAAACACGCTCTCCTGCACCTCCCCAAGCATGTTTTCAGGCTGGCCTCCCATCTGAGGAGGGCTCTGCTCAACAGCCCCGGTTGAGCGGGCCTCCGAGCAGCGCAGTCTGCAAAGCCCCTGCAGGGGGTCTGCGTTCCTTGTCGGTGGGCCCGGGCACAGCGTTGTGGGAGCAGGCGGTCCCCTGGTCCACCCTCCTTCCCCGTCAGGCCCCAGGGTGCTCTATCGGGGACTCAGCTCGCCATGTGGGGGGCTGGAGGGTGCAGGGTTAGCCCATGAGCTGGGGGATGACTGGCGGGGCCTTCAGGAGCTGCAGCTGGAAAAGGTAGGGGCAAGGGAGGGCCGGGGAGGACGGTGGCCGCAGGAAAGGGGCCTCGCCCTCGCCCTTGGCCCCTCGGTCCTCAGACAGCTCGGGGGGGCCCTCCACCCGTGCCTGCGCCTCCCCCACTCCCAAGAGAGTCTGCTGCTCTGAAGAACCTGTGGCCCCTGGCGTCCAGTGCCACCATCCGTCTGCCAAGGACTGCTGGGCTCTGGAGTCACACTGGGCGGGGGGGTGCCCTGAGGGTGGGCCAGCACCTGCCCCCCACTGCAGGCCCAGGGGCAGGGGGCGCTGCTCGGCCAGGACACAGCTCCCCCAGCTCCCAGAGCATCGGTGCCGGGACACTGAGGCGGCTGCACCCACGTGCCTGCTGTTCCCATGGGGACTGCGGGAGTGACGAGGGGCAGGGGGAGAGCCCCGGCCTCCAGGTGCTGGCTCCCCGGGGCTGGCCACTTCTCTCCCGCTTGGGGCAGTGCCTTCCCCATGCCCAGCGTAGTGAACACAGCGCTCCAGCCCCTGCAGAGGCTGGTGCACACAGCAGGGGCTTTATAGGCACCTCTTTCCAGGACGGCGTGCCCTGATCCTGTCAACCAACCACTCCGTCTTGGTCTCCTCTTCCGTGAAACAGGACCAACCCTCACCTGGGGGCATGACAGTCAGAGAGCGGATGGGGACGTTCAGACCAGCTCACCAACTCCTCTCCTCCGTTCATTCGGCCCTCAGACCCTTGGGCCGCGGCGGGGACTTCACCTCTGGGTTCCTCCTCTCACCGCCTTCACAGGCCAGGGGCTCGAGTCCACCTCTGGGCACACCGCTGCCTGGGTCCAGGCCAGGCCAGCTAGTCATGCCTGCACGCAGGGCTATGCCCCTCTCACCGCCCAGTCTCCATCCCTCCCTCCCACTACCTTCATGAACCAGATCGCTTCCCCAAACCGGGAAACAACTGCACTTTGACGAAAGGCAAACAGAATCTATTCAGGGCACAGCTTCCCAGCCCCAGATTAAGGGGGAGGTGTGTGCAATTAGCTCCGACAGCCCGACAGCCCGTCAGCACCTCCACGCAGCGGGGGCCTCACCTGGCGGTTAACTCTCTGCCACCAAATAGCAGAGCCTTCGGGGGACTGGCCACCTGCGTGGGTCATGGGAGGGCAGCCCCACTGGTCAGCTGGGTTCACGCCAGCACCCCCTCCACCTGCACCTGCCCCGATGACCTGGCAGCTCCGAGCTGGGTGCTGGCAGCTCCTAGGAGGGTGGCAGTGGCTGGGAGGGGCTGAAGGTACCAACCAGGCTTTCAGCAAAAAGTTGGTGCTGGGCTGGAGAGGGGTGGGAATGGTGTGAGGTCTCAGACTCCAGACTGGGACCCAAGGCCCTCGCAGTGGCTGCAGGAGGGCAGCAGCACGCACGCTAACCACCCTCCCCCAACCCGCCCCTGCCCTCGGCAGCAATGCCAGGGAGTCTAGGGCTTTGCTTCAGGTCCCTGCTGGGCAATGGAGGAGGTCCAGGCCTGAGCCACCGTCCCCACCCTGTGGGTGAAGATAGGGAAACTGAGGCCTGTGAAGGCCAGAGTCCTGGCCAGTTCCCACTGCCAGAGGGAGAAAGGGGAAGGGCTGGTGGGGAGGGGACTTCCCAACCCCGGATCCTGCATGGGTGTGCCGACCTCTGGCCTTGTTCCTGATTCCTGGCTGGGGTAAGGGCTTGGCCATCACAGGGCCTCTGACTCCTCGTGTGTCCGAGTGGGGAGGGGCAGCCTGGGGCCCTGGGTCACAGAGCCTCAGGGGTCAGGCGGGCACAGCCAGGGGTGGGGGGCGGCACAGATTCCCTCCTGAGGTTGTTATCACTCCCCAGGTTCTTCCCCAGGAAAGGGGTCCCGGGGTGGGACTGGAGGAGCAGGGGCCAGACTGCCAGCCCCACTCCGGAGGACAGAGGGCAGGGACGGGGGCTCACTCCCCCAAGGCCTGCCTGAGGGGTGCCCAGGCCCCATGCGCCCTGCTCCCGGGCAGCCACAGACCCAGCAGCTCAGACGGGGCCGCAGGCCACCGCGTGCCTTGTGTCACCGGGGCGGCGGACGCGAAAATGAAGTTTATTTTCCCAGCTGTGGCTGATTCATGGTCAGGATGTGGCAGCCGCAAGGCGGGTAAAACCTGCCGACACTGGGAAGGGCGGCGGCCCGGCCGGCCCTCGGCCCACCACTCGCGGGCAGCGCGCGCTCGGGCGGCGTCTCCGCGCCGGGGCCGGCAGTCTGGGGCGGGGCGCGAGCCGACGGGGCCGGGGCGCAGCGGGATCCCCGCCCGGGAGCCGGGACCCAGCCGCCCTGCGCCGCGGGGCTGCGGGCCGCCACCCCGGGTGCACACGCCGCTACCCCAACTCCGCTCCCCAGCCGCCAGCACCCCACGGCCCCGACTCAGTTTCCCCGCGGCTCCCGGCCGGCCCAGAGGGTGCGGACTTACCGAACAGGGACGGCGGCCGAGGGAGGGGATGGGGCCGGCCTTCGGTCGGGGTCGGATGATGGGGCCGCGGGCTGCCGGCCCACCTTGCGGCTCCGCACGGCTCGGGTTCGGGCTGGGGCTCAGGCTCGGAGGGGCGCGCGAGAGGAAGAGGAGGCCCGGCCCAGCCCCGCCCAGCCCCGCCCGCTGTCGGCCACGTGGGGAGCGGGCGCGGGCCCGGGGCGGAGTCTACTGGGGGAGAGGGGGTCCCTGGAGAGGCCCCGCCCACCGCTGCCCCCCCCCCGCCCCGGGCGGGGCCGCCCAGGGACTCTCCCCAAGCCCGTAAATACCCACGGCACCTCCGCCAGGGCTCGGTCTGTTCCCAGCCCTCCTACTTTCGCTCCTGTCGGGCGGGGGTGGCGCTGGGGTGGGGGGGTGGGATACATGGAGCGGGGAGTGGAGGTCTCGGGAAAGCTCTGGAAGTGGCCCTCCCGCCTCAGCTCTCTCTGTCCGCCCCCCTCCTTGGGCTCCGCTGCTCCGCCCCCTTCCACAAACCTCCCGCAGGCCCACCTCGCCCTGGCTGCGCGCCAAGTAACCGGCTCACCCACTGAAGCTTCCTGTCAAAGCCTGGTGGCAGGTGGACCAGCCTCCCGGGCCGTGCTCGCTAAACCCCGCGTAGGAGACCCCTTGGGCCAGTTGATCCCGCGAACTGACGCCTGGGGTCCCCTCATGGCAGCTGGGTCTTCCTGGTCTTCTGGAATCCAGAGCGTCCCCATCGAGGGGGGCCAGCCCCCGGCCCTCCTCCTGGTCCCCAGCAGAGATGCAGTCTGGGTGGTCTCTGGGTCTGGACACTGCTGGTTGCAGGCAGCAGGCCTGAGTGCCGCCCCCTCTTTCTGTCCTGCCTCGTCATTCCTACGGACTGGGGGGGGGTTCCCACTTCATCAAGAGGCCCCCCCACCCCTGCATGGCCCAGCAGGAGGCCAGTCCTCGGGGGAGGGGCAGGCGGGGGTTAAGGAGGGGCAGGCGCGCCTCCAGCCCCAGGCCTGCTGGGGCAGATGCCACCCTGTCCAGAGGGTTCTGCACTGGCGGTGCCTGACCTCAGGGTCAGGCAGGACCTGACCTGAACTGCTGAGCTGTAGTTTCCCCGTCTGTTAAAGAGACGGACAATTCAGCCTAAAGGTTACTGGTCGAGATGAGCACAGTGGGTGAACCGTCTCCACTGACGGCTTTGGCTTACCTAATCTACCCGGAGACCTGCGGCCTTTGGAGCTTGGGGGCATGAGGCTGGAGGGTGAGGGCTCACAGCGGGTGGGCGGCTGGGAGCAGACCCTTCAGAGCGGGGGTCCAGGTGGCTTCACAGCCTTGCTCCGGCTTCTCCCTGGGGCCAAGCACGCACCCCTTGGTGCCCAGCGCGCCCCTGCGGGGCCGGGGCTGAGACTGGCAGGTGCCGCCCCTGCCGGTCCAGCGGCCTCAGCCTCTGAAGTCTCCTTGGCTCAGCCCGGGTGTGGGAGCAGCTCCTGGCAACAGGCCAGCATGGAATGAGTGCCGGGCGTGCCGGGTGAGCCACCAAGGGGGGTGCGCTGGCTCCTGGACACCGGCCAGCCGGGGACCTGTGCGCCTGGTGGCTGCCCGCGCTGGGACTGCAGTTCTTAGAATGCACGAGTCCCAGCTCTGCCGTCGTGCCGCTGCCCGGAAGGCTGGCCGGCACCCCCGCCCGGCGCCTTGGCCCTCTCCTCGACCTCCGGGAGCTTTCCTACCTCCCTTGAGCTAGGTTTCAGGCCTCTGCATGCTCCCTGGGATCCAGCAGTTGGCCCCTCCTGGGGGAGTGGGGGGGTGGCACCAGTTGCTGACTCATCGGTCTCCCAGCCTGGCGCCTGGCTGCAGCCGGTTGTGGTCAGTGGGTGTGTTTGTGGATCCAGAGGATGGAGGAGGGCAGGGGAGGACAGTGGGGAGTGACCTTCCAGCCTTCAGGCTGGACTGGGGAGAGTGACCCATCTGCGAGGGGGGTGTCCCGTGCCCCAGATCCGCAACTCTTCCCCACCTGGGGTGGGGAGCAGGCAGAGTCCTGAAACTCCCTCTCAGAGGCAAAAGAGGGAAGCCTGGCATTGGCTGGGAATCTGGGGTTCGGCCTGCAAGTCATCCACTTATTACACCCATCCACTTATCCATCCTTGCATCTACCCATCCGTGCACTCATCCATCCAGGACTAGGTCTTCCTGGTGAGCAAGAACGGTGGGACCCAGCTCTGCTACAGAGCGGCCGTGGCACCCCGGGCAGCCGTTCTGTGTTGGTCCTGCTGATCAGGCCCTGACCACTCTGCTGACCTCCAGAAAGGTCAGCTCTGGTGGGGCAGCAGATGGGGCTCTGGCCCTGTGTCCGCTCCTGCCCCTACCTCTGCCTCAGCCCCTTTCCTCTGTGGCCTGGCAGCTCCGGCTGCTGTAACCTCAACACTCTCTCATGCAGGAGGATGGACCAGGGCCCATCCTTGGTCTGGGGAGGGGTGGGGATACCCCGGTGGGACGGTGGGCTGGGAGGTCACTCAGAGGCTCCGGGAGGTCAGTGACGTCTAGCCTTTTCCTTTGAGGGTCGCTCACACATGCAGGCGATTTTCATCACTTGCTAATTCTGCATTTGGGAACTTGCCTACTCGCTGAAACCTATTTGTAACCCTACAATCAATACTTGTCTGGCAATCATTTGCTGATATGTGTAGACCAGCAGAAGTTCTGAGTCCCCAACTGAGGTCAGAAGGAGCCACTCTGGGCTTGTTCAATCTCACGCTGCAAACACGGCCAGTTTAGCACTCAGTCTTCCACGTCTTTGTGCTTTTTGGGGGGAGATAATCCTGTTTCAAGTGGCCCTAGCCTAACCCTAAATCCGTCCAGTGTCCCTAAGTGCGTCCTGTGTCTCTAAGTGCAGGAAGGCTGGGTGTGGTTCACAGAGAAAACATGTGTGTTTGAGGAGTTTCCTGTCCGTGTGAGTTTCAGGGCAGCTGCCTCGGGTTCAGTGCTCGTGAACCAGCAATACAATATGGACCAAATGCAGTGTCTTTGACAGTAAGGAACACAGAACAGGGTTATGCACTGATTGGCTGTTATTTCAGCCTCGTGGTCTGAGGACCCTGGCTCTGGGCGATGGCTCAGTTCCCGCTAGATCAGTGTTTGTGGTGACTCTACAGATCATGGAAATGGCAACCCACTCCAGTATCCTTGCCTGGAAAATCCCAT